TTTGACATTTTTAAAGATTTGACTCAAAGTTTAGTCACTGACGGCTGTTGGGGTCAAACCTGTGACCTTCACATCAACATACCGCCTTCTTTTACTTCTAAATCCATCTGCTCTCGTCTGCGCCCCATCCTCAGATCGGCTGGATTAGCAGGTTTTTATTGGGGAGGGGGGGTCTCATTTCTCCTGTCAGGCTACATCAATCGATTTCTGAGCCGGTATTATCGTCAGGTCTGCTGAGATCACTCAGGAATATGTACAGAATTAAAATGGGAGGTAATAATCTGCTCTTAAAGCTGCTTCAAGGGTATCAGAATTTCTGCTGCAGCTTTTTTATTTTTTTGGTTTTATGAAATGAGTGAAAACCCCAGAGTGAGTTTTAATGTGGAAATGGAGTTCCTGCACTCCTAGGTTTTCCACTTTCATACACTTTCTGATTATCTAAAGAGTGCATCATAGAGTTTGAAAGTCAAACACTCACATTTGCAGACTTTAGAGAAATAAAGAAAACTCGGTATGATCCCTCTGAAACACTCTGTCCATTCTCCTGTGTTTTATTTGACTGCTGGGGACACGTTTACACACCCTGAGACCTTTCCCTGAAATGACCGCAGCCTTCACTCGCCTCGCTGTACGCAGGGTAAAGCCGGGTCGGTCTGGAAACTTCAATTACAGGCTGATCTGTGAACATAATTAGAAAGAAAATCCAGGATGTGTGTATAACATCCGCTGATCGATCCGGGCTTTATTAAACCATGCATCCAGAGAGAAGCTGCTGTCGCCGAGCTCTCTGACACATTGATTCCCCGATTGGTCTGCAGTCGGATTTCATCCCTGATTCTGATCCTGTTCAGACGGTTAATCTTCAGCTTCATGTGATGATGTAACGGGCAGAAATGCTCGCCATGTTTAGGTGCTCTAAACATGACTAATTAATGACGTCTGCACACTTCAACATAAAGCTGTTTCTGTTTTAAGTACCAAGATGTTAAGTTCACCGCCAGGCGGTTTGACTGCATTAATTAATATTTACATGAATGATTGATAAGGCTGTTTGTGGATCTCCACTCTGTGCAGGACGAGCGTCCATTAGTGTGCAACTCTAGAAGCTTTTCATTAAACACCGAACAGACAGAGGAGGAGGGTTCGAACACTCGACGGAGCTTTTACTGAAATCTCAATTAAATGCATAAACAGAGAATTCATACACAGACCCTGAACAGATGCGTCTGTTTCACTGACTGGAAACTGAAACCGCTGTCTTTCTCCTCTTTCTTCGTCTCTCTGCAGGATCAGTTTGAGTTTGCGTTGACGGCCGTTGCAGAAGAGGTGAACGCCATCTTGAAAGCTCTTCCACAGTAGGAAGGAGCGCCTCCTTCTGATGGACCCTCTTCTTCTTCTTCTTCTTCTTCTTCTTCCTCTTTTGGTGTCTGAAGTGACGGGAAATTCTTGTTTTCATTTCCTCACATGTTCACTTGTTGTTATCTTAAATTTACCGAATCCTCACTCTTTCCTGTCCTTGTTTTGTCTCCTTTCTCTTATGTCGTATTGTTGCTCCTTAAAAGAACCTGACCGATTGTTTTTGTCCTTTTTCTTCTTTTCCGCACATTTCTGTCCTTGTTTATGTCTTTCACTACTTCCTCCTTTGTTTCCTTTCCTCACCTGTCTCCTCTTTTTCCATTGTGCCAGAAAAACCTTGAACCACTCCTGTTCATAGATAGACCTCTCCTCTATTGTACAGATCCTCGCAGCCTGTTTTCCAAAGTGTCATGTAAACAGATTCCACAGAGTTATAAAGATGTTTCTCTATGTTCTGTTCAGAGTTTATCTATCAGAGTTTATTTGGACTGGTAGACGAGGCTTGACCTTAACAGGGATTGGTTGGAACAGATTTGGGTTTGAGTTCTTTTTTTCCTGTTTTTGTAACGTTGAAAGGATAATGTGACCGATCTCAAGGCGTCTCGTTGGGTCGTTTTTCCACTTTACTCTAAAATTTGACTAAAATGGAAATAAAAGGGAAATAAGGAGTCTTAATCCTCATCTGTGGACCTAGATATGAACCCTTCCCCCAAATGACGTTAAACGTTGGTGTTCGCCAGTCTACCAAAACTTGATGTCCTTGATCAGTCTTTGTCGTGAACGTCTGGATGACGTTTCTCATTGTGTCTGTATCAAACAGTTCATGTGTGTGTCTGATTTTATTGCCATGTTTTATGATATGTTTTAGTACGGTATGCTGGAGTGTCCTCAGCTGGGTCCCAATTCAGGGGTAGAATCTTTCAAAGTACTGAGGTTTCGAAGGATCCGGCCTTCGTAGACTTCACAGACCTCCGAAACTGAGCTGAAATTAGATGGACTGGTCATCATTGCCTTCAATTTCAAGGCATCTGTCATTGAGTCGGCATTAAAAATCAGAGGATATGTTGGGTAAAGTAAAACCGTAATGAAAGAACCTCCACAGCTCACCACTTTGACCCAATCAGACTTGAAATGCGCCCTTCAGAGGATGCGGCCCCTGAGTTTGGACACAGCTGCAGTCTTGGTCAAACCTAAAACAAGTATATTTCTTTACAGTACCTGGTAAAAACACAATCATATGATGCTATTTTTCAAAAACAAGATACTAGACTTGAGCATGAGTTTAACAAACACTGACGTTATTTTTCCATTGTATAAATCTCATCGATCTTGTAGAAGCAATATTTGTTGAACCTGAATCGTTATCTCTCGTGGACGACCGATGTTGTGACTTGTCAGTGAAGTTACACTCATGTCTGCCTTAATAAAAACACAGTAGATGTGTTGATGAATTTGTCCAGCCACGTGGAAACAAGGCTAGGCTGCAGCACTTCATTTTAAAACGTCCTTATTCCAGTAGATTAACCTGTGGACTAAAGGTTTGCTGTGCTGCTTCTTAATGAAAATCCCTCCGATAAACACGGCGCTCTTTAATAACCAAAGGGCAGGAAGTTCCCTCCCGTCCAAGAGTTTGTCAGAGTCTTTGAACAACTTTGACAGAAGTAATCTTGTGCTCTGAAATACTTTCAAAGATTGGGATGAGGCCATTATAAAATGAAGTGTTCCAGAGTGGAACGACTACGATAAAAGAGGATAGTCTTGCTTCTTAATAGCAGTTCTTCTATGTAGCATTAAAGGATTATTTCCACATGTACAGTAGCTGAGTCTGTCTTGCATTTAAAACTAGTTTGCAGAGGCACTTGTTTGCTGGTTTTACCTGAACATCTTCAGACGAATATGAAGTTAAAGTATTTCGTTAAAAGTAATTATCCGAGGTAGCCATCGGTTTCCATTCATTTCTGACATGACATTTCAAAGCCATTAGACATTTATATAACAATCAATGGCTTACAGACCAATCAGAATAAACATTTCAAATATTCTTAATATCATAAAGAAGATTCACTATATCATGCTTCTGCTTATCTTTCTCTCTGATGTTTTCTGCTCTATTAAGATTGACGTGTGTTGGAGGCATAGAGGGTCAAAAATAGAGTCGGCGCATATCTTTAGCTAATCAGCGCATGGAGACGCTCCTGGCACAGAGCAGCGACAGAGCTGAAACGCATCCTGTGTGCAGCTGGAGTTCTAAAACTAAAACTAGGATTCTAGAATTCTAAGATCAAAGCCAGAATTCAAACATCAAAGCCAGAGTGGAATGATTTATCCAGAATTCTAAGATTAAAGTCAGAATCTTGAGATCAGCCTCCATCGCTGTAACCTTGCACTTAAATTCAACAAATTTCACAAAGAACAAACCGGATTTTTCGTGCCATAAGGCGCACTGGATTATAAGGCACATTAAGCAACACAGTCCGGTAAATCAAACTATTTAACTCAGTCGTAACAACAAATATATTATTGTATATGTATATTGTTATATATATATTTTCATAAACATACCTATTGTGTTTTTGAGTAATCCTAAAGCCTCTAAGTCCCGTTTTCTCATGTCTGACCTGATTATTTTGCGGATCTGCTCACTCTGATGACAGATTTTACTCTTGAATCCAAACAAGCAGAAATTCTGAAGATGTTTTTGGTAAACCAGCCCACATGTTGTGCAGAATCGACGTCATTTCACTGCTCTAATTGGCTGACAGTGAATGGACAGTTTAAAAGTCTCTATTGATCAAATAGTAGATGTTTGTTCAATCTATTTTTGAATCACTAATATATGACTTGCGTACACTCTGCTACTCGTGCATGGCTATTTATTGAGCAGATAAGCGTGCTGTACTTTCCTGTGGCCTCGAGGTGATTATAGCAAACTTTCAAGCAAACAAACAAATATCGGTTTAACTTTTCACTTTCTTTCTGAATATATATATATATATTGCACGAGAATCTCCAAGGACCTTAAAAGTGCAAAAGCCAAGGATTATCATCTCTGGACTGTGCAGATAGTGGTTAAAGCAAGTTGAAAGGTGGTGCAGTATCAGTATGATGTAACACTGCAGCAAGCTGGTGTCATGTTGTTGGAATGGACTCCATTTTTCATCATGATATTAAAACACGCTGCAGGAAATGCTCCTTACAACAGCTTCAAGTGGAATCAGATCCTGTTATTTCCGCCTGTTTTTGAGACACTCTGTCGTTCTGAAAATGTGGGGAAAATTAAACTGCATTAAAAATATAAAGTATCCAAATCTAACTGCAGGTCTTAATGAGAGTAAAATCTAATTATGTTATAAGGAGTACTCTTTTTGCAGTGTGTCAACTCCCCAAAGCTGTCTTTTCATCACACACTCCATTCAAATCAATAGATGGCCGGTCTGTCGCATTATCACTGTACATAAAACAAAAAGCATAAAAAACAGAAGATATTTTGTTCTATCGGTGTAAACAACTTGTGAATAAAGTCTCATTGTTGATGCAGTATTGTAATGCAATCCTAACTCCTGAGTTTTGCCTCTTTTTTTTCCTTGCAGTGTCGTGCAGCAAACTTTACGCTCAGGATGCAGTTATATGTGATCATTTGTACCATGTGGGTGGGCGGTGAAACATCTGCTATATGCACCAAACTCCTGGAGGTGGCGTCAGGTTAGGCGGAAACAGATATTTAAACAGTCTCACAGCAAACTCAGGAAGATGACGGTCACAACTTTAAATACAAGAGAAAAATGGATATGGACTCCTTTGTTTGATTTAAAAACTTAAGATGCTAAAGTACGCAGCTGTAAAAATAATGTTAACATCTTCTGGTAGAGTTCTGTTGGTTATTCTACCAGTTCCTGAAAAAGAGAAGGAGCAGAATAATGTAAATTTGACTTTCAAAACCGCAGAAACTGGTCGACTTGTTCTGTTTAAAGAAAAGGTGATGAAAATGTTGTCATTTTAGGGTTTCAAAGATTCGGGAACCATTATTTTACACAGCGTTTTAGTATGAGGGTGGTATATTCCTGAGTCTGTGAGGAGCCGAGAGATTTCTTTGGATTATCTGTGTTCGATAAGAGTCTCTGCAGACACGATGACTCCTCCTCCTCCCTGAAATGTCAGGGTTTTACTGTGAATGATAATCACACACACTCTGCCATTATACTGTCGTCTTTAACAGGTTATTTATCGGAGGCTTTACTGCGCGTATAAAATAATATCCAGTCGTAAAAACACTTTAGTAAAATCACCCAGTGGGGAGCCTCCAGCACCAGCAGACTGCTGTCACTCAGCTGCTGAGCCCTTTAAAGGACACTGGGGGGCTCTTATAAATATTCACATGGTGAGCGATGCTAACAGATGCCGTAGCTCGCCATGATGTGACAGAGCGCACAAATATTCTTTACCTTTCAGATGGCGAGTCGCACAGGTCACGTTAGTAGCGTCTGGTGAACACAGCTCAGTTAAAGGAATATTTCAGCGTAAAGTTAATTTAGGGCCGAACACACTGTAACACTGAGTAAGACAACCCCAAGATAGCAATACATAAACCTCAATAAATAAACCTCAACCACAGCGCCACTCTATAGCCACAAATAATGCTCAGAACAGCACCTAACTTCATCAACAGGACATATAGGGTCACAGCCATAGTACTAGACACCAAACATCTTTTTAACTTTGACTAATTTCACCTACTCTCTTCCAGCAGCCGCTTGTTTGTATCGAGACCTCAGGCCAGTCCATTAGGGACTACAGCGGGGTGCCGCAGCTCAAGGAAGAACATTTATGATCATTACTTTATGGAAATGCAATTAGACCGAGATGCTAAGGTAGAAGAACTACCGTGTCTGCAGAGAAAAATGATTAATATGGTGATTATTACTTCAAGGAAATGATAAAGAAATGATCATAAATGTTCTTCCTTGAGCTGCGAAACTCCAATGTAGTCTGTAATGGACTGGCCCGAGGTCTCGATACAAACAAGCGGCTGCTGGAAGAGAGTAGGTGAAATTAGTCAAAATTAAAAAGATGTTTGGTGTCTAGTACTATGTCTGTGACCCTATATGTCCTGTTGATGAAGTTAGGTGCTGTTCTGAGCATTATTTGTGGTTATAGAGTGACGTTTTGGTTGAGGGCGTGGCTCTCTGTTGCTATCCTGTGGTCGTTACTAAAGTTGGTATAACTAGAGAAGCAAGCGGTTGGCTACATTCATCTCTCGAGAGGATGTCTAACTCAATGTGTGTTTGACCCTAACTTAATTTCACACCAGAATACCCCTTTAATGTACGCTGCTTTATCTCGAATCTTATTGGACAGGATGAAAATGGTCACTTTTGCAGTACTTCAGGGTCTCTGTAAAATCCCTCGATTGTCTCTTTTTTTCTCTCTTGTTTGACACTCCCAGCAGCTCTCGGGTCTGAACTGCAGAGCGCGGCAGTCAGGAGGTTGTTTTACTCGGCAGTGAAGGTGATCGCTGCAGTTTAACTGATTTGAGCTCAATTTACACTGATATTTATAATGCAATTAAACTCACACAACCTGCAGGTTTATTTGCGCGGCGCTGGGCGGGAGTCGAACGATTATCACTTCACCCTGCAGCTCGTGGAGACGTACAGGAATGATTGAAATTAAAAAAAATAAATTCTTTTAATTCGAATCACCTCTCAGATCTTTTCTCATTACTCCCTCGTCCAATTGGATCACTAATGGCGACGCCTGTGACTCTCGGCGCCGCTCGGCCCTCGGCTCCCCCTGCCCGGTTCACCTAATGTGAGGACACTTCTGGCATTTAGTTGATCATTTTCATCGGTGTCGCACGTGCGGCGCCCCCAATATCGCCCACCGTCACTCATCATTAGCACGTTTATAAGCACGCGTCCACCGGCGGGCCTCGCGGGGAATTTAACCATTTGCATAGAAAAATTGCTTTCCTCCATGCGCTGAGAAATGACTGTTTTGCATAATTACAAATGATGTGCGGCTGCTGGACCAGACTGACATGTGCACGTGGGAGAATTAGGGGGAGAATGAGGCTGTGATTGATATGATGTGTGTCGGAGGACATGGAGGACGATCACAGCGAGAAATGATTTGGTTTCATCTGTTTGGAGGAGGGGAGTTTATTTTATTTCTGCTTTGAAGGAAATAAAATGAAGCGTTGTTTCCCCCTCATGTTCTGCACAAAAACGTTCATTTTTTTATGCACGAATAAGTACCCAGCAATATAATTAATAAGCAGCTGCAGGTTCACGCCTCAGAGCAACACGTGAGTATAATTAAAGTCAATGAAGAGCTTCCCCCTCGCTCTCCGTTAAACGACCTCCAACTCTAATTGCTGCTGCATCGACCGAAATCAGTTTTTACTCACATCTTTTTAAAAAAAACGCAGCGGTTCTTCATGTCACATGAAAAGTTAAAGCTCAGTTTGGATTCTGTTTGGTGTTGTGAAGCTCCTCAAAAGTTCCGCAGTTATGCCTAACACTCCAGTCAATCCCCCCGCAGGCTACGACATATATTATAGAGCAGCTGAGTGAAAGGAGTTGAGCAGCACTAATCAGTCCCTGTGAGAGGAGCCGGTATGTCTGCTCAGCATTCACAGGTTTAATGTGGACTCTGATTTACATGCCTCAGTGTTGAGAGTCTGTCTGTTAGAGGCTACAGGAGTTCACAGATGGACACCAGAAAACAACATGGAAGATCTCCGTCGTATCAAATGTCAAAAATTAAAAAAAACTAAAATCACAGTTTAAATGTTTAGAGACAGAGGAGACCAGTTTGTCCAGTTCTGGAAGTAAAACGTTGACCAGTCTTTACTTTTTACAGGATTTCAGCTGCAGGATTTTGCTTCCAACTCGTGACAGTTCAGGGGCCTGTTCTACGAAGCAGGATTACTGCTTAGCGAGGTATCTTCGAGGGTTTCCTGTTCTACGACGCGGGTTCACTTCGTAGCGAGGTTAGCCGTTCCTGATTGAACTCATCGAGTATAAAAGCCCCGCCCACTGACCAATGAGCTCTCTTGAAAAATGGCTTGTCCGTTCTTGGAGGATCCTGTAGACCTCGGTGCTCGCATTGTCCGATGAGCACTCCGGCGCGCGAGAGTTTTCAGGGACCGCACGGACCCACGTACTTCTCCGGATGAACACCTTTATGAAAGGCTCATATGGCCGACATATCACACAAAACATGTAAACACAATAGGAATGAACACATGAATGAATTCATCTTGGAAATGAATTAGACATGTCTGCTGCTTGTTAAAAGCGCATGTTGAACAGAGTTATTTCAGGGTGATAATGGCATCACTGATTTTTTGCGCACTGTACTTCCGAATTGAGACTGTCGGCAATTTCTTTGCATTTCCATGAAGAAATGATCATAAATGTTCTTCCTTGAGCCATAAACAAACCTCAACCAAAATGTCACTCTATAGCCACAAGTAATGCTCAGAACAGGACCTAACGGACTACAGCGGGGTGACGCAGCTCGAGGAAGAACATTTATGATCATTTCTTCATGGAAATACAATCAGACCGAGACGCTAAGGCAGAAGAACTACCGCGTCTGAAGTGCAAAATGATCAATATGATGATTATTACTTCAAGGAAATGATAAAGAAATGATCATAAATGTTCTTCCTTGGGCTGCGTCACCCCGCTGTAGTCCGTAATGGACTGGTCTGAGGTCTCTTCATCTCTCGATGAGGTGTCTAACTCGGTGTGTTTGACCCTAAATTAATTTTACACCGGGATATTCCTTTAACACATGTATAAGCTGTAAAGCTGCTCTACAGGTGTACCAGACTGACGTACTGTTAAGTGAAAATGATTATAGGATTTCCTTTCATCAAATCTGTTGCAGCTTTTAGAGTCGAACGTGCCAGAACAAGTGTTCCCGATCCGTCCGCCAGCTCTCCATTGTCACGGTTTCCTGTGTTTGTTCGAGGACTGAGCTCAGACTTCCACCACCAGGCAGAACTTTCCATCGATGCCATTTCTCGGCCAACTTCCTCCTTTATCTGTCTCGCTCGGGTGGCGCCGGCAGTGGAGGAGAGAAGCGCCGCGCTGAAAACCACGAAGAAGAAGACTGGAGGTGATAACAGAGCGGGAGATAAAAAGAGACAGAGAAAACGCACACACAAGGATGTGTTTGAGAGCTATTAGAGCCTGTCACAGTTGGCTTGTCATGGATCTGGCGCACACACAAACACACAAACACACACAGTGGCGTCACGCAGCACCTTGCACAATCCTAATTCTCACTCGTGTACACACTCTGGATGACATACTCCCCGCTGAGGCAATCTCACACAGACACAAACTGGCTTCCTTCCTATTCAACACTCTCTCTCTCACACACAGACACAGACACACACACACACACTGAGACACATGTCTGCCTGCCATCTCAGGAATCAAAGAGTGCAGCAGCAGGTATTTTCGACGTGCAGACTTGAGCAATTTTCAAAGATAAGAGCTGCGACTGAGTGGCTTCTCCGCCATCTGGGTGGTGTGTGTGTAAGTGTGTGTGTAAGTGTGTGTGAGCGTCGGTGTGTATAAGAGAGTGTGAGAAAGAGAAGCAGACCGCAGACTGAACACTTCTGTCTCTGCAAATGTAATCCAGCATCGACCAGAATGGACACCTGTAAGCAGAGAGTATAATCAACAACTTTTAATGGAGGAGTCTGAGAATTTGGACGACAATGAAAGAGACAGAGTGTTTTTCTCTGCGGCAGGTGTGCGCGGGTTTGAAAGGAGAGTGTGATTTGGCCACAAACTTTAGAGAAAGATGTTAAAAGGAGTGGGAAAACAGGAACTGGCCTCTCCTCTCAAGAGCTTGATGATATGATTACCTAAAAGTTTACATCACAACACAGTTTATTGACTTGTATCATAGCGTAACATATCGTATTTAACTATCATATCGAATTGTATTGTAACTTAATGTAACGTCGTATTGTATCATAATGTATTGTAACCGTAGACTGTATAAACTATGGATAACTTGGTTCCGCCTTCCACCAGTTTATAGATTTGAAGCCGAAAAGCTCTCTCCATTTCCTGAAACCAACATTGCGCAGTAGCGTTGTACACATTCGGCGGGAGAGTCGCTTGAGAGTCGCTGTGATGACGCTCGGCTCAAACAGCGTATCCCCCTGGTGAGCTACACAAACTTCGTACGCCTATAGGCTGTATCAGGTGTCAATCATAGAAAACATGAACCCCCTAAAAACTTTGAAAAATGGAGCTGTACAGAAAAAAGAGGACTTGAACACAAACCAGTCTGACAGTAACTACATGTCAACATCACAACCGGGGGGAGAAACATTTATATTCTGCGTAATAAATTTCTACATTTTGTCCACAGCTCCATAAGGAGGCGGGATTAATGACCTATACTGCAGCCCGTCACCAGAGGATGCTGTTCTGTTCTATATACAGTGAGGAGGCAGACAGTGATCTATATATACCATAAATGTAACGTATTGTATTGGATTATATCATACCATAGACTTTAGCGCTTTGGTCGAGGTTTGTTTATGGCTCCTCAGACCGCTGTGTTTTGCTAGCGTGCGGTCGTTACTAAAGTTGGTATAACTAGAGAAGCAAGCGGTCGGCAACATTCATCTCTCGAGGGGGTGTCTGACTCTATGTTACGGTGTGTTTGACCCTAACTTAATTTAACACCAGAATATCTCTTTAATTCCTCTGTGGAGTACAGTGCTGTTGCACACAGGCACAGGATCAGACAGTTATTGTCAGTTCTGGTATATTGAAACAGCCTCAATAATATTTATCAGGTGGTTTGTTACATGTCTGGTTCTGGATTGATGTTGCAGACCTGGATGGAGGGCGTTGGAGTCATAAACGAGCAAACGGGCAACTTCTTTGGTGAGAAAGATCCATTTTTTCTCTGCAGTAAGATTTCACAGGAGAGGGTCACAGTTCATGTATGTGCAGAATAGAGCGTGCTCATGTACAGAAAGCCTTCAGAGTATCAGGTAGAAAGGCGGTCCAGAGCGCTGAGTTTAATTAGAGAGTAGCAGGGTGGATATTTTAATAACCACCTACCTCATACAACCTTGTACTGCCTGCTTTTGCTTCACTGTGCTTAATTATATTCTTGCCATTACAGCAATTTCAAATTAGCGATAAAAATCTGGCGACAGAATGATGAAACAAAAGAGTGAGAAAGTCTGATAAAAACGACACAGAGAGAGAGAGAGAGAGAGAGAGCGAGGAGTGAGGGTCCAGTCATCAGCATTTCAGATCCACTCCTCCACCAGAAATCCAACCATCCATAATGCATCACATGTCTCCTAGCAACAGCCGGGAACCTAGCAACAGGATCTCGGCAACAGCATCAAACTGCCGCCTCCTTGCCTGACGGCCAATCAGGAAGGAGTTAGTCCGATTTACAGCGGCCAATCGGGATGAGCGAGAGGCCTGTTAGTGAGTAAAGTGGGTGTGTTTCCTCGCACAGCTGATTAGGCGCACACACAAATACACACAGGAGTACACACTCATACACAAACAGGACACATCGTAAAAAGAACAGAAACACAGAAGTACAATTTAACATACACACAACTTTTACTACTTCTGTTTCTTTTCAAATTAGAAATCTAGTTTGTTTTGAATCAACTCAGAAACAAGATGAAATTTAAAAAAGATATTCATTTACCCAACACCTTTAGCGTCCTCTAAAGTTGGGGCATGTTTACGGTGTGTTGCATCACCTCTTTAAGAAAACTATAAATATGAGGAACTGAGGAGACCAGTCTCTGGAGCTGAGACTGAAAAGCTGTCCCAGTCTTTCTGGGTCTCTGTAGTCGTATTTTCTGTGTTTCTTTTGTCGAGTCAGGACTGCAGGCAGACCAGTTCATCAGCAGGACTCTTCTACTACAGAGCCATGCTGTTGTAATCCCTGCGAATGTGGGTCGTCACTACCTCTTGTCTGTCACTTTGGTAATATAAAATCTTAAAATGATGCAGGCATTCATTCAAAAGGCTGATATTAGTCTTGATGTTGGACAGGCATGTAAATATGTAAAATAGCCCTTAAATAATGAGCTGGAAACCTGTTTCAAACTGTAAGGAGTAGAGAGTACCGAGTGTTTGGACGTGTTGGTAGAAAAATAGATGTTCAGGTAAAGTACAGATCCCTGATAAGATTATTGACGACAGTTAAATACCTCATTTTTAGAGTCCATTTCTGCATATTTTTGTCCTGAAACCCAAAAAGTGAGATATTCGTCTGAGTCCCTCTCACAGAGGGTTTAAAAGACTCCTCCGTATCTGTTCTTTCTCTCTGCAATGTTCCAGCGGCTACAGCTGATATCAGCCCTCTCCTCCACACACCCCAGGGCAAGAAAAGAATAAGAAAAAAAAAAAGCTCCATCTTTAACTTTAAATGAGCTGTAATGGCGTCTGGGGGCCTTTCCCCAGATCCAATACGGCCCCGCATCCTGCAGACACACGGGGGCTTTTCAATTCGCAGGGCCAAAGGTGCGAGTATTATCTGGAGATTCATTCTCAGGGCTCAAATGGAAGAATGAAAAGTGAGGCTTAACTCACCTGCCTTTTTGTGAGCTTGATGCAGCTCATTCTCCATTCAGCAGCAGCAATCTTCAAACCAAACCAGGAGGAGGAGGAGGAGGAGGAGGAGGAGGAGAGAGTGCCTTTTAGTCAGATGACTTCCCCATCAGGACAGGCACAGGTGGTTAGTCATGTGATTTACCAATTTGGTTCTAGGTCATAAAAAAAGAGGAAATTTGTTAAATCTCTGAATACTTCGTTTTCGGATAACCATTATTCAGTAATAGTGTTGTCAATGGTAGCATGAATTCTCCAAAGGTGTGGACTCGAGTCATGTCAGACTTCGAACTGCATGTAACAGTTATGTAATACGGAATGTACTCACTGCGGATCCTGTATATTTTCAGAGTAGGAGCTCAACCTGCAGCTGCTTTAATGTCAACTTTCAAACTGTTCTTTCACCACAGTGGAGATTCTGTGATGTCACAAAGTTCCGGAACTCCCTTGAATCACAAAGTTCCGGAACTCCCTTGAAGTTCCGGAACTCCCTTGATGTTGACGTTGATGTTGTTGAGATGGGTTCTCTTTGGCCAGGCTTCCAGAGAGCTGACCAATCAGAAGAAAGTGGGTTTGTCAGGAGGAGGAACTTAAAGAGACAGAAACAAGACTGAAGCAACAGGTGAGAGTATTTGAAGACCAGCCTGAGGTAATCAGGGTTTCATTTGCAATAAATCATATAAAGTTAATATAGAAAATGAAACTAAACAAAGGCTGAAAAATTCGAACCATACCCCCTCTTTAGCTTTAACAGTGTAAGTATTTTAACTTAAACCTAGATCTTTTCTGTGAAACTGTACCACGTATTTTGATGACTGTTGGTGTCAATTTTGATGCCTCCTGTGGACCGGGTGATCTCATGACTGATTTTTCACATACATGTGAAAGCAGTGATTTTAGCCATCAAAGTCTCATTGTCCTTGCTCGTGACTGTCAAACACTCACTGTGAATATTTGTAGTGAAAAAGTTAAGAGAGTCTGTTTTTCCAGCCTGCTGTCAATAATCTAATAGTCTACCACCCGCCCCCTCACAAAGGTTACAGACATCAGAAATTACAGCATCAAAACTGTCAATCTGGGTATCTGAAACAGACAGTGACGCGACCGTTGGTTAACCACAAACTAGCCAATCAGATATCAGCTCCATTGTCTTCCTGCCAAAAGTTACACCATTTCTGATGTAGATGTAATTCGAATTAAGGTTACGCTCATCCCAAAGAGGCTCGGGGCGTAATACCTGAGAATTGTCGGGGGTTTTGACCAATCAGAATCAAGTATTTGCACCAGATGAATAAGATTTCATAGAAGCTGCTGCCATAAGTTATGTTGAGTGTTTACGTGGCTCATACAGTCTAAAATACCACAAAATCACCTGTAAGAGAAAAAAGCCTTGGCTGTCTGTCTGTCTGTGATCTGGACATGCTTTATCCTTGCAAATTTAATTGATAAAAGACGCTCAATTTACCCCCACAGATGTACAAAATGTAATTTTTTCCAGATAATTTCAATGTCTGCAGTCAGTCTGGCTGATTCTCCTCCAGTTTTACACCCAAATCCAGCGTGGGAGGCAGGGCCGAGGAGTGCACATCACATTTTCTGGTTTTTATTTTAAAGCTGACGTGCTGTCAGAAGAAGTGTTGCTTGGTGGCTGGATATGTGCCGAAATGAAGAGCAAACCTGTTAGTGAGTAAACACATTATTTGATGTTTTGTCTGCTCTCATTTTCTCTCACGTCTTCAGTATTTTACAAGTATATCCTCCTCTTCTTCTTAGTCTCCATTCGACGCCTCGGCTCTGCCCTCGGTCCTCGCTTTCACTCCTGTTCCTCTCTGTCTTTATTCAGTTTAGGTTTGATTCAGTTTGCTTTATTGGCGTGAACGTTGGAGGACCAGAGCAGCTGAATCGGATGAATAATAGTCATACAAAATATCCACAACATGAAATAAGTGGCTCTGCATCCCTCTCTCCCTCTTTTGTCACACTCTGTCATATTCGGCTGCCCTCCGCTGTCTCGCTTACACACTTGTAGTCTCGCCGCACACACTCGCAGAGCCTCCCAGCCCTCTCAGGGTTTTTTCTCCATCACTGCTCAGATTAATCAGCAGCTTCCTGCCAGTGTCTGACAGTTTTCCCCTAGTTGGCCGGCCTCCAAATCAGACAGTGTTAGACATCAGCTCACTGTCCTGTCTGACTCTCTCTCTCTCTCTTTCTCGCTCGCTCTGTTTCTTTTACAATCCCATTTTTTCCTGAACTTTCTCAGTATTTTTGCCACCCTACAGGAATGAAAATAGCAGCACCGTTTTTCTGTATGTAACATGAATGACATTCATCAGTTCAGTCTGTGCACATTATCATTATTTTACACACACAGCACTGAAGCAGCAGGAAAACTGTGTACCTAACATTATGGCTGTCAGTCAGTTAATGTTAAAATATCCTGATTAATTCCTGATCTTCATTAGTTTATCACCATTAATCACATTTGTCACATCTCATTAACATTTTGATTCACTGATCGGAGCAGGAGTCCCACGCTGCAGACACAGCGGAGCTCTGTTAGCATGTGTGCAGTTGGACTTTGGTTGGACCTCTGTTAGCTAGAGTGGGAGGCTGGGCTTCTGCTTGGTTACTGGAAAACAAGGCGATCTCAGCATGATCCTCAGCTAGGAATTATTGTGGTTCAACTTTGGCAATTTTATTTCACCAGTGTCCTTGATTTGGGAATGAGCCGAACTCAACTTTTAGATTTACTACTCAGTTAAATGCTGACGGCTACACCAGTCTGCTCTGAAACCATTACTAGAGGTAGGAGACAGCTTCAAGGTTCTTAAACTATCAATTACAGGGTTTCTTTTTAAAGCACTGCCATGCTAAGAAATGTCCAATTAGTGTGAGTATGGTGTGCAGCTATTCTGAGATCATTTTGATAACTCGCTGATGTGCAGCGATCCCTGATTAATGCAACAGAATCACTCAGTGTGTTTACATGCACAGCTTCATCGGACTAAGCTCATCATTTGTTTTTTTCACCGAATCGGACTTCTCTCCTTGTCCGCGTATACATGCAGGTGAGAAAATCGAATTGTTGACGTGAACATGTCCTCCTCCCCAACACTAGGGGGCAGTATGGCTCTTTCAGCGGCGCTGTTTCCGATCGCATACAAACATCAACAACAACAGCAGGTCGGTGTCAGACGTCAGAAGTGTCTACAACTGCTGCTGGGCATTTTGGAGAAACAAGAAGATGGAGCATTGTACAGCGTTGTTTTTGTCAAACATGATGTACGCGCTACTTTTTCTGCAGATGAGATGAACGCTACTCCTCTACTCTGGTGTTTTTGTTTCGGAGTTACGGGGGCGTGGCGCACACGTACATGCATTGTCCGATTATACTCCTACTCCGCTGGTTACATGGTAGAGAAAATCGAATTACAATCGTGTTATCTGGGTGTCTTGATCTGAGTTCTCTGACTCCAATCAGAGTTTTCGTTTTTCTTGAGTGTCATGTAAACGTACTAACTAATGACCTGATTCCTGGTTAACGCAAAAGCATTTCAATCGAGATAATAATAATAATAATAATAATACATTTTATTTGAAGCGCCTTTCACGTCACTCAAGGACACTTTACAGAACATATAAAAACAATAATAAAACACTATTAACAATTAAAATCATTAATCATCAAACAGTTAAAATCAACAAAGCAACATTAAACATGAACAACAGCAAAGGAATAAATAAAGAAATTAATAATACCAATTGAAATTTAATTTAAAAAAGTGGGTTAGGGGTGGTTGGAGGGATAGGCCAGTTTAAACAGGTGTGTTTTGAGTTTGGACTAGGTTGTGGAGGGTTTTGGTGATGATACGGGCAGCGGAGTTGTGGACCAGTTGAAGTTTATGGAGAGACGTGTAAGGGAGACCGAAGAGGAGGGAGTTGCAGTAATCCAGACGGGAGGTGACGAGACTGTGGACGAGGATGGAGGTGGTGTTGGGGGAGAGGGAGGGGCGGAGACGATTGATGTGGCGGAGGTGGAAATAGGCAGTGCGAGTGGTAAGGCTGATGTGGGATTTAAAAGAAAGGGAACTTTCTAGATTACTTTCTAAACAACATTTATTTCTAATTGAGATTCAACAAGGATGTCAAATCACTGAAGTGACTGAACCCCACTGAGTTGTCTCCGTATTCTTGAAAGGGTCAGTGAGGCCACCTGTGGATATCCACCCCTCTGATGTAGCCAAGACACTAGTGGTGAAGGGTCAGGGCTGGAAAACTCATCCTAGACACTGTGACCTGCTGGCTCTCTGACTATCTCATCACCTGTTGTCATGTTTGGGGGTTATCTTAGCTTCTCAAAAGAGCATAAATGTTGATACAAGGCGATGGATTGTTTCAGATTCCCGGGTTTAATGACAGAAACAATCCCTGCAGAGTTGAAGCACAGAGGTTAGTTCAGCAGCTCTACCTGCATGTGTGTCGAGGTTTCCACACTCCTCTCCAGTCCAATTAAGACTCGTTTAGCTGAAAAGCATATTGAACTAACTAGCTGCTTTAGTGACCATGCCCTCCTCCTAATCTCACCATCATTTCGCCAGCCTTCCTCTGTCACTCTCTCGACCGTCTGCCACTGCTTGTCTGTCTGCTGTGAGTCAGCGTGTTGGTGCAGACTCACCTTAATTTGGTCCAGAGGGAACCTGTGTCTGCTGCAGAGTTACAGTCTGTCACAGTCAGACCTGTGGAGCGTTTGGGGGAAACCAGCTGAATGTTAACAAACACACAGAGACAGACCTCCAGGTTTTTGAGCAATATGAGGTAAATATACGAGCAGGGGAAAACACAAGTGACACTGAATACTGACTAAAGAGGGCACTTTACCTGCAGACACACTGATAGTGGGCTTATATGTTGACTCGGACACAAACACACAAACACACACCTTCATGGACGAAAAGAAAAAGTTCTTTTTTCTCTTAGTGGAGCTGTTTTGGGTCTTTTAAACCCAGCTGGATTTTTTGTCCTTGAATCTTTCCTTACAGTCTTCTCAGGGTGATGATTACCAAGTGGGTTGCCTGACTAATAGGTCACCACAGTCTGGCAGCGTCTGCATATTGTTCCATATTTGTCTGTCACCTTTTCTCCTTTCTCATTTCCCAGCAGGGATCCAAATTTCCTCCACAGAATGGATAAAACCCGCTGAAGCATCCACAAGGTCCTTTACCGTGAGGATCTATTATTTCATACCAACACAGGTCCACGGCAGGATCAGGGGGGCTTTTTTAGGCAATGCTATACTGAACGACACTGAATTCAACCAACTGTCTTCAGTTTTTAGAAGTTACATCAAAAAGCCAGAAAAGTCCAATGGCGTAGGTTTTCATCTGTCACTGTTTTTAATTTACCGACACGCCCATATCAGTTAGGATATGCTTACTTCATCAAAATACACAGCAAAGGTGGAAGGAAGTGCCAGTTTTCGGGGGAAATCTTGGATGTAAACACCACTCCCTTTGTGTCGGCAGTCGTGGCCAAAGGAGGATTCGGAAAAATTTCTGTACTTTCTGGATGCTTTCTACTGTCCGATATTGTAGCACGCTAACTTTGTTTGAGCTCATGAATGTTATTCAAGGACGTGGACCGTGCCTCACAACACGGGGGAGCAGCATCCCCCTCACAACCAGTCAGGTTGGGGGAGGCGGAGAATGGCTTTCAGAAAGAGCGGGCCGCTCAAAAAATTTAAAATGTTGACTAAACAGACGTAACAAAACACAGCGATATCATGATATTCCTAAAAGTCATCAATAACTGATATTAAAAGCTGTTTTGTATATAAACCACAAAAAAAGATGCTTCTTTAACAGATTCCTGCGTACCCCACCTTTAAGTTAAGGTAAGTTTAGAGACATACCACCATTTAACGTGGTAAGAAAGTGGACATAAGTCAGAGTCAGTGCCTGAAAATTGGAACAATTTAGTAAAATCACCTCAGTTAGCCATAATGGTAGCTTGACAGGATCCTCTGTCTGTTATACACTTACTAAGTCGCCAACCCTATATAAACAACTTCAAAAAAGAACTATCCCTTTAACGCCCTTTAACCCCTCGCTTTAGTCTTGTTACGATTACAACAACCGCTGACAGTGACGGCTCTATCCTATCTTACACTGAGAAACATTGACGGTGGCGTTCCAGATAGCCATTCTCCACCCCATTATTAATTCATATAATATCACATGTTGGAATGAGGTTCTTCATCCGTCATGTGAGCGTTCACAAAAGATGATATCGAGTTAATATAAAATTCAGCTCATATCAGAGATCCCGCTGAACATGGCACCTTTGATACCTGCAAAGTAACTGTGAAAAATCTCCTCACAGCCCCGCTCTGCTGTGAGAAATGAGGCAATATGTTTCTAAACTGTATCCCAATTCATAATTCAAAATGCTGCGTGATTAACTTTCTTCTCCGGAGCCTTAATGTGATACCAAATTAAATAAGTGCTGGAAGAGAGAGAGAGGGAGAGGGGGAGGCAACGAAATATCAATTTAGAGGCTTAGGGAGAAAGAGTTGGAGTAGACGGCAGAATGAGGCTGTGAGGAGAGGTTATGATAGAGTGGTGGATAAGAGGAGGAAAATAAGGGGGAGGATAAGGCTGGAACACACCTCTTAGTCTTGTGAGGGTGTCTGTTTCTGCATACATGCAAGAGCATGCATGGTGTTGGTGTTTTGGGCCTATGAAGGACTGAGGTGAAGCAGGTGTTCACGAGATAACGATGCAGGTGTCCTCATCTTTTGGCATCCCGGGATTGACCCCAAATGGTGACATGGTCTATAAAAAGCAAACTATATGCTTGGGTTATTTGAGGAATCAAATACATTACTACTAGTAATGTGTGGTACGGATGAGGTCTTACACTCAGAACTGACCACGCCTTCTTTTAGCTGAAAGTGGTCCATCCAGGTATGGTCAAAATGAACAGCAGTCAACAGGAATTCAGGGTTTCTTTCGCAACGTAGTCGTCTAAAACAGAAAACACGATCATTTTCGACTATCAAGAGTTCAGATCTAGAAGTCCTGACATTTTTGATCAGTTGTCGGCGGTGTAGCATTCGAAAAGGTCCAAATTTAAAGGGTCCCATTAGTGTACGTTCAGTCCGTTTATCACACTTAAGCTAATATGTTGCGAAAATCTAGAGTTTCTTTTTCTAACAGTCAAAAGGAGCAGGGTCACAACCAAAGGGTGAAGTAACTGGATGGTTGTACTCATATCATGACCCGTTGATCACTACTGGGAATACATTTCAAATAGTACTTTCACTTCAGGTACCAAAAATAACAGCAGGGGGGGATAAAGAGACAGCTAAAACCCCAACTTTGAAGTTTTAACCCGCCGTTTTAAAACAACATGATGCCATTATTTGTTTTTTTGTTTCCGAAGAAACTGACTTGGCCGAGCTACAGTCTACGCTCCTCCAAGTCCACATTCAGATTGAACATATTATCATAAAGACTTCTAGTAAATATAAGTACCGGTTTGTGTGGAGATCAGACTCCACATTTACACACCATACTGTTCCTGACCTCCCCTCCCTCACCCTTCTCTCTCCTCCCCAGTCATTTACATTTATATTGAATTAGAAGCCGTGGTGGAGAGCGAGTGGAGGCAGCCGAGACTGATTATAATGGGAGATTACGGGCCGACTGCACCACCATTATGTCGTGTAATTACAAAGAGAGAGAGAGAGAGAGAGAGTAAGGGAGAGGAGGATGGGGCCCTTGGACGCCCAGATGTCAGGATCTATTTCATTTAGGGAAATAATGTCTCTCTGCTTTCCCTTCCACCTATTCTACCTGTAAATATTATAGAGAGCCCCGTTCTTGCCCCTTTTACACCCGCCTTTATGGGTCGCGATTTATTGGAGACAAATATCAAACAAGGCATTAAGGAGGATGTGTGGGTCCCCAACAGGCGATTTACCGCTGCGTCTCGATTCGCTTTATGGCTTCATTTGACTGCCATCGATCTGGTGTCGTAATGCTTGTAGGATTACCGGCCATGTACTCAGGAAAGAACTAATGGGCTCAGCATAATGTGGAGCCTGTTTGAAAAGATCGTCTGCCGGAGCTTGGCTTATGAAATACAACAGAGGAAGTGACAGGTAATTCTGCCGTTAGGGGAAGACTTATGGTCGCAGGTGTGGCAGTAAATTAAAGGGACATTACAAGGAGTACAAATCCTGTTTAATGATATGGCGCTCATTTATATACTGTCCTTAACAAAGCTACAAACCGAATGTAGAATATCTGTATTTATAGCATAGAATTATTGGAAAAATCACAAAGTAATGAGAGGTCTTTTTTTTTATTGTTATACCCCAATTAAAAAAAAAGGAGGTACTTCTCATTTCTTTGTTAGGACAAAATTTTATGGCTGCTTCCTTTAACAAAATTTAGATAATATGGGATAAAAGAAGAAGCAGTCACTCGGCTTATCGGTTACCTATTAAACCAGATCTATGCTGAAGCTGGAGTACGGTGTTCCCCAAGGTTCAGTGATAGGGCCATTGCTGTTTATTTTGTATATAGTAAGTATAAAGTCTTCAAAACCTGCCGTGGATCAGACTTCGAATAACAGTAGAATACTGTGAGGGATGAGATAAATGAGCTGATGGATTTAATGTTGTTATGATTGGGAAATTTCAATAACAAGTCAGGTCTCGTTTATGTCCCTCTCGTGCAGAAAAATATTGTATTGTGTATCGTTCTGACTGACCGAAGCTTTCAACACAAAATACCAAATCGATGGTTTTCTTCCCTCTCAATGAGCTCTGAAAATCTGTAACCTGTTGACTCCAGGTGAGGCCCCTCTCACTCAGTGTGTTTACATGCACAGTTTAATCGAACTAAGCTCATAATTCGTTTTTTTTTTTGCCGAATCGGACTTCTCTCCTTGTCCGTGTACACATGGATACATATACATGTTCTGGGGTTATGGGGGCGTGGCGCACATGCATTGTCCGATCATACTCCGACTACACTGGTTACATGGTAGTTCTCAAACTCTGATTACAGTCGGACGAAGGTGTTCACATGCAATTTACTTGTCTGGTCTTAATCGGAGTAAGGCAATAATTCGGTTTTCTCGAGTGTCATGTAAATGTACTGACTGTTGCGGTATGATGACGTGATCTGGTGCCAACAAGGAGTTTTATTTTGTAAGTTACTTGAATGTTTGAATGCACGGCTACATCTACTGCAGAGGTGTCCGGATTTCTGGAGCTCAGATGGAGCAGAAAATGACAAAAAGTTGGTAAAAAGTTGAAACAGTACAATAAAGCTGATAAGGGTAAAATGCAACAGTAAAGAGAGATTAGCAGGAAGGCGGAGTCTCCTTGGAGGAAAGATAAGGAGAGGTTCAACACTTTGTGAGAGACTGCGGGAGAAAACAGGTCAGCAGTTTCTAAAACAAAAAGGTCCTGATCTTACAGTAAATAATAAAGGATTCAGGTAGATTATCAAACATTGCTTTAATAACTCGTAGTTCATAATTATGTGACATTTAAAAATCCTCAAGTTTGAGTGAGTGCTTGAGGGTCTTTAAGGCAGACATCCACCAGGTGATTTTATGAGGCTAAACAGCAGTAAATGATGTGGATCTCATCTGTTTGAGGTGTAATAAAAACACCTATTTGAAGAGTCGGGATAATGAGGGCTATAAAAACAGTGATTAAACGGGATTACTTTGATATTCTGGCTCGAGTTAGAAGGAGTTTGCAAGCATTGTTATCATGACCGAATAATAAAACCGTCCAATGTGAGCTGCTTATAATCCAGGGCCTTTAAATATGTTTTCAGGGCCTCAGTGGAGTCATGATCAGACCGGACAATGGCCCCATCTAGTGTTAATTTGAGTTATTGTAAATGTTTGCTGTCAGCTGACATTTATTGTGACGGATCCTTCAGTAAATATGCAGTAATGTCTCAGTCATTTGTTGGCAGCCTGGCCGGAGGTGCTTGAGCTTATGGAGGAACAGTAACTGAATGTCTTTATTTGAATGTAAGCATGTAAACAGGAGATTAGAAGGCATTAATGTGACAGTGATTTACGCTCTGGGGTCTGTAATGTGTGCCGAACTGGTGCACCATTGGCCCATGACCAAATTATTGGAAACAAGTTTCAAATTGCAAATTTTACATTTTTATATAATTATGACTGAATAACGACTTGTGTCTCTAATCTTAGTAAGCTAATTGGTCCTATAACCTATAAATCAAATGAGCTCAAAGACTGAAATCAGTGTGTAACTTGCTGAGCGTCACAGTCAAACTATCAAACAACCCAGCGTACTGTCTTTGTGTTTATCCAGAAAATTTTGTTTATATTTGCAAAAAAAGGGAAAACGTTTGAGATGTACAAAAGGGCGTAAACAATGGTTCAATGGGCCCCTCTGTTTTGGCCAATAATATTGATTGTTTATCATTCACACACCTTCACAAATTAACATTCTATGACATGCAAACATACCTTTATCTTGGCGTTTTTTTCTCTTCTTCTTTCTCGGCTCCTAAAGGATATGTCCTTATTTTGCAACATTGTTTTGCCCCCAAAACTACCTGCACTTTGGATGCTCAGTGCACATCGCACAGCAGAAGGCACATAACGGTAACGGAGCTTTGACATATCGGCAGTACGAATCATAGGCCTACATCAGCAGCAACACTAAAATGTTTTACTCTTTTTTGTTTTATTTTTATATGTATTTGTATATATTTATTATTTTTATATTTATTTATTATATATATTATAGTTATTTGATCATAAAGAAAGCATCACTCATACATGCAAAAAATAATAAAAAAAATATATTTTTTTTTTCAGGCGCTAAGTTCACTTGTGCCTTGGGTCGGCTCTGGGCGTAAACAACTAAAATTAAAAAACCATAACCAAAAAAAAGTGTTCAGATTTGTGTCTATTTTAGGCTACCGTACATATAAAACAAAATTTTTGAAGCACAACAATATTGTTTTCCGGAATTTTCAGTTTTTGTGTAAATAAAGGAAAAACATAAAAAAAGTCAGCCTTAAAGCAGAGTCGGTATATTTTTCAAACTAATAGGAGTAGGAGCCGAAACATATTTTTATAATTTGTACGTCACTTCCGGGGCGTGGTTTTGTGATTTTTGGCGGGATACTTAAAAACATCGGTGTAGTCAGAGACGGTGTTTTTTTATTTATTTATTTATTTATTTTTTTAATTGTGAGCTCTGATTATTTTCTGTTGACCATTTTCACTCTTCTTTCTCCTACCCACAATTCATCGTATCACCGTTTCATTTAGAGGCAAAAGTTTGGACCTGGATCGGTACTAGACGGTAAGTTTCCATCCTTTTTATGAATAATAAATCACCTTTAACAATCAAGCGGCCCAGGAAAGCAGTCGCTACAAGTAGGCCACGAATTTCAATGGATCCACTTTACAAAAAGACGCCGTTAAGACGAGACTTTTATTTTGAAGGCTGCCCCTGACGAATACACCGGAAGTAAACACTGAAACGTACGGATTCCGTAACGTACTCAGGAGGGGGTTCGTTCCTTGGACTTTTACCTACTTATGTTGTTGTTCTTTTGATTCTGTACCTGATTTTTTTTTGATCGGCGTCGAGTATGAGCGCGATTCTTCCGCGGATCGAGCAGCTGTCCGCCAGAGTGATCCGGGTTTTGGGCTGCAACCCGGGACCGATGACCCTGCAGGGAACCAACACTTACCTGGTCGGCACAGGCAAAAGGTGAGAGTTCATCTCTCTCTCTTTTATAACGACAAGCTGATTAAATGTCTTTTCTTCTTCTGAGTATCTGTATTTGAAAGGAATTCGTTGTTAAAAACGCACCGCATACATTTTTTTCCTCATAGCCCCATGTTAGCAGATGGAAAAGAACCAAACTCCATTCAAAAAACACCGAATTCAACGTTTTCTGGCTTGTAGCTGAAAACAGACAGAATATAAAGTAAGACTGATTCTGTAAACGGAACTACTAATATCTACTAGTATATTTGGCTGATGCAGATGATGAGTATCAATACACGGGTTTATGGTATCACTAGACTTTTACAATAATGATCTTGAGAGTCTAATTTTGGCACTTATTCAAAGCCAGTATGTTGAGTAAAGACAGGGAAATATGTTGATCTAAGTCTTGGTATGCTTGTTTTGTGAAAAAATGTGAATTAACGTGGTCTTTTTTGTTTGTTTTGTGGGTTTGAAAATATGACATATTGAACTGTAAAAAGGCATGTTGGCCTGCAGCTGTTGTTTATTTTTATTGAAAGAGGGGCAGACTCTATAAGAGTTTTTTTCTTTCTGCTCCTTTTTATTCACTTTTGAGATTTTTCCTTGTTTGTATTGAAAGTTTTAAATATCAACTGAAGGTAATAAAGTATGAAAATGAAAAATGAAATTTCATTGCTTCATGAAAAATATAAACATCATCTCAATATTGCATTGTGTCTTCTTTTAGCAACACTGTGTAAACCTTAAAGAACCAATAAGGAGTTTTTTTTTAAGTGAAATATTGGATTTACAATTGTGTGTGTATAATGTGTGTTTATATTTCAGGAGAGTGCTCATAGACACCGGAGAAGCTGCTGTTCCTGAGTACATCAGCAGTCTGAAACAGGCCCTGAAGCAGTTCAACACCAGCATCCAGGAGATCATCCTCACACACTGGCATCATGACCACACTGGCGGAGTGGAGGACATCTGCAGGGACATCACGGGTACGAAGGTCTCAGCTCAAGTTTCTTTGTTCTTGTGTTGCTGTGTTGTTTTCAGAAATTGAAAATACCTCTCCGTTCTCCTCACAGGCTCTGACGTTCAGGTCAGCAAACTTCCTCGCTCCAGTAACATCTCAGAGACGGCTGGGAACAAAAGCTTCACTTACCTGAAGGACGGAGATGTGGTCCAGACAGAGGGCGCCACACTAAAGTGAGTCAGGTTTTAAGTGTTGTTAATGAGCACAGAGCTTTTCAAACAGAGAACCGTGTCAAATATCTGTTTTTTTAGAGTGCTCTTCACACCAGGCCACACCGACGACCACATGGCACTGCTGCTGGAGGAGGAGGGGGCGGTCTTCTCGGGAGACTGCATCCTGGGTGAAGGTACGGCCGTGTTTGAGGATCTCTACGACTACATGAAATCTTTAAAGATCCTCCTGGATGTTCGAGCTGATCTCATCTACCCTGGTGAGTAAAAAGTAGAGAAAATGTGTGGCATATTCACACCTGAAGGCTGCCCAATCAAGTCCAGTCCACAACCGCGCTGCTTTCCCTGTGCAGGTCATGGCCCCGTGGTCCAGGATGCCGGCTCTAAGATCAGTTACTACATCAGCCACAGAGACCAGAGAGAGCAGCAGATCCTGGCAGCTATTCAGGATGGGGCGGGAAAGCCTTTCACCTCCATGGAGCTGGTCAAGATCGTCTATAAGGTCAGAACAAGATCTCTTTGAATGTTTTTGCAGTTATGTTCAGAAACTTCAGAAACAGAGATGAATGTGGCGACGCTAATTTATGATAGTAGAAATAAAACAAGGCTTTGGACGTGATCCCAAGATATACTGCACCAGATCATTGATGCTTTTATATAATGATGCATTTATATTCACATCCATGTGGTATTTTGTTACAGACTTTTTTTTTGACTCTGTAACTTTTTTTTGTTACAGAAGCGGAAACAAGATGGCTGCATCTACGAAAGTTATTTTAGCACTTGCCTTGTCCAAATATATAAGGCAGGAAAATACTTCTCCGATCTCCTTACAGGCAAAGCTATTTTAGCGCTTGCCTTGTCCGAATAGCGCTAAAAGTCAAGCGCTAAAATAACTTTCGTAGATGTAGCCATCTTGTTTTACACCTCCAATTTTGCTTTTTTACTTAGTAACTGAAACGCTGGTTACTCGGGTGTGACGTCATTTTCAGCTCAGTGCTCTGACTTCCGAGGTAACTCAAACGCAGTGTAATTATACTTTATCTTATTTTGCTGTATTGTAGCTAACATGTCATATCAAATTGTGATTTAATACATTGTGTATCGTTTAATGTATTGAATATTATGCTGTGTCCTATCTTTTTGTATCGTACACATTATCGTTTCACACTGTAATAATCGTATCATATGATTTTCTTTCATGAAACACAATTGTTTCCTGCCCAATTACTCCATAGTCTATTAAATTGTAACCCTTGTATCACACAGTACCGTACTGTATTGAATGATATTGTACCAAATAGTATCATATCGTCCACTTTAAATTGTATTGTGTTTCATTATACAGATTTTAATATATAGTATCGCTTTAAATTATTGGAACTTACAGTATGGAGTATAGAGTATCATCGTGTCATATCTTTATGTTTTAATAGGTACTGTTTGGTAAAGTACCTTTTTGAATCTTATTGTTTTATTTTATTTGTGACTGGTAACACTTGATTCATCTCGTCTAGGACACCCCTGAACATCTGCACCCAGCAGCTAATGTGAACCTGGTCCATCACTTAAAGAAACTGGAGAAAGAAGGAAAGATCACCTTCGGTACGTCACCCTCTACCACGACTGTAGAACATCCTGGGATGATATCAGAGCATCAGACTCAGCGCTGAAATCTAAACCCTTAAGGGAGACCTTTCCCGCTCTGCAGAGACAGTTTTCTGTTATTTAGATTCCAGCAAAGTTATCTGTTGCTGAAAATTGATTGAATTTCTTTTTGGTTGATTTATAAAAGTAGGGTTTGTAGTCAAAGACTTTAAACTCAAGTATAATAACAGAAACTTCTCTCCCCCTCAGTGAACGACGCTCCACAGGACGTCAAGTGGAGGAGTAACCTGTGATTTCCACTGAAGCCACAAAGAAATTATCTTTCCTCGATCATTTGGTGATTCTTACTAAATTCTCAATCGAACTGTGATTGACAGATAAGTGAATGAGGACAAAGGGGCTGGGGGGTCACACATGCTGTCTTGGATGTTTCCTGACTCTGATTAGGCTGAAGTACACTAACGGCTGATTCAGGTCCCTGATTTTGGTGCTGTGTGATTTCCTAGGATCCCCTGTTAATGTGACCTGCACTTTTCAGGAGTTCAATATAGAGCAATCTTTGAGTGAATCTTGATTTGGGAATCAAATATTTTTAATATAAGTCTGTGGTGTCCAGGGATCCCACAATAATGATAGTATTCTGGTTCAGTTTGACACACTGTCAGCTGAGTTTTCTGGGAGTTTTTTTTAGAGTGATCGGTGGCATTCGAAAGCGCAGTAGTGTCATGTTATATCACGAATCAGGAGAAAGAAAGGTCCAGGATTGATGGTATTAAACAGATTTAATGAGGCATTTATCTTTCCTGTTTATTCTTTATCTGGACTCTTGCAGATTTTTATGTATTTATTTTTTTTAAATTGAAGTTTGGAAAGGAAACCTTATGCTGCGTTTGCCCCTTTGTGAAGCCAGGGGTCGACTTTCCCTGAATTATTGGCTCTTTGAATGAGTTAATGTTGAGCTAATTGTGTTTACATTGGGATCCTGTGCAAAGTAATAATTTGTATTTTGTTCAGGAAGCATTTATTTACTTCCTCTTCATGGACACTGGATCAGTAGAGTAATGAAAAATAAAACCTATTTTGTTGAATCTTCAGAGACTATAACAGCAGACGGTGTAAATCTTTATTAAGACCAACATTCAGACTTAATTTCAGCAGTAAAGTTGTTAAAACATAAAACTGTTTCCTTTTATCTGACCCTGATATTAACGCACTTGTATTTAAAAGGCTGCTGTAACACTTCAGTCAGACACTAGGTGGCACTATCTGCTTATACTGACAGAACATGAACAGCAGATATAAAAATACAAACATAAATCTGTTAAAATGACTATATATTATGAACGTGACTGTGTAATCATGGTATTTTTTTAATCTAAATAATTAACGCTGTCTATTTTCAGGCAGTGAGTCAAAACTATCTTATTTTGCAAGAATACTTGAACATATTGAGGTATAACTTCTATAAATGTTAATATATCATCAATAAAATCTCTGTAAACATCATTAAGCAGGTGAATCTGCTCTAAGTTAAACCAACATTATAAACCAGCTTTCAAATGAGTAACCTCTGTGAACTTTTGACCTATTTGCAAGTCGAATCTGTTTTCATAATGACTAATATCTCTCATGCAGTCTGACATTTCTGGGGGTTGTTTTATATTATCACATACAGAGTTATCATGTCGCCTCTGTGGGTTTTTCTGTGTAACTTGAGCAGCTTCATTGGAATGACCTGCCTGTTTGAAGCAAACATCGCTGAACTTCGCCACAGTGCCACAGAAACAGACCAGATAACACATCAGCTGAATGCACTGTGCACACATAAACTACAAGACCATTTCTGCACATTTAAAAGACGAGCAAGGCACCACCTCTTCTGTCGCTGCATTCTCGCAATTTTTTTTGTTTTGTTTTAACATTTATTTTTAAAAAATCACACTTGGAAATATGGTGGCCCCAAAGGCGAACTGCACTAACATTTGACTGAACTGAACCCAAAAGTTTAACCAAACACAAAAATATTTTACTGAACATAAAAATTCTAATTCAATGCTAAATTTATTTCACCAAACACAAAAACTTCTCATTAAATACAAAATGAACAAATAAATGGAGGTAAATGGAATCCGGAAAACATTTCATAGAACAAAAAAAAAAATCAATGACAGCTGGCAAATCACAAAAAAAATTCAGTGAAACACTCAAAAAGCATTAACGATACAAAATGTTGTTTTTTTGATTTTGATTTTTTTTGGTTTTCAGTCGTAAGTGAAATAAACATTTCAGCTCCAAAATTTTTTTAATTTTTCTTGGTCATAATTTGTGGTTACAGGCATTAAAGGGTTAAATGACTACAGAATAATTTCACAAAAAGCACTCATATTAAATTAAATTCAATACTTTGAGTTTCAAATTTGAGATTCATGTATTAGATAACATTTTTGCATTTCATTAAATATTTTTGTTCAGTGAAATGGTTTTGTGAGTAAATGTTTTTACATTTCCTGAAACAGGCTTGTGTTGATTTTGCATTTTTAGGTGTTTTCTGAAATCTTGTCACTATGTCCTCTCAGGGCCACCATATAGAAAACACTTTTGATAACTGAATCTCACTAATCATAGGTTAATTCGGTTGTAAACTCCTCTTTATTGGTTAAAATTGATTTTTTTGTTGTTACCATAGTTCATTGTTTGTGTCCGGTTTAAATGCTGCCTGTACCTTATGTGTCACTATAAGGTGGAGAGAGAGAGAGAATGGTAGAGAGACACCGGCTCAGCGTTGTGGTAATGAGATGAGTAGAGGTGGTGGAGAGGAAGGAGGAGGGGGGGGTCTACTGGTAAAGATAAACAGCCGAGGAGCCTCTGAGCCACTGGAACATGGCGGCTCCGGCCCTGGACGCCACTGCCGCTCCGTCCCGTTGACCAACACATCCGGCACCGCTCGCACCCACGGCTCCTCAACTCTCAGGTAAGTTTCCTGTCATTTGTCCTGACACCCCCCTCGCCTCCCCCCAAAAATACTCATCCCATCCCGCCTCGCGTAGGAGAAATATCGCAAATATTTCACGCCGGAGCTCGTGTAAAGTGTCAGTTCCAGTTCAAATCGAGGTTAACGTACTTGAGAGTCGCGCGACATAACCGTTAGGACATTTGTACGGTGTTTCCTCTCCGCGCGTGACACGACCGTTATACCGTTTTGTGTGAATTGATCCCAAAAATGTCACCGTCGAGTGTTTGAGACTGGAAAATAAGGTGAAACGGGACCGGTATTTGTCGTGCGGGTTATTTCTCGGTGTCCCTGATGTTGTTAGCCTCCTTAACAAACTGTACGGCACACTGAATCGGCTGAACTGACAACCGCAAACGTGTTTTAGGCGAAATTCACGGATCGAAAATGACACTTTTAACCGGTTGTCTGTCAAAATCCGCTGTTCGGTGTGAGGACTTTGTGGAGAAAAGTAAATGCTGATATTCTTGTGTTTGTTTAACGTGTTCAAACACTGAGTGATAACTGCACAAATATCCCAAACGGGACTTGGGTGTTTAACTTTAACAGTTAGCTGTTAAAACCACCTTCCTGATCAACAGAAGCGACCAACCGCAGGCTTATGTGAACCGTGACACCCTGCGTTGGCAACGACCCTGCTCCGGGTGTTGTTGATGTCAAAGTTGGGTATTTCTGCTCAAATATTCAACATTTTGGTTTTATTTTCGAGGTAGTGGTGTCACTCGCGTTGATAAATGGCAGTTTGATGGTGAAATATTTGACTTATTCGCGGTTGATATTGCTCCGACTTCCTCAATAAACCGAAGCATCAATGTTAACACTGTCTTCACACAGCTTCCGTCGTCCTGCTTCAAAATAAAAGAATTTCAGATATCAATTTCATGCAAAAACCGTGGTTATTTTTCTTATGAGCTTACCCTGAAGTTTTTTCTTGCCACTGCTACTCATGTTAGATGAGATGGTCCAAAACCCATCTTAGGTTGGTCCTTGATCATCAAACAATGAGCGTGGTCTACACCTGCTCTTGTTCTTTGAAAAGCGTCTTGGGATGAGGACTGTTGTGAATTGGCGCTATAGAAATAAATTCGATTGATTGATTGATAGATATTGTGAATTGTATATTTTGGTATCAAAAAGTCATTTAAGAATAAGGCAAATGGGATAAGAGATTTACTTAAATCAGCCCACCACCTTTATATAGCTATATAAGCTATATTTCCTCCAAAAGAACCAAAATTCAACACTCACCAAACAACAATCTGCATAGTCTGGGACTTTTTCTCCTTTTCAAGACTTTCTGAGGCAGATTTTTGGTGCTGGAATCATACTTGTCTAAAATGAAATCAAGGTGTTTGTCTGATTGATTGTTGGTGCTTTTATTTTGAAGAGGAAATTGACCAGTGTTTGGTCTTAATCTTGTTCATTCTGGTGAGCTTGGTAGAGTTTATCAATCAGCATTTGATGGTATTAGCACAGACCTTTTTCCTCATGCATTTGATCCCATGAAGGAAGTGTTTCACACATAAATATACAAACTTGTAAATGATTATATTCTGAGAAGAGTAAATTATTTATGAGTCAGTCCTCCAACACAATGCAAATGACAGCATTTCTAATGGGAACAAAAACAGGTGAAACACGACAACAGCTGACTGTAAATACACTTCTCTCAGTGAATTGACAATCGTTTTATTTCTCTTCATATAAATATATGTTCTGCTAAAGTGCAGATAATGTGAACAAACAGATGTTAGTCTGGCCAACAGAGTGTATTCCTCCTATTGTGTGCAGGATCAGCATTGCCTGAGAAGGGCTGCAGGGCTGTAACTTAATGTGCTACAGGAGTTTAAACTGAATAGAGACTCAGCACAGTTTAACTCTATTGTCTGACAGTCAGGTAGGCTTTCTCTGGTGCAGGACAGGTTCAGGAATTTGTCCTTATTTGCTGTTGTGCTGGTTTGTCTGTGTTTGCTGTTGTGCTGGTATGTTACTGTAGAGAACCTGTAAGTTTGCCTACGTGACAGGTGCCATCTGACTCCTCTAGATGTGTTATCTTTGAGGGCTGGACTCCTGATTTTTTGGCTCTTTAAAGCTTATTTGCTCTTTCCCTGCACCCCAAAGTGAACTTTGAAAAGTGTTGCAACACTCGGGTTGCCAGGTCCTGTGTTTATCCCCTCTGTTGTGAACTATATTCTGCAGTTTTCATGTGTTAGGTTCAGCAACATGACTCTGACAATAAGCAATTAAACAATTACAGCCTGATCACCGGGCTTTAATGCACCAGGGTTGTTATTTAGCTGCAGCAAGAGTGCAAGGAATGTATTTAAGACCAAGATCTTAACATGAGATTGGCCGTTTGCCCAGTGAGGGATTCTTAGTAGCTTGAATTCACTCGACCACGTGAGGGCTCAAATAATGCCCTGACCAATGACAACAGCAGCAGCAGGAGAAACAGAAGGAGGAGGAGGAGGGGAAAAGGCTTGACTGTGCACTTCTCCATTGCAGGTTTCCACCAGGTTTTATCCTCAGCAGGCAAATCCAGAGGAAAGAGAAGAAATTCAAAGTCCAACTGCAAAAAGCGTGCATTTTCAGTTTGTTCCTAAAGACACATGTCCTGTGCATGATTACAAAACCACCACTGTCTTTAAACTGTTGTGAGGGTTTATCTGATTCATGATATAAACATTAAACATAGAGTCAGAGACGTCTGGATGAGCTTTTCTAAACGCTTTTCCCAATACTGAGAATAACTAGTCCTGATCTAATACTACTAAAGCCGCATTTCTGTATTCTTGTTGACGAAAGTGAAGCTAAGTGTTGGTTCATGCAGGATTTAGCAGTCATAGGCCTGACAGGTTAGAGCCAAGTATAACTGTATTATGGCATGACGAAATGCAGAATGTGGCGCATTACAAACTCCAACAGTAAACATAGTTCACATGCCTTTGTCGGATGTAAAATTAAAAGTCAAAATCCCAACGTCACAACCAAGAGTAAACCATAAACAGTTATGTTGAGCCTGATTAATCTCTTGTGTATCTCTAATCCCAATTATTCAGATTGTAATTAAAACCATGATTATTAATCACTATTAGTCATGATTTGAGATCAATCACAAACTGTAGGAAAATGCTGTTTTACCTGGTTAGTTAACCAAAGCATGCCTGTCCGTCTAACTGGATTTTTAGCCTTCTAGTCGTGAAGTCGGTTGCACTCACACACGCTAAAGATCTCTACAGTTTATTTTTTGTAGTGCTCAGTCGGTCCTTTGGCTTTTCAGACGCACAATGACCTCCTCCTGCTCTCCTCATCTGCCTCCTCCTGCTCCTCTCAACTACCTTGCACACCCAAACTTCATTTACATCGATCTGAGCTCGTAACGATTAAGTTAAAGTGAGACTTTGATCGGTCCCCTTGCTCCTACTGTGTTGGGGTGTGTTACCTTGTTTCTAAGTAAATAAAAGCAACTTTTATTAGCTGCTTTAAGAGACAGACTTACATTATTGGAATAATTAGTATTGATAAAATATTCCCTTTATTGTCACCAAACATCGGACGTCGAAGATCAAGTTAGTATTGGGTCGGTCTGTCAAAGACCACATCTAGACATCAGTGCGACGTGCAAAACAGGTTAGAAATTTCCAAATTGATGCTTTTTTAAAAGTCGCTCTGATGTTTATAATTTGGACGTCATCTGAAGACCAAATCTAGACGTCATTATTGGACCTCTTTTAGACGTTGAAATGACGTTCACATTTGTACCTCATCATCAAAAAAATACGTTAAATAGATGTCATTTCGACGTCGCAGTGCGCAGTGGGTTGGCCTGATAATCTGTGGATAACCCTCTGCAAATTTGTGCATACCCAACAAAATGACCTCATCCTAAAAAGCTGCTTTATCTTGTCATGGCGACATCAGGAAGAAGTATAAAATATAACAATTAAAACAGAGATTAGTATTTGCAAATCAAATTCAAGAACAAAAAACTGACCCACTGCATCAAAGTTCAGAGCTGGAACCTGCTGCTGTCGTATATTTTTGTACCTCATCTTCTTCTGGACACATTTTGCAGAGGGAATATTACAGTAATTATGGTAATCAGGCTCTACAGGAGGCTTTTGGAGGAGTCGTGACATGGCTGTGCATGTGTGTGTTTGTGTGTGTGCGTGTGTCTGTGTGTGTGATGTGTAGGTTAATTAGAGCACTTGGTCTCAGGAGGATCAGACCTGGAAGACGACCGTCTCTGCTACGTGACAGAGAGCCAGGTGGCTGTAAGTGTGTGTGTGTATGTGTGTGTGAGTGTGAGTGTGAGAGAGTCTGATAAGTTGGTGGCAGTGAGAAGAGCCAGACACAAACAAACACAGCTGGGAGACACAAACACAAACAAGCACACACCCATTGGATGCTCTACCTGGAGCCCATTCATATCAGATATTCTTCTTGTATTTGCAGGTGAGCACGGAGATTTGAACTCATCCTGCCAGCGATGTTTGTTTCCTTATACACTGCACTTGTGTGTTGTATATGGTGTTTTTGTACAGCACTCCATTGTAGTAACAAAGAAATATACCGACATGTTAAATGGTGGTTTTTAGTTATTTAAGACAGCCATAAAGATGTTTTAAAGTGTGAGCTTTAGGGTAATAGTGAGTAAAAAGAGCTGTTTGTTTGTGTCACAGATGCCTGTTTAACCCTGGATTTTAAGGATGTGCATTTAACATTCAATGTTTCATTCAATAATCCATCTGAGAGTGGTTTTCTCTTCAGAGATTTTGCAGCTCGTCTGTCAGGAGTTTGGTTTGCATCAGCGAGAGACACTGCTGTTTCTGTTGGCTGGTCAGCTAAACGTGGGGCTCAAAGTTCAACCTAAAGGACTCTATTTTCAGAAGGTTTGAGTTTCTCGCCTCAACAAAATCTGTGGAGGGCAACATAATATTTGCTGCATATCAGGTGTAGACTCGTGCATTAATGAGGAATACAATATTCATAGCTTTCTCTACATTCAACCTCTCCTATATGTTCAAGAACCGTAACAAAGCTTTACAGGGTGGAAGCAGCAGACCAGGGAGCCAAGTCCAGCAGGTTGCATAACAAGTGCTAATTTGGTTAGCTGGAGTTGACAGCGGCTGTAATTCTCCAGCACTGGGACAGCAGAGCTGAGTTAGAGCAAGTCCACAGGCCTCCAGCAGGATAATACAAGCTAATAGCATAACAAGCTTTTGCGGAACAAACCTAGGCTGTAGCCAGAGTTAACTGTGGTGCTTTTCAATGCTTTTGGTCTAGGCTGCTGATGGCAAGGAGATACAGGAGTTTTGGAAGAATTACTGTGGTTAATGCAGCCAAAGATCAGGCTTAGGTCAAGTTTGATTGGTCAAGATTTACTCTGACTTACTTTACTCTAACCTCAGAATCATCCAAAAATCCATAAATAACCAGGAAGAAATGGGCAGCGAAATTAAGGGTTTAAGTACTTTCAGCTTTAAAACAATAAATAAATAAAAATAAAAGTGCCCGCAGTGACACGGGCCCTAAGTTTAATTTGCCTTTGTTGTCATTTATACCAATCAATCAGGGTCCTTTGTTTAAAATGGGGCGGGTTCTGTCAGAAAACAGCACAGCAGCATATACATAAACAACCAAGATGGCAGCTTCCGCCACTGAAAAGTACATTGAATATTAACAATGTAAAGAATGCACATCCACTGGAGTGATAGGTGTGTTTTTATTCATCTCATTTCATCCCAACATTCTAGAACCCAGCATTCTCGAACATATTGTTACATAACCGAACATTTTAGAATCAAATATCTTTTTGGCTAAAGGTTGTTGAAATGCGTAAAGCATTCTAGAACCCAGAATTTCGGAACAGAACATTCTGGAACCCAGGATTTTGGAACCCAACGTTCAAGTATCCAACATTCTAGAACCCAGCATTCTGGAACCCAACATTCTAAAACCCAGCATTTTGGAACCCACAATTCTAGAACCCAACATTCTCGAACATATTGTTACGTAACTTTTAGTTTTAGAATCAAGTATCTTTGTGGCTAAAGGTTGTTTTACATCTCTGCTGCAATGCATAAAGCATTCTTGAACCAAGCATTTTGGAACCCAGTGTTTTGCAACCCAACATTCTAGAACCCAGCATTCTAGAACATATTGTTACATTACCAAACTTTCTAGAATCAAGTTCTAGGACCCAGAATTTTGGAACCCAAAATTCAAGAACCCAACATTCTAGAACATATTATTACATCACCAAACTTTCTAGAATCAAGTATCTTAACAGTTAAACTTCAGTGTTTTTACAAAAAAAAAAAATCAGTCCTGTCGTGCCTTTTGTTACCAATACTTACACTATCAGTATCACCAAATATCCCCTGGGTATAAACAAAGTATTCTGATTCTGATCCTGATCTTGTCATAGATGAAAACTTTTTGACAAAATACTCTGGATTTTGGTTCAAATATAATTATTTTTAGGGTTTTTGATTGCATCTGACTTTTACTGACAGCCCAAAGCACACTGAAGAGTATCTGAGTCCTAGAAAAGAAGAGATTCCTCGAAAGATCGTCTCCTCTGGACTTTTTTTTAGTTTACAAACTGAACGGAATCACAGCCTCAGACTCTGTAACTGCGTGTAGGAAAAGAAAGCATTTGCTCTTGCATGTGTGCTTGTGCAATTCACAAAACAGTTGGGCAGAGATCAGCTGTCCATCCCCTCCTACACACACACACACACGCACACGCCAGCACTGTCACGCTCTGACACACACTGACACACAAACACTGACACATGCACACATATGCAGCTATCTCTCAGTGGTGGCAGGTGCATTTTGAAGTGTTGTGGCGTTTAAGTCCACAATGTCCAAATGACAGAGAGGGCGGCTGTTTGATCCAAACACACACACACACACACACTCTAACACACACACTCACACACACACACACACACACACACACACACACACACACACACACACACACACACACACACACACACACACACTCTAACACACACACTCACACACAGATGACACTCAAACACGCAGCAGGGGGAAGAGCCAGCAGATGTTTCAAACATGGCTGCTGACCAAAAAGCTCACTTCTCCTTTTTCTTTTTTTTTTTACTTTTCATTTATTGCTCTTGATTACAGTAACCCTTCACACCCCGCATACTCAAAGACACACAAAAACACACACAATAGTCATGATGAGTACAATAGAGACTGCTAGAACTTTCTAGGGCAGGTATTTTCCTGCGGTAGTTTTTGGTAATTTCTTGTAATCGTGTTACAATGTGGTGATTTTTAAGTTTGCTCTATCTCTTGATTTTCTTTAAATATGCTGGTTTATGTGACTCCCATTGAGTTATATTTTTTGTGTAATTTTGTAAGGATATTTACAGACAACTCCTCACTCTTTGCCTTAGTGGTCCCTCCATTTTATACATCTACCAATGCACTAAAGAAGGTCTGAAATGCCGAGGAAAAAGGACATTGTCCATTAAGAGACTGTGCTGTTTCCCATTCAGAGTTATGGTGCATGTCTTATAGCATGCCCCGGACTGAATCAAGTTAAACATTGTACTGTATGTTACTCAGGAAGGACATCATTGACAATAAGGACCTAAAAATACATCCCACATCAAATGCCAGCAAGCAAATTACACAGAAATGCATTTAGATGACTCAAGTGAATTCACTACAAACAATAGTGCACGGAAATTACAGCAATAAATGGACTTCAAATGGTGAAAATGTTGTGTAGAAAGCAATACATGTAACATTATGTTGGAAGAAGAGGTGATGATTCACAGAGGAGAACATGTGACGAGTGATATTTCCTGTAATGTCATTAGATTACATAAGACAAGGAAGGACGGCATGGAGCGAGCAGGTAGAGTCTGTGAAGACATGTAAACACGCAGAAAGCAGCTAATTAGTGCAGGTTTGAGCTTTTTAAAAACAGCGAAAGGTCTTTTTGTGAAATAGGACGTCTGTGAACGTGAAGCAAAGCCAGTGGGAACCCACTGAACCTGGACCGGCACCACACTGGCCCGGGTCAGCCTCACAGTGTGAAAAAGGCCCCCAAACCCTCTGACTGGTCCTCCAGGGCAGGGTCAGTGTCTGGGAAAAGCAGCGGGTTTTCTTGTTTTTGTGGGCCGGAGTGAGACTTCCAGCATAAGCAGTGTGTGATGTTGAAGATGAAAATCAGCTCAATAATTGACCCTGTAATAAACAACTCAACAGCATATATCTGAAACACTTACTCATACATACGGCCTCTGTTTGAACTCTGTGATGCTGTTTTATTACCTCTGTGACTCAATAATCCGTCAATGTTAGTCTATCATCTTTATCTTTGAAAGCGTATGACATTTAGCTGCCGGTAGCACCAGTAAATACGCATTATTCTCTCCATATCAAGCTCCAGTTCACAGATCATATTGCGTTTAACATTTCTCTAAACAAACAGGTCCAAAAATGTCTCCAACTCTTGGCAGTTCGCTCTTGTTTTGCGCCTGATGAACTGTCGGCATCACCACTCTCTACTACTCAGATCTGCCAATGTGACCACGCTGAGAAGGCTGAGCCTGGGTATTCCCAAACTGATGTATCTTTAGATTATAACAATAAGACTAACAGTGAAGTAATATTAACAGACTTTATGGAAAGATACTGTGACTTTAGGTCATCCAGAGGTGGAGTTTTGTCTTGATCGATGAAATTTAAAGGGCATAAATACGGTGGTATTTATATACTGTGGTATTTGAAATAGCTCTGCTCACTGTCTTTAATCTGAATCATGTCTTATGTGTGTTTCAGAAATGACTGAGTGATGTCCCAAGGAAAAAACTTTGTGGATATTTACCCAGAATGCTTTGCTTATGAGGTAAGTACGCAATTATGATTTAATAAGCTCTTCAACCCTGATATCTTTTAAATTTTTTTTGCTCATCTTGTTCCCACAAAGTCTTTTCATTTGCGTGCAAGATATTAGGAATTAATTAATTTCTATTATTTACCCTCAATATATTTACATAATGTCTACAAGATAGCTTTGTTGTGTACTCGTTGTGGTGGCAACTCTGTAGAAAACTGGAATATTACCGAGTGAACGAATTGTGTTGCGCAATTTTAGCAAATCGGTTGTGGGAAGTGGATTTATAACTACCAGCACTACTGTAGACCAAGTTCAGCGACTGTGAGGTTAGCTGGCAGGGTGGGCTTACCCGGAATTTCCACCACATCTGGAATGGCGTCGATTTTCGCCGTCTGTCGATTCCTACCACATCTGTTTGTGAGGCGAATTTCGTGGCAGATTTCGGACAGCAGGAACCGTGAGAACTTACAAGATCCAGTGGATTCACGTGCAATCGCGAGATAACAAGTTGTCTTTAGCCACATAGGCTAACCATACAAGCAGTAAATTGTGTCCTTCCAGAGGAGGAAATCTACTTCTAGACTTCTAGAATCAGCATCTCTTCATCCATGGTGTCATCGGGGTGAAAATGAAAACCTTTTAGCCGGATGTTTTATTTTCTGTCTGTGCCCGACTTCCTTTCCAGCACGGGTTAATCTGTGCTGAATTTATCCGCCCAGCTCCGATGTCTGGAAAAAATAGAACTCTTGCGATCAGCTGCGAAGTTCAGCGATCCGCAGAGGAACGGAAAGAAGCCGGTGGAAATTGACACGCTAACTTGAACGGTTACGATCAGCTACGATCGTCGGAAACGGCCTTTTCGTAGCCGTTCCGGTGGAAATTGGGGGTTAGCAGATGGTATGAGAGCGAGCTTCACATCTGCATGAAAACTTCACATTACTGAACGCTACATAAGTGCATGCAGGAATGCACAGACTCCTGGTGACTTATATTTTGGTTTCTATGGTAATAAAAAGTAGTCAACAGTTCGCTCAGTTTCTGCATAAATGCTCCGAAAACAATGAGCACAGCATCAGGATTACTGCTCTGTGAGAATTTCAGGTATTTGCTGGACTCCCAACTCTTTCCTCCGCACTGTTGGGTCGGTGTAGAGTGACTGAAAAAACAACCACGTGTTTGAGCTGCGCCCCCTCACAGCCGGGATACAGCAAAGTTTTGGTCAAACGAAAACATCACCGCTCTGAGCGTTCTTCTGGAAACTGAAGCAGCCTCTGAGGTGGATACCAAACCTTGTGAAAGTGGTTTTTTTAGAGAGAATAATGAGGAGAAAAACAAGAGGTGGGGTCAGTGTGAGGCCCGAGTGTGACAGCGGTCAGGTGGAGAGGCTGAGCAATCCTGCTGCAGTTTGTACAGCGAGCGTTAAAACTGGTTCTCTGTAACAGCAACAGGCTGGAAAAGCAAACAGGCAGGCGGCATGAAAGTGGAAGAAGAGGAAGATTCGTTTGTTGTGGTGTGTGTGTGTGTGAGAAATAGAGGTGTGTGCGTGTTACAGCGACACAGCCAGCTTGACAAATTTTGTGTCTTTGTGCGTATGTATGTGTTAGCCGTGTGTGTGTGTTATTGTGTGACCTGTAAGCACAGCTGCTTCCACCAGCACTCACAGCTTTTGTCATTTTAAAATTACCCCTCCTCTCTCCCTCTTTCTCTCTTTCACTCTCTCACTTTCACTTGTGTTTTCTGCTGTCTCACTTTGTGTGTTTCTGTGTGTTTGTGTGCGAGTGTGTGTTTGTGTGTGAGGCTTATTATGGAGACAGGGAGGAGGCTTATTATGAGTGCACAGTAACAGGCTTTAACACTGCCTGTCTGTCTCTGTTAACTCGACGGATTCACTGCTTCAAAACTCGTTCATTTGCTTTTATTTTGAAGTTGTTTTTCTCAAACTTCCTGTGAGAAGTTTTTAGCAGGTTATGAAACAGACAGGGATCAATACTGGTGCATCTACATTGGAAGTGGACCAATTATCAGGCTTGGCCTATTTTTGGCTCCAATTTTCGGCATTTGGCTTTATTATCTCGACCTTTTTCATTGAACAGCTCAGCCGCTATTTTGTGTTGCTACCGCTTTGACTTTTTCTCTGACCCTGTATACTTGCACCTTTTTCCCCAGCTATTGCTCCGCCCACAAAACCATTTCTGATTGGCTCGATATCTCATGACTAACATTTGCTAATGTTGAGGTTTATAATTCATTTACTTTTTGACTTATTGGCTGAATTGGCAGGTAGATCGAAAAAAATTCACTTGCAGTGCAAATTTTCACCGGCCACAATCATAACATTAGGGCTTAAGTGCAGCTAGCTTATTTTTAGTATTTCGCACAAAACAGGCAGTTGAGCAGCCGTAGTTGGAGTCAACAGTTTTTAGTTACGTCCATGTAGATTCTCATTCATCCAGGTCATGGTTATCTTGAAGACTCCAAAAACAGGCAACTGGACTGTGTAGAGTTGGACTCTACACAGTCCAGTCGCCTGTTTTGGTCCTCAAGAGTTTTTAGTTACATGACTATAATGCCGCAAATATTTACTGGCCATATGGCGCATTGCCCCCCTAAAATCTACCGATTAAATCAGTTGACACCGGTGAACCAAGTTTTGACGCACTGGTTCTGAATATAAATTGCTGGTCTCATGAACTACCAGTAACTGGTATCAGAGTCAGCCCTGGAAAACCGATATCAGTCAACTCCTAGTCTGTAAGAGCAAAGAGTGTATCATCTGCATAAAGACCGACTGTTTGTACAAGTCCTGAAACTGCTGCCAAAAGGTGTCAGACAGAGTGACTAACAACAGGCTGAGGACACACCTTTGTTTTAGGTTGTTTACATGGAAATGTTTATAACAGACATGGTAAACTACTGCCGATCATTTACACAGAAACAGCGTTTTAATCCAAACTTTTGTGAATGGGATCCAAAGTGGAAGTTCTCTGTCCCAATCCCACATGTTCATTACGTTCCCGGTCAAAGAGCTAATGCGCCATTAGACAATAGCATCAATGGCGGACTATTGAGCCGTCTTTGTCCTTTCTTAGTGCTATCCTCTCATTATTTTTGTGTTTTGTAGAACCCCTTTATGTATTGTGTTCTTCAGTGGTGTTTCAATAGCGCCAACTGCTGGCCTGGCACAATCTTTTCAGCTATCCTTGAGCACCTTGTTTGAGTGCGAATTGATAATTTTGCATCGTAAAGATTCACAGACTTGTTTTCCTATGTGTAGATTTTAGCTGGTTATAAAACAGAAAAATTGCACTCATAGTTCTTTGTCACCTTCAAGAGAAAACCAGACCTTCAACATTAAGTTGAGCTACTTCTGTGTGGTGGTCTTTGACGTCTGAAACCGCTAACGGGGGGAGGGGAGGTGTCAGTTTTAGTGACTAAAATGCTCGTCACGCTCTAACAGGTCAGTAACTGTTTCAGTTTGATGCACTTTCGTTTCGGATTGAGAAACCGTTGCCCATGTGAGCACCGATGGGAATGTGATGTAGAGTATTTCACAATTCCATTTGTCAGCTGATCTCTCTCTTAACATTGGTGTTAATGGGGATTCCCAAACTTTTGAACTCATCCTCTAGTGGACACTCATGGAACTGCACCTTTTGCACTTCCACATTCGTTTCGTTTGGGAAGATCAAATTTTCAAACTTTCCAACAACATATTGGCGGATAATATAGTGTGATTTAAAACCTCTGAAGCTACTTCAACTATCATCGGTAACAAGCTAACAAGCTAACAAACAGAACAACCAAAGGTGCTAACCTCCGTTTACACTCTGAGTGAAATGTGTGAGTAGCAAACTTAAGAAGCAGTAGTTCGCTGTGAAGTGCTTTCTAGATGTTGTTTTTATTCACAGCTAAGAGAAATGAAACCAAACCAGACCAGTGATGAGTCAGGCTGACGCTGATGTGGTGACGTGCTGCTGTCTTCTTACAGCCTGTGTAGGCAAGTTGTGATAGTAAACATGGCCACCAAAAGTACATAGACACCCCTGGTTGTGGTGTGAGGCTGGTTTTGAAGGTAAGACCCCAGTTTCCAGTAAAGAGAAACTTCAATTTTGCATACTTCTTGACATCAGGGTGCTTCCAACTCTGACATGGCGGCACAGCTGTGCAGAAAGCAAAGCCCACAGAGGACTGATCGTGGTTTTCTATTTCATGTGGAGGCTGATTGATACCACACCTTTGGGATGAAGTTGAAGAAGCAGAGAAAGTACCTGAAGGTTCCAAAATGTTGTGGAAAGTTCCCAGAAGAGTCAAGGCTGCCATCATGGTGGCTTAATGGGGAGCTATTTTGTAATTCTTGTCTGAAGTTTGGTGTAAGTTTTCATGCCCCGAAGGTTCAAACTGGTTCAGTAGTCTTTATGGTATTTGAGGTAGTAGTGTGCTTCATGTGGTTGCCTACCTTCCTGGAGAACAAAACAAACATTTGGTTTTGATTGCATAGAAAGTATGGAAGACAGCAAACCGTCAGTCAGTTAATACGTGTTGTTATTGCCTTAGTATGACTGAAACTGGAATTTTAGAAAACATGTGAACACGTGAGTCTGAATGAAAAGTTGAACTCCTCACAGTTGGACTAACCCACTGAGCAATAGACGGCTACTAGACTCTAGTTTTTTTTTTTAGACCTAATTTCAACCGTCTAGATTCTTTACATTTTTAGATGGAATTTAGATTCTACTTCTTTTGTCTTGTTTTTTTGGTTTAAAGTGGAAAAACAATGAAAATAGACAAATTTAAAGACATTTTTATTCACTTTTTACTGTGAATCCTGAGTAACAACCTTAAAATACGCCGGTTTAGAAGGAAAGTCCAAAAATATCTGAATATCTTTTAAAAGAACTTAATTTCAAATTACTAAAATAAAATGTAAAAACTTTATCATTGTCACTAACACCTATTAAATAAGAATGTATACCATAAAAACACGATTAACGGATAAAACTTTGTCTTTACATTAAAAAAGAATGGTTATTTAACTCCATCTCCCATGATTCCTTGCTTGAGCATTATTCAAACAAAGTGTTTTGTCACTTATTTGACAGTGAGACCTTTAACAGTGAAAAAAACATATTGAAACTATCCTTAAAATGAACATTTTAAAAAGATTTAACTCATTTTATGGCATTATTTTTGTATAAAAGCATAAAAAGTTTCTGTTTTCGTCAAATTAAGTGTAAAAAGTGCCTAAAAGAACTTAAGAGTCGTGTTAGAGTCTAAAATTTAAATACAACAGGTCATGTAAATCATTCAGTAACAGGCTGGGAGGGAGAGGGAGAGGGAGAGGGAGGGAGTGTTTTCTACACATTGGCTAATAGGAGGAAAGAGGGTGAGTGTGTGGTGGGAGGAGACAGGGAGGAGTGTGTGATTGTGTGTGTGTCTATGTGATGGGGGAGGGGACAGAGAAAGAGAGAGAGAGAGAGAGAGAGAGAGGATTTGTGGCATGTAGTTAGTCAGCTGTCATTAGGCACAGATGACACACACACAAACACACACACACACATAGAGGGAGGTAATCTCCCAGAGAAAAGAGAGGAAATACAAACCAAGCGAGTGTGTGTCTGTGTGTGTTTGTTGTGCTGTTGTTGACTTGTGTGCATGGTGTGAAAAACCTGTGTGTCAGCCTGGCCGGCATGGGATAGTCGGCCGGCGTTGGACTGGTTATGGACTGGTTTTACCAAAGCAGAGGTGAGTAGCGACCATCCTCCTCTTCTAGTGTGTTTCTGATGGATTTAAAGGGCCAGTCCGCTCTTTTTGGTGATTTAAACGAGACTGAAACGGTTTTAACTGAAGTGTTTGAGCGACTTTTACTCATAGATCGGGGTGAGAAACAGCCTCAAACTGCATTATAACTTGTTTGACTGTGTTGAAGTACCTGTCAGTCAATATGGGAGTGGTGTAAAGGCATGTGTTTTAAATAGTCAAGCTACTGTTTTGTTTACTTTTGGCACAAGATCACAGCTTTAGTGACACATCATAAAAGAAAATGTGCGATAATTTTAGCGAAAATCTCAGCTAATGCGTTAACAGTGTGTATTTAGATCTTAATAATAAACGGCAGAGACACAGGCTGAGTCTAAGCAGGCCAACATGATCATTTTGTGTACTGGTTACCACACAGTGATGCTCACAGTTGCATGACCGTCTTAGTCAGACCTGGACTTTGAGCTGTCATGTATTATTGTGGTTTTTGACACTGTGTGTTTGAGTACGTGTGTGTTGGAGGGGAGGTGGTGGTGGTTATGAATGACTGGTCTCTCTCTTCCACACGCACGCACACACACACACTAACAGAGTGCACAGTCAGCAGGGCTGTAGCTGCTCTGTCACCTGAGGTCTGAGCAGCCAACTGTTTACCCAGTTTGCTTTGCTGCAACAACAACTGTTGTTCGGACTCATTCAGGAAGAAACGGCTTCTCAACACGGACGGAAAATGATTCGATCAAGTCAATCTGCGACAAATGTGAAGTTTGCAGCAGTTTCAGGATGATGAGTTGGCTCTTTTCCTGCCGTTCTTCTGTCGGAGGTGTGTGTGAATGTTCCATGTTGACGTGGTTTCTAATGCACAAACTGCAGACGCTGCATTATTAGACTGTGTGCACGCTGAGTATGAAAGCGCAAGTCTTCTATCTCAGAAGATATCCTGTCGGTTCTCGGGGTTTTGCGATTAATAGTGCTGATAGCAGATCCTGCCGAAGTGTCTGGTTTCATCCAGCGCTCTGTAAAGATGGCAAAGACAAAGACAGAGTTTCGGTTGGTCTAACTCATGTAGGTTTGTGCAAAAAAGTCCTCAGTACCAAAACCTATACTTGTTTCATAAACATAGTTGGATTTATTCTTGTGTGTTTGTAATTTGTACCTCCACAGCGCCATAATGCAAAGAAAAATCAAGGGCTGAAGAATAACCCCCAATTTCCACCGCTTCCTGGGGGCCGTATCTGCCAATCGTAGCTGATTGTAATAATTCAAGTTAATGTGTCAATTTCCAACGGCTTCTTTCCATTCCGATTCGGATCGCTGGACTCTGCAGCTGATCGTAAGAGTTTTATTTTTTCCGGACGCCAGAGCATGCTGGATAAATTCTGCACAGATTAACTCTTGCTGGAAAGGAAGTCAGGCACAAAGACAAAATAAAACATCCGGCTTCTTTTCAAAATAAAACACACCATGAACGGACGAACAAGTGAAATGTTTTTAGACGTCATTTCACCCCGATGACACCATGGAGATGCTGATTCTAGAAGTCTAGAAGTAGATTTCCTCCTCTGGTTAGCCTATGTGGCTAAAAGCAACTTGTTATCCCGTTGTTGCACATGAATCCGCGGGTTCTTGTGAGTTCTCACGATTCCTGCTGTCCGTAATCTCCCACAAAATTGTCTCACAAACAAATTCGGTAGGAATTGGCGTACAGTGAAAATCACTACTGTTCCAGATCCAGATGCAGTGAAAATCCCGGGTTTATCATTCAACACTATAAGTTCTCGTTGTCCAAGATTAATATTCAACAAAAACCTCAATGAAATTCACTGAAACACAAAGACAAGCTGACCTTTGTGCAGGGAGAGTCTGTATCTGCAGGCCCGTAGAATGTAAACATGCACACCAGTTGGATTGCTCCATCGCAGATACCCCGGAATCGCTTCTTTAGAAAGACAGAATTTTAAAGAAGTGTTAACCTGCTAGTCTTGGGGTTTATTTACAGACAGAGAGTTTTGTTTTGTACTTGTGTTGTCATGATATTCAAGTCATAAGTGGTTAGGACATAAACTAGCTTCACAGAAGAGTCCACTTCCCCCTTCATAGTTGCGATGTTGGGAACACTGCACAGCACATTTCCTTCAATTACATAAGAGATAAACTCATTGTTTTGCTTTCAAGTAATGATCATTTCCCTTAAACAAGTTGACAAAAATCTTTGCTTCGTCTTCCCTGACTCTCCTCTTTGGTATTTTTTTCTCTGAACTTGCAGTAAATATGCAAAACCGTGCAGAAACAGCACAGTTTCCTGCAGTTGTTCAGCTGTGACTGTATGTAAATGTTCACACTGACTCGAGCTGCCATGAGAGCAGATAAGTCAATCAGTGAGTTAAAGTTTGGAGTTTGACCTGCGGGCCAGTGGAGCGACCTGAGACTCCAGCAAAACCTCCGACAGTTTTTACTTTCAGTTTGTGTTTTATAACTCTGGTCATTACACCAGGTACAAGCTTTAGTGGAGCCCATTTGTTGATGAATAACAGAAGTCAGTATGATCTATTATCAAATACTTGATTCTGATTGGTCAAAACCCCATAACAACCAGATCAGCCATCATTGTAAATCAACCAGACTCAGACGCTAACGTATGGGAGTTGTAGTTTCTAACCAGATTATTGGGCCAATATTTGGCATTCGGCTGGTTTCCCGTATCAATCTTTTGTTTTCAAAATGAAACATTAAATTAATCTTTGGTTCCACTTCTTGGTGTCTTTCACTCAGGATCGGTCTTCCTGCACCACCTTGTGTCATCTCATGTTTCTGTCAACTCTTGTATGTGACATTAAAAATTGCAGAGCTGGTGCATTCGGCGTCCGGTTGAGACCACATTTAAATCTAAAGTACCCCGAACTTTTAGTCCCAAGAACGACTTTTCAAGGAACTTTGAGCTGTTTTTAACACCAGGTTTCTGTTTCTATTTACAGATGAATTGATCAGACCAAACAATAAAAACAAATGACTGTTTTTCCATATTGATCTTTGAGTTTCCATTTACTGTTGATATCATAAACTATTCTAAAGCCATGACTTCTCAGTGGTTCACACAGCTTTATGTCCTGAACTGCGTCATCTAAGTTTTGAGTATAGTGCCTGAAAGGAGATCCATGACCCACTTTCATAGTTCCTTTTTTTTTTTAAATGCCCTAAACCCCGAGCAGGGACTTTTTAAGGGGGTTAAGTGTCGCACGCTTTAATTTAAAGTCCAAAGCCCCTGAAGTGCTCCAGGATTTTGGGCCGATACACCCGTCTCATGATCAGAACTTTCGTTACACATTTCTTTACTCACATTGTAAAAGAGATTTGTGTAAATTAGCAGAAAATTCATTAATCAACAGTTTAAAGTCATTATTTTTAAACCGTTAATTCCCAGAGTTGAAAAAAAACACTAAAAGCTGCATCCAGAGTTATTTTCTACATCAGTGCAAAGGCATTAGGAAGTGCGGTTCGAGGAAATGCTGGAGTGCCTGTTCTTCCCCATACTGCAGATACTATCTTAGTTTTAAAAAATAGTAATAATTCAACTTTAAAACCCAGATCTCTGAGTGCATGTTGTCCTTAAAAACATCAGATTCCTGCCAAAGAAACCCTTTTGGTTACTCACCCATAAAGAGAAGATCCCTGATGTGTGAATTAAGTTTTTAAAGCTGCAAAATAAGTGAGTAATACCAAATTAATGATGAGTTAAAACTTGTAATTTTAATTTGTGGTCTATGATGAAAACTGCAGTTCCTTGAATGTCCACTTGAGGCTTGCGCCAAAAAGCAAAGACTCCCTATCAAACCCCAAACAAAAATTATTATCTGTACGGTTAAATCAACCATGTTCACAGGCTGGTAAAAACAAAAAAATGTGTTTAATTATCCACCCTGATTACTGTCACAAAACACAAATCTTGACAACCAGTGTACCACAAAAGTTCATTAACTTTTCATCGAATATTTTCTTTTGTAAGCAGCCATAAAAAGTTAAGGGCGGTGTTGACTGACGCCGTTTCCACCTTGGTTTCCCCAGTTTTTATTCATACTAACTGCAGTTCTGCATCCTTGGTGCAAAAACGTTTCCATTAGTTACCAAGGACGGACGGCCCTAAAATCTGTACCGCGCCATCTTTCTTGCGCTGTTTTCTGCACGGTGCAGTGTCAGGGTAATGTGTTACCTCTGTGATAGCCGTTCCCTGGTCTAACCCTTCACATGAGCATGAAGACGTGGAGAGGTCTGACTGATGTTGTTGTTTGTTTTTCTGCAAGTCTGACTTCCTGTCTGTATGTTTAATTTAGCTCCAGGGCGACACGCTCTCTGTGTGTGAAAGCGAAAATGAAGCTCGTCTCACACGTTCGAATGGATGAACATCGGTGGATTGGTGTGTTTTCTGCCTCTGTGTGTGTTTTTTCTGTGTGCACTTGCAGTTGAGTTAGCATCTGGGCTAGGATGTTCAGTGTTATTGATTTGTGTCTATAATCGATCGGCTCTCATGTTACATGAAGCCGCACATATGCAGAGTGATGAGCAGCTGCTGGCTGAGAAACCTGCTAACTGGCCACATGTGAGCTGTTGATTTCAAGTCACTTAGCTGCTCTGGACCTTTAATCGCTTTTAAATTAAACAGCTGATTAATTCACACAAGGAGGAGTCACCAAATTAGGATACTCATCTTACAAATCCAAACTCTGTCTCATAGTCTCATTTAAAGAATAATTAGCCTATATTTATGGAGACTTAGGAGGTTAGGGTGGGGGTGGGTGGTCAGCCAATAAACGGTGCTGGTTAAAGTGGGTCAATGTGTACAGCTTGAATTTTACAGCCACTCACTGCTCAGCACACAGAGGGGCGTTTGCTTTCAATTCCAGCATGTTAGTGTCAGAAATCTGTGAAAACTTTGACAACAGCTCAGTCAAAGAGGCAAAGAGGCATAAAAGGACGTCATCCACTTATTTACCCCAACAACTGAATTTAAGATTCTGGACATTCATTGGTCGACAACTTGATAAACTCTGTAAATATACCCATAATTAAATTAAGTTTGTGCTTTTTTTGTAGCGACAGCTTCATCTTGGCAAAAGAAAGATTTCGTTTTTTACTTGAGTAGTCACGCTACTCGACAAGTAATGAGTAGTTACACTGCTGAGCTATGAATGATATTAATTTCTTCTAAATTAAGTATTTTAAAAATCGCCCTCCAAACTGTGTGTGCAAGAGAAATCTGATAAGATCCAAAGCATTTTTTATGAACCAGCCTGTAGACGTGTTTGATTTTACTGTAAAAAAAAAATATATAGGTATTTTAAAATGAACGTCAATGGGACTTCCTCAGCTTTTGGAACCAGCTTCTAGTGGACACTTGAGGAACTGCAATTTTCTACACTTCTTTTTTATTACATTATGAGCTGCCACTTGGATTAACATAAAATTTAGAGTTTCATTCAGCCATCATTTAATAGAAACTCTTATATATGATAAATATACAATTAAATGAAAAGGTTTTTATTCAGTCAGTAACAAAGAGGTTTCACTGGATTTAAAACTTTGGTTTCCAGACTTGACCGGAGACTTAAACTACCATTGTTGCTCTTTTTCACTATCCAGCGTATTAATATCAATCATCTTAAGACAGAATCTTAGTTAAGCTCCAAAGATTTGTTTAAGCAGCTTATCGTAAATAATCCCGTTTTTTGGTTGTGACTTTTTTTTTGGCTTGGGGTGGTTTTTTCAGTTTTGGTCTTTTTGGTGGAATTAGCACAAAACCACATGTGCACAAACAGCATCAAGCTAACACCAAATATATCAAATGAAAGGTAGATGAGGCACATTTAGGAAAGTCCATTTTAAGTGGAAGGTGACTGACAAAATCTAAAAACCCTTTACACTTGTCCGTTCTGAATTGGTTTTGATAAAAGACAGAAGAGAATCTAGTTGCTTAAAATTATATTTTCAATATCAGCATGAAAAATAAAACAATATGATAAACAGATTTATGATAAAATCCACTCAGTTTGTGAGACCGGCAACTTTCTGGTACAAACTCTGTGTTCCTGTGGCTTTTTATCCTGCAAAAAAGATTGGTGTATTTGTAGAGACTGTCCACATTCAGTTCTTTAAAATTGAGGGTACTCGGTGGTGATTTAGGTATTAACTTTAGTAGCGTAGTGCCATTAATCTTGAGGGCCAACAACGACCCTTTGAAGGCTGTATCACTAATCACATGACCCATAAAGACATAATACTTTGTCTCATGGTGAGGGTGATCAAAAGAGACATGGAAAAAATTACTGTAATAAAGTTTGTTATCAACACAAAAATGCCTACTTTCGATTAAAAATTAATTTAATGATCAGAATTGATAATGGCATTTGTATCAATAAAATCTCAGTAATTCACACCCAGCTAAATTTTGCATAGATTTCTAAGATCTGCATTTTTGTTTTGTCGCACTTCTTGTCTTGTCATTCAAAGCTGTATATAATGTTAGTTAACTTGGTCTAGATTAGATCATGTTGTTGTTGGTGCTTCACCAAAGATACACGGCCAGCTGGATCAACCAAACGCTTGTCGTCCTTAGCAACAGGCTGTAAGCCACGGACCACAAAGCCACGGGCTCAGAGCGGCATCACCGCGACACCAAACAGCAGAGATGTACATAAAGAGATTGGACATATTGACGTGGACGCACTGAGATGCACTCACATGGACACAGACAAACACGCCCGGCGTGGATATGATGCAGGCCCTCCAGTGTGGGAGAAGCCAGTGTTCTTAATCCAGCCTCAGCAGGGTATTAAATCTACTTTATGTTAGTGTGTGACGGGACGGTCCGCTGGCTTAGACAGAAGCTTAGAAAGCAGAGAGAGGAGGATCCAGCCTCTCCGTCACTGCTGTCAGAGCCGTCATGTTTACATCCTCTAGGTGCTGAATATGATCCTCCTTTTATTAGTTTGTTTTCTATTAAAAGAGGTTAACTCTCCTCCGCAGGAATACAGACCTAAAATCAAGACTGGATGGTAGCAGTCTGTGTGTCGTCTCAGGGCTTTTTAATTGATGTCCAACACAATCAGGCCACCTCTCCTTATTAGATTCCTCAATTTACCGATAATTAGCTTATAAAAAACGTCGACACGCAAAGGCGGTCTTCTTGAACACATCCGGTTTGGCTCTGTTAGGGTTGTTAACCCTTGGCTGAACCTATGGCTTGGATTGACTGTCCTATACCGAGTGCCAACGATATAATGCTGCTAGACATCAGCGACCTAAGCGTACTGTAATGTCTCAGAACTTCTGAATTAACATGTAAAATGTAAATTAAAATAGAATTTGATCGTCTGCAAATCATTGTAAAACTCATGAGTCATGGGTGTGCTTTTTTGGGCTTGTTTTTAACTAGTATTTACTTATTTGAAGGTTTGCTTTTCAGGACTGGATGGTAGCAGTCTTTGAGCCCTCAGGTACCACTGTGTAATAAACAGATGTAACTTTGTAGTGGAAATCACCACATGGGCTCAAAATCACCTGTGAACACAGCTTAGGTTAAAACTTTACCATGAAAAAACAAACTTTTGGACAACGTGCTTGTACGATTTGAAATACATTGTTTGGATTTCATGGAATCTATGATTCAATGAAGAATTTACATGATTATGGTGGAAAACAGATTTCCCCGTATAGAGTTTCAGTGGAAGGATCAAACAATTATCAAGATGCTATACAAGTGTGTTGCTTTTATTTTGAAAACCTAGCCGTTGTTTTATTTCCGTTTGCATTTGTGAACAGAGACAAGTTTAAACATTGGCAAAATATATGTAGATGCCTTATAGTTGCCAAGTTTGCTTATTATAAACGACTTTAGGCTTGTTTCTGTCAGAAGTCACTTGTAAAACTCCTGAGTCATGGGTGCGCTTTTTTGGGCTTGTTTTCAACTCGTATTTACTTATTTGGGTTTGCTTTTCTGTATGTGTGAACCCCCTGATTTGAAGTTGAAGTTATTGTTGGTTCGGCCCTCCAATACAGTCCGGGTTTCTCATGTGACCCCATGTAAAAATTAATTGCCCACCCTTGGTTTAGGTGATAGAAAGCCTGAGTATACAGGAGGAGTCTTCAGTGAGGGTGAACTTTTACCCCCAACATACAAGGATTATCCAACGCTAGAAAAAAAACCAAACAACCAAGATGTGCAGCTAAGGGTATAAAGTCGTAGAGCAACAGTTTGGATTTCATGGAATCTATAATTCAATGGAGAATTCATGATTATGGTGGAAAACAGATTTCCCCGTACAGAGTTTCAGTGGAAGGAAAACACAACAAGCGTATCGAGGGAATCACTTATAAACATAAACAGCAGTTCTTTTGTAACCGTTATAGTGTTACACAAGTTCTGACTGAACCTTTACATCGAAAAGAGATGGTACTCCAACTTTTCTTCTCTAACTTGTACCCTCTTAGTGTTTGCTGTTAAATTATCATCTGTCTGTTCACTTAAACAATCCTATGAGGAGTTTTTCACTGAGAGATGACTACAAAAATGGACGCATCTGTTCATCTGGTTGTTAAACACGACTGAAAATGATCATCTGTTAATGTCGTTCCCGCTCCTGCCCGCTCCTGTTGCTTTTTTTTCCCGTCCTGATCCCGAAAAATGTCATCTTCTAATTCCCACCCCTAAATTTCAGTGCAGAGTTAAAACCCACCATATTTTAAAGTTTACTACAATTTGATCCGCCTTGAAAGTGTAGAGGAGTAGAAATATAGAATAAAATCAATAAGAAATACTCAAAGATAAAATGCAAGTTTCCAGCTCTAGAGTTATTGTACTCAGTTAAACCCACGGAGTATTCTTGGGATGACAACTCTGACATTCAACTGATCAGTACACAGAAAACTCATCACAAAGGTGTTGTTGTATGTCGATGTTTTCCACCATCCCTGTAAAAACACATTAGCTTTAATTGTGTGCTGTCAGTCGTTACATAAGGCTGCGTGGTCAGTGTATTTTTTTTTTTTTTACACAATCCAAACCTTAATTATTCTGCGAGCCGAAGCCTAAAGGATGAGTCACCGCTTTAATAACAGCCCATAGTGTGCTTTACTACCATGACAACTATCATTTTGTCAGGGTAGGGCTTTCATGCAAATGGTGATTGTTGGATCTCTCCAACTCTCCAACATCCATCCAGGAGTCTGCAGCGTCTCTGCTTCCACAAGTTCTCCTTTTGTAATCATTGTCCTAACACTTAATCATAATTAAAGAGGTCAAACCGCTGCCTTATTCTTCCTCTCTTTTTTTTTTCCAACCTGACCTCTATCTGTCTGTAATCTGACACACACACACACACACACACTGTACCTGCTCCTAGTCTCCTGGAGCTTGCCAGGAAGTGGATTTCCAGGAATAATGCTTGAAAGCTGAACAGGTCAGGAAGTCAGATACAGGTTCAGTGAAGCCGTCAAGAGTCCTTATTTGCAAACTTTATACTCTTTATACGTCACATGAAGTGAAATATTCAAAGTTTTATTGATGATTTTGTTTATTGTCCATGAAAATTCAAAATCTCAAATTTTCACTCTTGGGATATTATTTAAGATCAGACTGCAGGGGCCGTGTATAATCTAGTAAACGAGTCAATATAAAATTCGAAAACGAACACTAATTATTTTATTTTCTGTATAACCAAAAAATAAAAAATTGTGTTTGTTTTCATATTTTCAGATACCAAATATTCCCAAACAACTACATTAACTTTTGACTTGAGTTGGGACAAAGTTTTGCCGTTTTATTCAAGATTCAATCTTTTTAAATGTCAGTTTCTGTTCATGTGTAAGTACACACACAGGAACCGAAAATTACAGATAATTTATTAAAAATATAAAAAATACAATTGAGAAAGTAGATTAATTATTTTGTTTTTGTTTCCTTCTGTATTATATATTCTGTTTTGAACTGAAAATTTAAAAACAAACACGTCAATAGCGCGTTGAGGTTACTTTTAGGTTGGATATCTGACGGACATTCTCTGAGGATCTACCGGTGTCTTCGCACTCTTCATAACTGGGAATAATAACAGCAGCGCGGTTAAATCTACTCGGCACTCTCACTGTCAACGTTGGGTGTTAAATAAGGGACCATCAATAAATTACCAGTTGATTTATTTATTTATTTATTTTAAAAATGCTGTTTTTCTTCAATAGCTTCCATGTCATGTGACCAAAAGACCTAAAATTGATTTCAAATAATAGTACTAAGGTTGGACAATAAGACACACCTCTTTATTTCCCTAATTTGTCCTCTAAAAATTTTTGTGTTAAATTTAAAGGCAAATTTTTCACATTTTCTTCAATAGCTTCCATGTCATGTGACCAAAAGACTTAGAATTGATTTCAAATATTCATACTTAAGTCGACCAATAAGACACACATTATTTGATCAATTTTTGTTGTGCCCCTAAAGTTCTTGGTGTGCTGCTAGTGAAAAAAAAAAGTGTCAAGCCCTGTAATACTGTAAGAGAGCGGTTAATGTTGAATAAATGAATAAATAAATCTTATTAAATCAATTATTAATTATTGATTAGATCTAGATTATTAGACCTGTGGCCATTCATGTTAAAACTAAAATACAATGATGCTTAAAACATTGGGGTTTTTTTGCGTGAATTTGCCTTTTTCACTTATGTAACTTTTTGACAGTGACCTACTTTATTAAGGCGCCGCACCTGTCGCCGTGAGAGATGGACATGAAGGTGTTTTGAGGTATCTTGGGATCTGATAGGTTCGGATCCATTCACAGACAGGTGAGCAGGATAAAGCACACCTGTGAACTCGTTACCTTTTCTGTCGTGTTGTTGTTGTTGTTTTTTTTTTCTAGAAACCCATAACAAAGAGCAGAGAGAGGCGCTGGTTTCCATAGGAGACAGAGTCCACTTAAGCAGGCAGAGATCGATCCTGCGCTTTAATTCCTTAATGGCCGGTTTGACCCTCAGGCCTCGTCTCTTCTCTGCAGCTCAAATTGTTTTTAAATGGCTTCACTCTGCGAAGCTCCCGGCTCCTCTGATTGTATTAGCGCTGGCCTGAACAGAGCAGAGGCTTTTGTCCCGAGTTACATTAGTGTTAATTCATTGTGTGTGTGTGTGTGTGTGAGTGAGTGTGTGTATGCAGGCCCATATGTGTCTCTCCATATGTAGGTGTTTGTAAGTGTAGACACGAGTGTATCTGCTTCTGGCATCGACTGTTTAAATAATCCGGTTTGTGAGTTCGGCAGCTCTTTGTGTGTTAGAGAGAGACAGTGTGTGTGTGTGTTTGTTTGTGTGCGTCTTTCATGCAGCAGCCATGTTGGCGAATGTTTGTCGCCTGGAAACAGCTGTACGCTTCTGTTAAAGATGTTGGAATAGATTTGTCAAGAGTTTGTGGTGGACTTTAGTTCCAGGTCTGATACCGCAAACTAGACCTGTTCCAAAGGACTGAGGAGGGACTCTCATTTACCGCAAGCAGACATGTTGTTGTTGTTGTTGTTGTGTTTGTCTCTGGGAGGGTGTAAGGACTCAAGGAGAAGGAAGTCAAAGAGGAAAGTCTTATGGTCCAACAAAGAGGGTCCCCATGATCCACATCGAATGATCAGACACTTGACCTGATTTATTGAACTTTTTCTCGTTTTCAGCGTCCCGATCAGCCTCTTCTTCCTCTCCTCTCCTCTCCTCTTGTTCAATCAGGTCATTTTCTCCTCCTCCTCCATCCTCAGGCCTGATTATTTAGAGCAACAGATGCCCTTCCTCCCATTTCCTCCCCATCCTCGCTCACTCCTCTTATTTTATAACATTTCCACTCGTCTGCTTGATCTGTGTGAGAAAATATTTCACATTTGCGCCGATAAGCCTGTTGTTCAACCATCTGATCCTCTCTTCCACTTTTCCTTCTGTTTTCCATCCCTCTCTCTCTCTCTTTTTTTCCTCACCCACTCTCACTCATCCTTCTTGTTTTTCTCTCCCATATCCCATTTTCCTCACTTCGTCTGCTCAGTGTCAGCCCCTCCGACCGGCTCTTATGTAACAGTCAGGTGATGTGTTGGCCTGTCAAAAGGCCTTAAAGGCCTACCATCCTCTCAGACACGGCCTCTCCCTGATTGTAACCGCTACACTAATCTCGCTCTCTTTCTCTCTCTCTCTCTCTTTGTGAATTTTCCCATAAGTGAAATTTTCTGGCGTTCAAAAGCACCAAATCTTGTTTCAGCTTGTAATCCTGTCAGAAGATAATCTGCCAGTTTGCCCTCATAACTTACTAAACCTTTATTCAGTAACCAGCTTAGTTGAGAAATCATCGTGTCGGAGCCGTTTCCAAACTGTGCAGATAAAGTCATTTCGAACTGTAAGGCTGTGAAAGACTCTGAATTGTGTCAGTGGGATTAGATTTGGCTGCTGAATGTGAAACTCCTTAAAGCTCATTTCCGCTCTGAATTTTTACGTTTGCATTTCTTGGAAGAGTCAGCTACTCAGAAGCAAAGATCTGGTTTACATCTTCAGCCAATTTACAATGAAGTGGTGCCTGTAATATCAACTTTGTTACATAAAATCAACCAGAAACTTACTGTGCTGGAGCTCATAACAGCTCAGTTCGCAGCCCCCAAAGCATTATAAAAACTAGGGGTGTCCCTGATCTGATATTGATATTGGATATCGGTCCGATAGTGGCAAAAAACAAATATTGGATTATATCGGCCTGCATCTAAAATCTCTGATACAAGCACTCAGATACAAACAGTCCATTCCAGACTCCACTCCGCTTCTATCCAGCAGTGTTCGGATCCAACATGAAGAGCCTACAAAATTTGATAACAACAGTGTGTATGAGTGATGTAACGAGTGGCAAAATAAGTAGGAGTGATGTCAATATCGGTATCGGCAAATACCAAAGGCTACAATATCAATATCCTATGAAAGTAAAAAAGTTGTATCTGGACACTCCTAATAAAAACAGTTGGACAGATGCTAGTAACGCACCAAAACTGTTTCAGTCTGAATTTTTTTGACTAGTTTTGACCACGGGGAAACTTCAAAAAATACTTTCTGTCCAGTGTTGTTTTCGTTGACGATGATGCCCCTTTTTTCCACGATGAAGACGTGACGTTGACGAGCTAAACGTAAGTCTTAGATGACTAAAATGTGATGAGAAGAATGTGCGTTTACGTTGACGAGACGAGACTAGACGAAAACGTTAGTGGTGGACGACGAACAGAGTTCCAAAATTCATGAGCATTTCGTCAGTCAAATGCTTAACATACATTCTGCAGTGTTGTTTTTGTTGACGATGACATTGACGAAATATTTTCATCGTCAAGGAAAACAATGTTGTTTCTGTCAAACGACAACGACATGCTAAGTGTAAGCTTGTAGAAGCTCAGCTCTCGGCCCCCAAAGCTGCTGCAAACTACTGGAGAAACACCGATTTGTCCACTTATACCGATTCTATCTGTACTTTTTATGAGCTTTAATTATAGAGATTGTCTGTTGGTACATTTGCATGCACAGTGAAGTAACAGATGATTTAATTGAACTACTTTACTTGTGCTGGTGTACAGCCAATGAGGGAGAACTTGATCTGTTATATGACTTAGATTCAGTTTAATGGTACAGGATGTGGCGTCATCACCCTTTTCAGCTAGTTACATCACGACCTTTTACATCACGTACCAAAACAATCAATAAACAGGGTTAGCGGGAGGTTAATAGGTTATATGTGAAAGACAAGTTTTTGTAACATCTGGTTAACGTACTGTGGGGATTGAAATCTTCAGGGTACCAACAAATTTGGCCCACTTAGAAGTCTCTGTATTCTGGAGCATCGCTGTGACTCTCCAGATCTGTCTGGTTGTGAGGCCTCGGTCATGACAGTGATGTTCCAACTTTAAAAATCTCATCCTAAATTAAGGTCAATATGATATTTATAGTTTTCAGACTTCGATTTGCTCATTTTTGGAGAAAAGGTGCAAAGATTTCCTCACCGTAGGAAGAATTTGTCCAGTGCTGATCATAATGACGAGGTCTGTTATCATTTTTGAGTAAAAGTGAAGCAGCATAAGGGAACCATATGGTGAATCTGCCCCAGACGTTTAACTTTCCACTCTCCTCTTTTTGTTCTCACACCAAACTCTCAGGAAAATATGAACAGGAGGATTTGGCTCGGATGGTTCAGACTTCTATAAAAGGCTGTAAACCCGTTGGCAGAAATGCTCATGTTCGAGCTGTGTGAATGCCTACATGAATTTCTAACTGAAGTAATTATTGACACTCTCTGTATTCCCACTAGGCCTCCCACATATTGCCTGCAGGCACACCACAATGGTACATTGTTTTCATGAGTCATGAGCACACTCCCAGTTTGATCATGCTCCATTCAGACAGATTGTGTACATCTTGGGCACATTATTTCTTCTCCACATGAATAATGTGGCTGATAAAGCCGTGAAGCTCGCCGAGTGTGGAGAAGAGCACTTCTCTCCGTGAGTGGTCTTGGTTTTTAATGCGCACGACGCTCGGCTGCGCTCGGCTTCACAGGATCAATGCATGTATTACAGCGCTGAGTTTACTGTTTTGCACATCAAGAGAGGTATACGGGGTTTAATGCATCATTGTTATTGTAACAAAAAGGATCACGAGCGCAAACTGTAAAGTGCAAATAAACTCGGAGGTGTCAGAAGCTGAGTTTCTTGTTTTGCTCTGAAGAGTGACTAAATATTGTGACAGCAACCTCCGGTAACTGATCTACATTTGCATTGTTCAAACAGATCTGCAAACAGCTGCTTCTGCTGCTTTATCGCCACGATGGACTCGTCTGTTTTAACAGAAGTTTATTTACTAAAAACATCAACTGTATGACTCATTTTGAAGATATCGATGGATTCATTCAGACTGAAAACGCTATCTTTCTCTTTTTTATCCTCCCCAGGTGCTGATATTTGCTGAAGATGAGTAGTGGGGGTGGAAACACCCCAGAGACCCCCAGAGGGGGGGAGTCTCTGAAGAGGAAGGACTGTCAGTCGGACCTCCTGGGGCCGAGGTGAGAACCTGTAATCTCAGTTCACAGTCTCGGTAACAAAACCTCCTCCTGCTTCCCCTCCTGCTCCCCTCTCTCCTCCCGCCTTAACAATCGTTCACTCTCCATTATCATATTTATATGGTTTGTAATGAACCTTAAAGACACATGGTCAACTGTATCAATTAGAGGTGTAGGTATCGCAATTTTTTGTTTTACAATTTTCAAATAAATTTTATGTTCAAAAATCGAATCTCAAAAACCGACCTTCATGTGATGTGTATTTTTGGGGAAATATGGTTCCTGGAATAATACAATCATAATTATTCAACTGTTTCACTAGTGTTAAAAATGCAGACTAAAGATCGAGAAAATCAACAATATCGTAGAATCGCAATTTAAATCGAATCAGCATCCAGAAAATCATAGAAGAATCGAATCGGGAGAGAAGCGTAACGTCCCAGCCCGAGTATCAATCTGGAGCAGGTTAAAAAGTTAAAAACGAACTTAAACTCAGGCGATGTTTCCGAATAAACTCTTATTGCAAATGTTTAACGGTCTGTGCGAGAGTTTCCACACGACAGTAAACAACAGTGTTGTCGGCGTAAAAATGTAACAAAGCTTCTGATACATTTTTCCCTTGATTAGACACATAAATGGTAAACAGAAGGGGACCCAGTATAACGCCCTGTGGCACACCTCTGTCAGATACCATATTAAAGCATAGACAGTCAAAATTGAGATTCTGGAGCTTCTGGTTGTGATGGCCGTCATTTATTACCAAACAGCTATGATACTTCATCTTCTTATATTTAATGTAAACAACAAATATCCTTAACTTATTTTGAACTAGCAAATGAAAATGTTCTTTTATTCAGTGTGAGAGAGAGAGAAAAAAAACAAAGAAGGGAGAGAAAGAAGGGGGAGGAGGAGGTTTGTTTGAAATGGGACGAGGCCTCACAGGTCGATGAGGAAAAACTGCTGTGGCGGCATTTTTACAGCCGACAGTTTATACAGGGGGGCTTACAAGTCGTTGTTCTTTCAGTGTCCAAGAGGATATATGAAGGTCGGAGTGACGGAGGACTGAGTTTTAGTGCGGCTGAGGTTGAAATGAGGACAAGTGGACGGCGTAGATGGAGTTGTTGTGAGGATATGAACATGCAGTAAGAAAGAGGCTGTGAAAAAGGGAATAATTACCTTCTCCAAAGAAGAAGAAGAAATTAAGCATTTTCAGCCGTTTGATTCGAGCTGCTGATGTCTCTCAGACGAGCCTTCCATCGTCGCTCCCAGTCAATCCGATTCACCATACATCCCGCCATGTCATTGGTACTCTGAGAAAAAATCCGGAATGGAAGGAAAGAAATAATGGCTTACATTTCTTTCCAAATCAACACAACAATTTATACGATGGTGACTTTGATTTGTGTTTCAAAAGAGTTGGGACAGACGGGGTCAAAAAAACACTGAAAAAGTTGTGTAATAGAAGTAAAACCTGGAGGGGAATCTTTCAGTTATTTACAACCATTTAGTGACACGAGGGGCTGAGGCTCAAAGAAGAAGAAGAAGTTCACAACTCTGAGAAACTTTTCAGAGAATCTGGAGAAAACTAAATAAAAGGGACGAGGCTGAAAATCAGAAATCAACAAATAGAGAAGATTCACAAATACAAGATAAAGCTTTACCGTGCAAAGAGGAAGTTGTACCGTTGATATTTCACAATCTTGATCCATGATTTCCAAGATGTAATTTCACATTCTTCTTGGAAATCATGGACGAATCATGGATGGCTCTGGAGTAGAAGAGTCCTGCTGCTAAACTGGTCTTCTCACAAGTCCGTAATTTTTTCACACTTTGGCATTTTTGGCATCAGACAAGTGAGGAAATCTTTGAGGGACTAAAAAGTAGTTTGGCTAAGATACAGAAAGTGGAATTTCAGGTGTGTAAATACATTTCTAACCACCTTCTTTTTGTCCTCCAGCCCAAAGAGGAGCACCGAGAGGAGGAACCGGGAGCAGGAGAACAAGTACATCGAGGAGCTGGCCGAGCTGATCTTCGCCAACATCAACGACATGGACGACCTGAACGTCAAGCCAGATAAATGTGCCATCCTGAAAGAGACGGTGAAGCAGATCCGGCAGATCAAGGAGCAAGGTGAGGATCTATTTCTGTGTGAACGTGTCCGAACCTCCGCTTTATTCCTTCTCTCTCTTTCCCCTCTGTAAATCACCTCTCTCCTCTCTTTCTCTTCTTCTACTCGCTCTCTCCGTTCCTGAGGTCAGCCAGTCGGCGTCCCTGTGTTTTAGCGCTGTTTGTGTCCGAAAACAACAGCTGAATAAGCACACGCGTGCACTCATAGATTACACAAAAGTCACACAGCTGTCGCCCGGCCTCGGTGTTTGACTCAGGACACGAGATGTATCGAAACAAAAGTTGGAGAGAAGTCACTTTAGAGGAAAACAACTTATAAAACAACATATTAATCAGTTTGAGTCATGAAATCAGCTGTTTCCTGATGGTACGCTGCAGTATCTATTCATAAATGTCATCCTATGTGCGCCGTTGTAATCATAAAGCGTTCTGAAGTGTGAGCTGTGTTGCATAAATCATATTACAGAGAGTTACACAAGGAAATCTGACTAAGAGGATTAAAAATGGAAATTATACGTTAAAGTCCTTTAAGATTGTACAACGGTGACGGCAGGGTGAGAGTCTCCTTCGTGTTTCCAGGACAGAAACACTGGAAGTGGGCGGGGCTGAGGGTTCGACAGCGTGCTGTGAAGTTTAGACACAAACGAAAGACTTTGTGTTCTGAAAGTAGGGCTGGGCGATATGTCCTCAAATCAATATCACGATATATTGATCAGTTCACCTCGATAACGACAAATGGACGATAACTACTCCACAAGATGCTCACCCCCTCCGACATGAGCGTTGTCTACTTCAGCCGCTACAACTTTTAAACCGTCCTCCATCTCCTCATCTGTCTGTCCCTCTTTGTAGGACAGCGTCTTAAAGGGACATGAAACCATAGCCTACCTACACACATTCAAAAACAACTTTGATTTATTTATTTATCTGACACCAAATATACCAATATGGGCAAAATGACGTCAGCTATTGTCGTAAATTTTGGTCAAGTCAAAGTTTATTTATAAAGCACCTTTAAAAGACAGCAGTCTGACAAAGTGCAAAGTGTAAACAATAAAAAATTAAATTAAAAACAGTAGAGTAAAATACAGACAGTAAAAGAATAAAAGCTACCGTGGCTATAATTCCTGTGTGCTCGTTTATTCAATGCAATGGAGAAAAGGTGGTTTTTTAAGATGATTTAAAAGACTCTAAATGGCACGTTACGCACCACGTCCCCCGTGTTGACATCGGCGCTGCTACACTTAATATGTCCTGTTGATGAAGTTAGGTGCTGTTCTGAACATTATTTGTGGCTATAGAGTGGCGTTGTGGTTGAGCGCGTGGCTCTCTGTATTTCTATCCTTACTAAAGTTGGTATAACTAGAGAAGCAAGCAGTCGACAACATTCATCTCTGGAGGGGGTGACTAACTCGGTGTTTCGGTGTGTTTGACCCTAAATTAATTTTACGCCGGAATATCCCTTTAATGCAGTGATCCTGAAGGCTTGTCTCCCTTTTGAACAGAGATCCTCTGAATGTTTTCTCATGATGTCTCACTCTGTAGATGATTGAAGGAACGTTTTTCTGAAGTTCTCACAGAGTGGTGGACCTCCTCTTAGAGACTCATCCTCTCTGAATGTCGTTTTCATACCCAGTCATGAATCTCACTTGTTGAAGTGATTAAAGTGATTTTAAAGCCTTAGAGTCTTTGTTAATCATCATCACAGACGGCGCTCCAGCTGTTTTTGTATATTTATCGATCTTCAGATCAGGCAGACTGCGCTCCAACACCCTCTCACCTACATGTCCGCGGCGGCTCCAGAGTCCACTACAGCGACTGATGACTCTCTGTTCAGCTCTGGTCCCACTACAGGAATGTCAGCTATGTGGCCTAATGGGGCCATGGGAGGCTTAACAGTCAGTGGTCCAGCCTGGGAGGAGAGTGAGAACCGGACTCTAGATTTGTGAGTGTCGTACCTGCTGTCGACACAGGTGCACAAACCCGCAAGTGCATCGTTACATCAGGTGTAGTCGAGGGTGTGTGAGGGATCGGCCAATGATCAGTGAAGGGTCTGTGTGTGTGTGTGTGTTTGCTCGAGGGCGACATCATCACAAAAACAACACTGTCAGTGTTTTCCGGGAAAAGAAAATAACTGCGAAGAGGCCGAGTGAAAAGATAACGGCGCCTCGTTCTGCCTGAGTCTGTCTGTGATCATCAGGAGGAACTTCTTCTTCTCCTCTGAACACATTGAAGGTGTTTTTAACCCCCTCTCCTCTCATGTCTTACAGAAAAAGCTCCAGTGGCTGATACCGAGGAGGTGCAGAAGGCCGACGTCTCCTCCACAGGACCGGGTGTCATTGATAAAGACGCCTTGGGGCCCATGATGCTGGAGGTGGGTCCTACCAAACTTTAGCGTCCCTGTGTTATCTCACCGCGGGGAGTCTAAAGGTCGGCGTGATAGCACAGAGGCCTGAGATTGACCCGCTGTACAGTACTCTGTTTTTTTTGATAGTTGAAATGTGTCAGGACGAGGGTTACCGTGAGAACAGAGCTTTAATTTTCTGATTCATTACTTCTGTCACTCTATGGTACTCGTCCGCTGCTGCTTTTGCTTTATTCTGGTAGATATAGGTTGAAAATGTGAACATAGATCTGCCTTTTTGTCACTTTTCGATGCTACGAAACGCAAAAAAACACAGATCAGGGCTTGACACTAACTTTTTATAGAAAGAGTACATGTGCAAAGAACTTCAGGGGCAAAATAAAAATTGATCGAATCATGTTTGTCTTATTGGTCGACTTCAGTACTATTATTTGAAATCAATTTTAGGTCAATTGGTCACATGACATGGAAGCTAATTAAGGAAAACAGCCTTTTCTGAGAACATCAACCAGTAATTTATTGACGGTCCCTTATTCAACACCCGACGTTGACAGCGAGGATGCCGAGGAGATTTAACAGCGCTATTGTTGCTATTCCCGGTTATGGAGAGTGAGGAGACACCGGTAGATCCTCAGTGAATGTCCGTCAAATATCCAACCTAAAACTAACTTCACCGCCGTATTTACAGGAAAAAACATTTGTTACCTCAGCTAATTTTTTATGTGCACATGTGACCCTAAATACATTTTGCAATTTGCACACATCTATTTTTAGTAGCAAATGCGAGTGAAACGGTCGAGTCCTGCAGATGATATTCTTTTAAATTGAGTCACTGAGTGTATCTTTAAATGAGAGCCGCCGGAGCGTCTCTCTGACTTTAAATGGCGTTGTACTCTGCAGCCACGCAGAACGAGATAAGAGCTCCTCTGGTTAGCAGCCCTGCCGTCATCAAGCCAACCTGTGTGTGTGTGTGTGTGTGTGTGTGTTTGTGTGTCCACGTGTGTGGTGACGTATAACATGGGACCCAATGAGGTATAAATACCTTAACTTAAAAGCCAGATTAGCAAAGACAGGGAGGAGCCTGACCACAGACACACAGACACACACATTAACACAGACACATATTAACACATACGCACAGGTTATATTTAGCTTCTAGCAGCAGAGGTAAGCATATGTGAGGTACCAATCTAGTCATTTTAGATCTATAGGACTCCTCTCTGTGTTACAATGATAAGCAGGTACACACAGCACAGGTAAAGGTGAACATTAGGAGGAGGAGGAGGAGGAGGAGGCTTGTGCAGACATGTGCAGGCTAAAGGACAAATCACAGTCTGTTCATATACTATAGAGGAAAAACTGCTGAGCTGACAAGAATGAAAGAATGGAAACACATGCACAAGCACACACATGCACACGGCCGAAGACGTACACTTGCTTTAATGCTCCAATTATAATGCAGGACACAGTTTTATAATGTTGTGGTATAATGAAGGAGGTTTGTGCGGATATATTGTCCCAGTAATGATGTGTAAATTTGTCGGCCTCTGCTGCAGCGAATGTTGTAGGGAAGTGAAAATTTATCAGATCTGAAGGTCAGTATCTGCATTTGTTTTAAAAACTGTTGTAGCTTTTTTTTTTTTTGTGATAAGTCAGACTAATTTTTGACACCAGGTATTTTTTCTTTTTTTTTTTCTTTTTTTTTGTCATATTTTTAAACCATTAAATGATTGACCATAATTTTTTTTTTTATTGTATGTTGGATTTTCAGGCTACAGTCACATTTTAACAAATAATAATATTGAATGAAATGATAAAAAAATAAATAAATAAATGAATAAATAAATAAATAAATAAATAATAAGTAATACTTGTTATAATAATAGTAGCATTAATCATAAAAATAATAATAATAATAATAATAATAATAATAATAATAATAATAATAATAATAATAATAATAATTATTATTATTATTATTATTATTATTATTATTATTATTATTATTATATTATTTTTAATGTTATTATTATTATTGTTATAACTATTTTTATTATTACTTTTAATGTTATTTCTATAACATAATAATTATTTTAACTTTTATTATTATTATTTTATTTTTTTAATACAGCACTTTTCGGAACAGAGTAAGTGCTTTACAACATCAAAATGAAATAGAGATAAAAAAATTTCATTTAAGTAAAAACAAATAAAAACAGAGTTAAAGGTCATATCTAGTAAAAGCACACTTTAGTCCAGAATAAACTTTTTCAGAAAACTAGAAATAACCTGTAAACTATTGTAAATATTTCAGACCTCTTATGAACGGGTGTGGGAGTGTAGAGCGCAGAATTTACGCTGCACTTGTATTTGTATAATTTCTAGTGAAAGTTTTTTTGAAGATCCAATAAAAGCTGATAAAAAAAAATAGCCAAATATAAAATCTTGATCACCCCATCGCTGTTTGCCTTTTGTCTTTTTAATTAAACTAGAACTTCACAAGATGTATTATCTGTTATGATGCTCTGTTTCCTTCAAACTCATGATTATTAAGTAATAAGTGTTCAAAAGTATCTCCTACGTCATCATGAAAACAGCGAATTTGTTGTTTATTCGAACACGTGACTTCAGTTTTGTCGTCAAGTCCTCCAGAAATACCACCTCAAAAGCTTCACAGACGTGTCAATAATAATGATTTTTATGTGCTCTCCATACTGTGACGACAAATTCTGTATCCTCTCCATCTTCAGCCTCGGTCACAAACATCTCGAGAGGTTTATTTTCACCTTTTCTGTCGCTGCCATTCACTGTCATTTCTATTCGTTTTCATTCTTTACATTTATGGGTAATTGTTGGTGTGTAGAGGACAGACTTTGAGGCTGATCTACATGTGAATATTTTCAGGTGGAAAATGGTTTACAAGGGGAACATTATGTGCCGGGTGTTCATAAATCTGGACTATTTTCGGCCGGTACTCCAGGTTTTCAGTCTCTTAACACTTCGTAGTGATTCTGCGTATTGTTTGACGTAAATGTGGCTCATATTCAGTGTGACATGATATTTTATTCTTGGAGTTTGACGAACACTCTTGGTAAGATTTGAGTTTTTAGCCGTGTGTTGGAAGAAAAGGCTGAAGTAAAGAGGAGGAACATCTCAACTTTTGCTTTCATTAATTAGAGTTAATCAGCTTTAGGTGGAAAGTTTAAATGAACTTTAATTAACGTCCGGTCTCCTCTCTTATCCCCTTTACCTTTTGACTTCGTCTTTTCCTCCTGTGGGCACGAACGTTTGCCTCTCTGCCTAATCTCCTTCTACTTTGTTCAATTTCTCTCCCTCTCTTTCTCCTCTAACACTCTTTGTCATCCATTTATCTCCTTCCTTCTCCTCCTCTATCAGGCTCTGGACGGCTTCTTTTTCGTGGTCAACATGGAGGGAAACATTGTGTTCGTGTCGGAGAACGTCAGCCAGTATTTGCGCTACCAGCAGGAGGAGCTGATGAACACCAGCGTCTACAGCGTGCTGCATGTCGGGGATCACGCCGAGTTTGTCAAGAACCTGCTGCCCAAGAGCCTCGGTGAGAAACTCATGGAAAAAATTTGGGAACTTGTTATAAATTTGTGTCAGATTTGATTAGTTTCCCATTTCCCAAAAGCTTTTACCTCTTACCTCAAACTCTCAGATTCAGAACTTTGTCTTTTATGCACTCCTGAACTTCCTGCCTTGAAAGAAAGCATGTCACCATTTTAGCTTTCCTTATACAGGCTCTTAGTTAATCTTAGAACTGATTAAAACCTTTTAATGATCAATTTTTAAGTACTATCTGGACTTAAGTACATTGCTGAGCCGCTCGCCAAGAATCCAGATTGAGGACCACTCGTTGAAACAACAAGGAGTTCAGAGCGACAAGTTCTTTATCCTCTTTTAACTCTGTTTTAATCATGTTTAACTGGTTTTAACTGATTTTTAACTGATTACGTTAACTTTTAATCGGCATATGTTGCATCTTTTACTGAATTTCAACTTTTTTTCCGTTGTAATCGTTTCTCTAAATGTCGTCTTCGATTTCTATTCTGTTTTAAAGAACTTTGTAAGTTTGTTTTGGGAAGAACTCTTTAAAAGTGAAGTTTATCGTCATTGCTGATTATGAAGGACCATAATATCTGGCTCCAAGGCTCCTTGTCGTAATAATAATAATAACTTTATTTTTATGGCACTTTTATAAACAGAAGTTTACAAAGTGCTTTGAAAAACAGTCGTAAAGCACAGAACATCAGCACATGGAGATAAAAACAACTAAAAAACAGAAGCTCAGTTAAAAACAAGACCTCCGAACTGAGGGCCAGTTTCATTTTTCATAAGAAACTCAGACAATACAAGAACCCTACAACATAAAATGAGACCATGAGGACCAAAATAAAAACATAAAATAGGTAAGAAGAAGAAATGTAATGAAAAAGGGGGTAGAAATCAGGAAACAAGATAATAAATATAAAAAGACAATAAAATAAAAAATAAAATAATAATGATGATAATAGTAATGATAAAATGGAATAACAAAAATGAGCAGGAAAAAACAATAAAATCAATTTTAAGATTATAAGTAAAACAAAAGCTAAAAAGACAGTAAGTCGAAATAAGATTGAGGTAAAAAGATAAAATACAAATTAAAAAAAAGAGAAAAGACATCGCAAAAAATCAAGTCTGTAAAAGTGAGTTTTTAAATTTGACTGAAAAGAAGCAACTTTCTCTGCACGCCTTATCTCCTCCCCTTGTTGAGTAAAATATACATTAAAAATGTCACAGTTTCACAGTGCTTCATAGTTGGTACTGATATTAATTAGAGGACCGAGCACTGAACCCTGGGGGACGCCCAAAAGCATATGCCCTGAATGTTGTTTGTTGTTCTGAGTGAACAGCCGAAAACAAATGTCAGTCATCTATGCCATCTTATCTAACAGCATGTATTTTTCTGTCTTTAGTTTCTCTAAATAAGAAAAAACTGTCACGTTTCTCTCTCCTGCAGTAAATCACCGCAGCAGTGACTCGTCCAACAGGAACAGCCACACCTTCAACTGTCGCATGTTAGTCAATCCTCACGTTGACGGCGAAGCGCGGCCGTCCTCTGACCAGCAGGACGTATCGCAGCAGAAATACGAGACCATGCAGTGTTTCGCCGTCTCCGAACCCAAATCTATCAAGGAGGAGGGCGAAGGTACGGCATTTCTCAAATCCGTCTCCTAAACTAAACTTTCCTCTTCATTAGGTCTCTCTTTTGTTTCTCCGACTTTCTTTCTCCCTCGTTTTCCCCTCCCTCTCCGTCTCTCCATCTCTCTCCCGACTTCCCGTCATTTTCCCATCACTCCTCCATCCCTACTTTCCCCGGTCTCTCGTGCCCTGTCCTCCTTTCATCACCGCTCCTCTCCACTTTCCCTCCCATCCACCGTGAGGGACTAATTAGTGCGTGGCACTTTGTCATCCTCCCATCTTATCTCAACACACACTCACACAAGCACACACGAGGGAAAAGTCTGTCTGGCACTCTAATTTTAGATGTCTGACAACCAGATATTGTGCCAATCCCTCACCGACATGAGGAGGACAGCCGGTTGACAGATGGAGGGTTGCCGGTTGAGGCTGAGGTTGATTAAAATGCAGCTGTGACGGCGAGGTTGAAGCTAGTTAAGGTCTCTGTTTGAGGGGAACTCAGGTGTCTACAAACCTGGAGACTCAAAGATACCAAAAGTTTTTCATCACTTAGGAAGGTTTAAGTTCACCGCACATTCAGAAAAACCCACTTAAGGGATTATTTGGATGAGTTTTTGGTCATGAGACGCTCCAATCAGTTCATCGAGCGACAGATCCGACATTAGGAATAAGGCAGACCTATCACCTCGTGTGTTTTTAATGAGGGATGCTGTGAAGCCGTAACAGGTGGGGAACCAGAGTGAGACCACCCAGGAGAGAGAGAGAGAGAGAGAGAGAGAGAGAGAGAGAGAGAGAGAGAGAGAGAGATAGTGAGCTCACACTTACCTGCAAAGCGAAGGAAAGAAGCAGTTTGGATGTTGTTGTGGTGGAGGATTATTTTAACCCTCTTTTTCTCTCACGCAGACTTCCAGTCGTGTCTGATCTGTGTGGCGAGGAGAGTGCCGGTCAAAGAGAGACCGGTGATGCCGACTTACGAGAGCTTCACCACCAGACAGGACCTTCAAGGTAGGACTAATGCACCTTCAAAAAGTCACGTGTCACCTGTAGACTGTAATGCTAGCAACTTTAAAACTTCTGAGCACAGGATCAGAGTCTGTGTCAGTCCTACTAAAACTGTCATAAAAACAGGAGTGAGATGAATTACCTAAAATCGTCAGTTTGGAGCTAAATAGCGGTTGTCGTCTCTGGGACATGACCCATTTGTTTCCAATCACGGCAGCCGCCATATTGGAAATGCTAACTCTGACTAACTTCTTACAGAGAAGTTGTCCAAGTAAGTCTTGGATTAAAGAATGGAGATAAATAATTATGTTTGGGTCTGTCGTGTGGTTAGAAACTTTGGGGTCCAATGAGGATCGACTCGCTTTTGGAGGTGGCCTCAAGTGGTCACTCCAGGAACTGCAAGCCAGCTTCGTATTTCGTTTGGTTAAGTTTGTTTGTGTTTATTATCTAATGTCTCCTGGTCAGTTGATGGTTACTGCGCGACATTATCACCCAGATTTTCCAAACTTGCAAACATCTGTAAACATGACTGTAATCTGTTCGTGTGGCCTCTCCAGGTAAGATCACCTCCCTCGATACGAGTCTCCTCCGTGCGTCCATGAAGCCGGGGTGGGAGGACCTGGTCAGGAGGTGCATTCAGAGGTTTCACCTACAGAACGACGGGGAGATGTCCTTCGCCAAGAAACACCAGCAAGAAGGTGATTAACAGATCACCTTAATTCAGGTTTTTTTCTGGAAGTGTTTAGGATATTAAGCATCACTGTAGCTCTTGAGGAAATCAACCACAGATTATTTTCAGGACTTTAGATCATTTTTCTCTCTCTCTTTCAAATCAAACGGCACTCGCTGTGTTCGATCTCTGAAGGTCCGTTTCTGTCTCTTTGCAGTGTTGAGGAACGGCCACGCTCTCAGCCCTCTGTACAGATTCACCCTCGCAGACGGCACCATCGTCTCAGCGCACACTAAGAGCAAGCTGGTCCGATCTCCGGCCACCAATGAACCCCAGCTCTACATGTCCCTGCACATCCTGCAAAGGTACAGACCTCTCTTTGTACCGTTTGGACCTGCAGCTGATTGTAAAACCACAAGACTGAGCTAAATCAAAGAAACCAAACCAACTTTAGCTGTAAAAAGTCTGAATTAAATCAAATATCATCAACATTCAGAGATATTATTTCTAGTGTTGGCCTCTTCCATGTTGGCTCCCAGTCGTTGCGGTTTCCTCTTGATCCAGACAAAGAGAGGGAAACAGCAGTTTGCATTGAGAACAAAGAGCTTTTTATAACCCTGCTGCTGTATGTGCAAACCAAAACTGACACAAGCGCTACCAGTCGGTCCAGTATACAAAGCCCCGTCCCTTTCCCCCCTCTGATCACTGGGAGCGACCGCAACAAAACCAGCGTCCAGCCTTTGGTATGACCATTCAGAGTTCGGGATTGGACGCAGATCAGAAAACAATGCCAGGACTGTTACCCAGAGTATTCAGGGATCAATGGCAAGAACTTGGTCTTTTTACTTCCACCAAGTTTCACATTGAAAATTATCGCCCCGGCGCTCATTCAGCACAATCAGAGCTTTGTTTGTTTGTTTGGTATGGAGCTGAAGCTGCTCTGTGTTCAGAGCTCCTTCAGTGTTCTAACCTTTATTTTCCCAACTCTATAGACTTTACAGAAATGAACTGTGTTAATGACATGACTGAAACTAAGCTGAGGGAAACCACTATGCCCTGATTCCTAACAAATCCTGAAAGACGCTCTTAAGACAACCAAAGTTGGAGCACTGTTAAGAGAACTACATACGGATGGAAAAGAACATATCAAATATCTCTGAAAACCATCGTCTGCAGACAGAACTCCTCAGTGCGTCCGCTTACGGAGGTTCAATCTGCACCAAGCAAAGTGAAAACCAAACATAAACACGATTCAGACGTTGGTGACCACTGGAAAAGTCGAAAACGGTCCAGTCTGGTTCATCAAACTTTCTTTCTGGAAATCACGGACATCTTGCCCGCTGTTCATGTATGGTTGATGCAGCTGAAAGGGTGTTTCCTTCTTGGACCACCATCAGATCCGTCTCTGCTGTCAGAGCGGCGAGCAGATGTTCAAACTGCGTTTTCTACTCTGAACCTTAAAGTTAATCTTGTGTCTGCTTCCTTTTGTTTTCAGGGAGAACATGGGGGGTTTGAGTGCAGACACACCGGGCAGCCAAGGCATGACCAAGCCAATGACCCCAACCAGTATGGGTGGCCCCTCCCCTTCTCCTGATGCCAGTGTCACCAGCAACACCCACCACTCCACCTCGGTGTCAGGAGCACAGGGACGGGGGTTTGGGTCTGTATCGAGCCGGTCATCCACGCCTCAGGGAAACAGCCACTCTCTCAAACTGGGCAGTCCTTCGGCCCAGGGGAGCCCCAGCATCTCCTCAGGGGTCCAAGGGGCCATGTTGTCTCCTCGTCATCGCCAGAGCCCCGGCATGGCGGCGAGCAGCAGCAGCTGTAGCAGTCCCCACCTCCCCCAGCATCCACCTGGTTCTTTCTCTCCTGCAGCCGGGCTTCCTTCGCCAGCATCCGTGTGCAGCAGCACGGGGAACAGCCAAGGGTTTAACTCCCTCAGCGCCCTGCAGGCCCTCAGCCAGGGCCACAGGGTTTCCCAGGGACCCAGTGAGGGGCAGCATCTAGATTCACCTGATGGAAAACCAGATGGTCTTCAGAGTCCACTACAGAGCAGCAGTTCCGGAAGCCAGCTAGCCAAGAACAACCCCAGCTTGGAGGCCGACATATTTGGAGCTTTTGAGGAGCAGCAGGACTTGTTGTCACCCCAGAACCAGGAGGGAGACCAGGGGGAGGGGAAAGACGCTGACCCTGACAGCTTCGGAGGTAGTGGGAGCTTAGAGGAGCTTGGCGACGCCTCAAACCGCCTCCTGAACACAAAAGGCCCCACGAAACTGCTCCAGCTCCTCACGACCAAGCTCGAGCCGTCAGATCCCGGATCTCCACCTCCTCTGGGGGACGAGCAAAGCTGTAAGGACCAGCTGGCCGGGTTGGGCGGTATGGGTGGTGCGGGGCACAACAACCACTCCACCTCGCTGAAGGAGAAACACAAAATCCTCCACAGGTTACTGCAGAACAGTACCTCACCTGTGGAACTGGCCAAGCTCACAGCAGAGGCGACTGGGAAAGACCCCGTTGGTCCAGAGTCGGCTTCAGGGGACAACGCGGCCCTGAGTGAACTCTGCACAAAGCAGGAGCCCGGGAGCCCCAAGAAGAAGGACAATGCGTTGCTTCGTTACCTGCTGGATCGGGATGATAACGGGATCCTGGATAAAGCCATCAAGATGGAGCCCAGTGAGGGTCCGAAGCTGAGCAATGTGAAGACGGAGAAACAGGACGCAGGTTTCAACATGGCCGACCAGGTCAGTGTCTTACCTGAATTTATTCATTGGTGGTTTTTGTTGTTGTTTGGTTCCTAGCCCCCCTCTTTTTGGTTTCAGCTATAAATTAGGTCTCATAGTGGTCTGGACTTTTAGTTTTTAACATTTCCAGCTGACAGACATGGAGGAGAAACGCAGGAAATCAGCTGTTTGTGGCATTACCGTAGTCACATACCCTCTTGTTCCTCGGTTGGTCTCGGCAGATCCAGTTCAAAGTGTTGTTGGGTAAATTCAGAGTGCAGGTGCTCCGACAAAAACTGAGGTTAGTTCCAGGAAGGAGCTAGACTTCAAAAGTGTGACCGGTCCCACCAAAAGCTCTTCCTCCGGTCAGGGGAGGCTGCTGCTGGCAAGGAGGTCTCCATTCAGAGGTTTCCATCCTGGAGTTTGTTAGGCGATGTTTCCTTTAGCTGGAGTTAAAGATTCCTGTCAGAGAAACGACAAAGTTACTGAGAAAATATTCCAGTTTACAAGAATAAGAAATAAAAAAATCAAACTGAAAAGACAGAAAGGGACAAAGCAAACATGGTCTCCCTAGCTTCCAGGTTTTTGCAGATACAAAGTTAGCGTCGTTTTTGTCTCTTTATCTCGTCTGTCCAACAAACTCTGGACTTTGGATAGTCTGAAAAAAAGTCCTCGTATCTCTGTCTGAGATCGTGCCCTTGATATGGCCGCTTTATGTTCACAGTCTGTGTGTGAAAGTGTGTGTTTGTGCATCTCCACTGTGGCTAAACAGAGCTGTGACTGTGTCTTACTGTGACCTCATTAGTGCCGGCAGTTTATTTTTAGCTCCTCCTCTATTCATCAGCCAAACGGCCGGAGGAAACCAATGCTGTCAGCGGGTGGGTGTGTCTGGGTTGAATTACACTGCAATACTGAGGGGAGCTTGTTTTTTTTTCCAAATAGTTATAGAAGTAAATATCAGGTTTTGTAAATCTTTTGTCTGAGTTTTCTTTTTTTATATTATTCTCCTTTTTCTTTTGTTTTCACATCCTAAACTGCTTTCGTACATGTCTGCTTCTATTGCAAAACAAACGCAAAATACCGTCTTCTTTGTTTGATGCATCGTACAATAAACAAACACTCAGACGGATAAAAACCTCTCTTCATAGCAGATTATTCCAACCATTTAAAGCTCGTGTTGCATCTTGATTTCTGAGCAACAACTGTTATAACACCCGCAAGAAATCCCATCTTCATAAACTCCTCCAAACATAAAATGATACAGCGTTATTCTGACGGTGAAACAGAAAATTTTCCGCAACAATGAGGGTCTCACTTTTGCTTTAGTCTGTGCCAAAACATATATAATTTAAGTGTAAGTGAAAAGCCTCTGTCATGTTTCTGTAGACCACCTACAGGGAAAACAGCTTCAACAAGATAAACTGGGTTGGCTCCTGTGGTGATGTAACAACAGGAGTGATTTGCAAAGCCATTACCACTCCATCCTACGTTTTGTTGTTTTTCTCTGCTGTTGTACAGTCAACATGTCCGAGGTTAGAGCCAGACAATGATCTGTTGTTGGTTGCATAAACCCACACAAATGTCACTGCACTGTCCCAGCACTGGAGAACTAAAGAAGACAACAATGTGCCAGATACAAGCAGTGCTAATTTTGTTGTTTGTGCCAACGTACCACTCAAGAACCACGCTGTTGTAACTGCGGCTACGACACTTCACCAGTTGCCTTGTCAGATTCTGGATTATGCATAATATCATGGCGCAGGTTCTCACTTGCCAAGCTTGTTTTGGTGTTTTTCCGCCTCTACATCCATCTGCACCGGTCTGCATTCTCCCCCTTCAAACAACAATGCGGGCAGCCAATCAAAACAGTTCCTCATTCTCATAGCATCCCTGCCCAAGCAGATCACTATGTGGATAATGAGGTTGGGAACTGAGAGGCTGCAGATCCTTGCCTAAAAGATGACTAGCGTTACATGGGACCTTCAAGATGATCTTGAAGGTGGAAATTTGATGTGATAGATATAGGACCCCCTCCCCATGCACTTTCTTCCATCTAATTTTGTTCCTAAATCTTGCTGATCTCAGTCCAGTGAATTGGAGGACCTTTTGGAGGACCTGCAGAGTGGCGGCCAGCAGCAGCAGCAGATGTTTGGAGCACAACCTTCAGTCAGAAGATCAGCCTCCACTTCATCCTCCTCTTCCTCTGTGCCGCCTAGTTCCTCTGCAGATAAACAGACCATCATCGGCAACATCCTGCAGATGACAGACAGCACCAGCACCAGCAGCAGCCCCCCCAACCAGCACAGAGCTTTCCCCACGATGGGACCAGCAGGTACGTCCAGTTCAGGGTGGTTCTAAGTGGATAAATCTGTATTAATCGATATCTTAGACCGTGCTACCTTCACCATATCTCTGTCTGAGGATATAAAACAGATATGACACGCCCACTTTTTGTCTCTCCAGCAGGTTTTAACAGTGCCAGGCCAGGCCAGCCGGGTCGAGCCCCTCCCCCGGTCAGGAGCGCATCTCTGGACGGCAGTATGGGCCCCAATCCCAACACTGGCAGACCATTTCCTCCCCAGCACAGAACCAACGCCCCCTACTCCCTACTGCAGCATCAGCAACAGCAGCAAGGCATGATGGGAACCCATACAGGCATGGCCAACCAGGCGGGGATGGCCAATCCAGGTCAGATACCTTAATTGTCTTGTCCTCAGGGAAAATAGTGTCAGAGTTAATATATGATAATAAAATTCTAACGATCTTTAAATCTGATTGTTTCTGTTCTTTTCAAATCAGGCATGCTGAGTAACGGGTCAATGAGGGGCCCTATGCAGCAAGGCTGGGGTCCCCAGGGGCCCTTAGGAGGGAGTGCTGGAGGAATGATGGGCCAAGGGGTAGGACCTGGTCGCATGGTCCCCAATATGAACTCTGCAATGCCCACAAGAGGCCCTCATGGGTCCAGAGCCATGGTCAACATGCAGATGATGAGCAACGGTGAGAAGAAAATCGAGAAAAAGACAAAAACTGTCTGACGTAAAGTTTAATCATATTAATACCTGATGTTGCTTTTTTCTCACCTTCAGAGATGGAGATGGCGAACCCAACCTACCCTCAGCAACAAGCTCCACCCAATCAGACTGCACCATGGCCAGACCGAATGATGTCCATGGATCACTATGGAAACCAAAGCAGGTAAAAAGTCAAACATAAAGCACCAGCATCTGTTGGCGGATTTACAAATCAAAACCCTGAGTCTGATGTGACAATAACAACATGTTTCCTTCAGGCCACCGTATGGCGTCCCCCAAGGAGACGGGATGGGGTGCTGCAGCACAGGACCCGAGGGTCAGCCAGATGAGGGCACTCTGTTGAACCAGCTGTGCTCTGTGCTGAAGGACTTTGAGGGTCTGGAGGAGATCGACAAGATGCTGGGGATCCCAACGCTGGCTGGACAGGTGAAACCCAAACTCCCAGGAATATGGGTGCTTAAAAATATACTGGTTCCTGTTGCTTATAACCCGTTCTTTCCTCCCTGCAGGGTCCCATGTCAGACCAGGACCAGTACCTCGGCTCCTCAGACCCATCAGCCTCCATGAAGCCTCTCCTGTACGGTCAGCAACACTACAGTGGTCAGTCTGGATACAGCAACATGGCTCCTGATGGCGGTTTTCATGGCCCCTCCATGGGTGGCCATATGGGTCCTCAGAGGATGCCGCCGGCTGGTTACCCTCCAATGATGAGGATGCCGGGGAGCGTGGGGCCCAGAGCAGCTGGGATGAGACCAGGGGGGCCAAATCCAGGCGTGCCACCTCAGCCCAACAACCTGAGGCTGCAGCTGCAGCACAGACTCCAGGCCCAGCTGGTAGGTGGCAACAAATATTTATCATCAGCCCTCTCACTGCCATGCGATGTTTGCTGACCACAAACCAGGACTGTTGTTGTAAACAGATGGGACTGACTGTCCATCCAGCTGGTGATCAGCCTTTTAAATACAACATTTAGAAATTTAATTGAGGATGTTCACCATGATATTGTTCAAAAGTGATGGATGCAGCCACCTGATGGCACTCAAAGGTTTATGAACTAATGGCTGAAAGCCTCAAATTTGGCATCTTGGCTCTTTGGAGCTCGAGGTGTCCTGGAGATGAGCCTGACTGCACCGATGCTAACAGGGTTCACTGGGTTTAAACAGCAGCAGCAGCCTCAGAGGAACAAATGTGTTTCAACTTTTTGCCTTCATCAGTAGTTACCTGCTGCTGAGACACATAAAAATGAACACACATGTGAGGTACTGACACACATACAGAGCTGCTCTCTAACTTATGAAGATGATACACGGGGGCTGTGCTACGTAACTGACTTAATGTCAAAAATGTTCTTTTTATCTCCCATCATGGTTATTTATCCAGGTGCATGATACCTTTATTTAATACTTTGTTTGTTAAGGTGGAATTATGTAAAATAAATTATTTTTAATTGCTGTTTTAAAGTCATATTTTTGTAATGCTAAGGAGGTCTATCACTAGATTTTTAGATTCAAGCTACAGTGGATTCAGTAATAATTTATTTACACAACTCTTTATGGTTTAGATGCTAAATGGTAGCGTGTAAAAGTCTAGACTGCCACCTGGTGGAAATTTGAGAAAACAGCAGGTGTATTAAGGCTGTTGGTTTAGCAGCTGGTTCAGATGGGAGACACGGCATTTGCACCTCTGTCTCCAGGATTCTGCCAGTGTGAGTGAGAAGAGAACAGTGTGATTATTGTGATGACTAAATCATTTATCTCACTTCATTGCAGAACCGTCAGCCAATGGTGAACCAGATGAGCGGAGTGTCCAATATGAATCTACCTCTCAGGTCTAACGTACCAAACCAGGTCAGTCAGAAACGAACACATTCCTGTAAGAATTTCACTCACTCACTCCTTAAACATCCAAATACCCGCCATCACAGATGAACCAACTCCTGTGAGAGAATCGAACATTGATGGAAAATAAAAAGATAGCTGAAGGTATGAAGGTTCCGAATTGGAAATGACCTGTTTTTGCTCAGCAGTGCAGTTGCAATAGAATGAGAACAAAGCAATAGAATGTGATCGAAGAATGGAATCAAAACAATAGAATTAGAAAGCAATAGAATGGAATCAAACTAATGAAATGGAGTCAAAACAATCAAATGAGAACAAAGCAATAGAATGGAATCAAATCATTAGAATGGAATCAAAGCATCAGAATGAAATCAAAACAATAGAATGAGAAAGCAATAGAATGGATTCAAACTAATGAAATATAATCAAAACAATAGAATGTGATCAAAGCATTAGAATGTGATCAAAACAATAGAATGAGAAAACTATCAAACCACTGAGTCACAATGAAGAGCTCAATATGAAAACCTTGTAAGAACAGTAAATTAAACAGGAGCATCACAAAGATTAAAAATAGTTTAATACTTGTGAATACCAAAAAAGCAATTAAAAAAAAAAAGAAAAACTCCTTTTGACTTTGTTTTTCATCAACTTCTCTGTGTTACTTTTTTGTTTCCAGGGAACCCTCAATGCCCAGATGCTAGCTCAGCGTCAGCGCGAGTACCTCAGCAACCACCTACGCCAACGCCAACAGCAGCAACAACACGTGCACCAGCAGCGTGCCATGATGATGCGAACCCAGGGAATCAACATGCCACCTAATATGCCCAGCGGGGGCGCCGCTCCAACCCCAATGCCCATGGGTGGCACCAACCCACGACTCCCACAGGGAAACCCGCAGCAGTTCCCCTACCCGGCCTCCAGCTACGGTACCGGTCTGCCCTCTCCTCCTCCTCATCCCAGCTCCACCAGTCCTTTCCCATCCCCTATCTCCCCTAGCCATCACCTGGCTAGCCAGGGCATGATGGGAAATGTAAGCGGGCAGTACAGCGGGGTTATGAGTCCGCCATCACAGCACAGTGCCTACCAGTTCAACAGTACAGGTATTTGATTAGAGCGCAGTAACGGCGTCGCAGCAGTCTGTGTGTGCTTCTTGGCCGGTGTAGTCGCTTTTTCCCTCTGTGGTAATCAAATACTGTATAATCATCTCTGTTTGGTTTAACCTCTTGAGATCATGATTGGAGGTGGTTGAAGGTTGCATGATGCTTGTTTTTGTTTGCAAATCAATGTTGCATCTGATCTTCTGCTTTAATGTTTAGATAAACACTCTGTCTATGATTGTAACTCTGTCATTAACCAATCAGAAGACTTCATGTTTTTTTTTGTTTTTTTGTCTGAGGATACTTTGTTGTTACAGTCATTGTTATCGTAGTTTCCGACGTAGCTTATTACTCTTAAATCTGCTCAAATCTACAGGAATGAGCCAACAGCAGCAACACCAGGACCCGGTGTCAGGCTTTCCATGCGGGGCTGCGACCCCTCAGAGCCCAATGCTGTCCCCCAGGATGGGTCAGGGTCAAAGCCCCATGCTACAGCACACCCAGGGCCAACCCCAATCCCAGGGTCCCAACCAGGCAGGAGCAGCAGGTTACCAGCAGGGCAGCGACCTCAACGGGTGGCCCCAACCTGCCAACATCTCCACCAGCAACAGGTGACAGAAGATTAACTGTTCACTAAATTTTACATGAACCTTTTTGAGTGTTTTTGTGAATACCATCATGCTCTTTGACTCTTCTTTTTAGTGTGTACCCTCAGCAGTCCCAGTCTCAGTACTCAGCACAACCCAACGGGGGAATGTACAGCAACAACGCCAACATGAACCTGGGAGTCATGGGCAGCAACGGCGGCAACATGAGCCAGATGTCAGCACAGATGAGTTCCATGACCTCCATGAACACAGACCAGGTGAGAGATGCAAAAATTCACCTATTTAAATGGATAAAATATTATTACCATTGTTAAAGTTCTTATCTGATTTAAACTCCATGTCTGTCTTCATCACTGTAACTCTCAGGTGTGTGACAGCATTCTGGGGCAGCTTGCAGAAATCGACATGTTGACACAAGATGGTGAAGCCAATTCTGTGAGTAAAGGTTTCTTGTCTTGCACACATTACATAGATATTTTGGGCTTAAATTTGATTCAATTTAAAGTTTATTTTTTTGTATCAAAAAATAGAAGAGTAGCCTCTAAGGTGACATCTATCCATAATACCCTATATTGTTTGAGACAGCATTATACTTGGACGAGGGGTGGTACTGGGAAGGAATGAGGGTGTTAGCCAAATCTCTATCATCAGTCAGTACTTGAAAGTTGGTAAAAGCAGCTTTTATGTTATTCATGATACTAATTTAATAATCAAACGTACATCCAAAAGAGCTTGGTTCATAGTAACTACAGTTGTCCATAAGGGATTGTGAATTTGGTGTGCCTCAGGGCTCCATTTCAGGTCTTCATTGATTCTCTTCGTATATCCTTCCACCCTGTCCAACTACTGCTGCATTATTCATACTTCATAGACATCCTGTGAATTATAGGTTATTTCATTAAATGCTCTGCTCGTTTGTTTTTCTCTGTTGTACAGAATTTCTGCTGACCCCGGCTGCTGTCCACACGAGGTAACACAGGAGCTCATGCAAAAACACTCAAACCCACTCAGCTCAGCAATCAGAGAGACATTAAGTAGTTAAAGACACGTGATGGAAACGCTTGTTTCTCCGTCACACCAGCCGACACTGAGGCACTACGGAGAGAGGACGACTTTATATATAAGACAGTAAATGGAAGTTTGCAGGTTCGTGTGTGAGACGGAAACAACGGTGTCACCGTTTGAGACCGGAGAACTGAAAGGCTGTCGAGCATGAATGAAACCTCTGGATTTTATCTGAAATATTTCAGAGCTGGACTGAAAACTTAAATGAATGAAAAGGTTTATAAAAATATTTTACTATTATTTATAGTTTTGATGAGGTTTTAGAGATTATTTGTATGACACACAAAAAAAATCAAGGATATCTTTCGCTTAAGAAAATCTCCCAAAATGGTACATTTTGATGTCAATTTAAAATTAATATATTTCAACTGCTGTAGTTACGAGGAGCTAAATCCTCGTGAAACGACTTTTTGAATGAAGGTGAATGTGTATAGATAGTGTACATACAAAGATTTATTATACTCTCTTTTACCCTCAGTGACATGGAGAAGCAGTAGTTTGGAGTTTTAGTCCGACAAACATTTCTCAGAGAGCAGATCTGTCATTGGTTAAACTACACATCAGGGGGCGGAGCTAAAGGTTTTGCGGGTCCCAATGGCAAAAATGCTACATGCTGCTGTTTTCGCTATTTTGAATCTTAAAGCTTAAACTTTAACCATGTGGTCAAGCAGCAACAAGAGGTTGGTTTGATTAGCACGTTTAGTGATGAAAACTAAAACCAACACAGAAGTGAAATAAACTACAGTTACACGATTATATAGCAGAGTTAAACATGTTTACACCCCAATGCAAAAAGGCAGCAACAGGCTTAAATAATTAGCCCCGCCCATAACAAAACCAATTTTCTTTTATCAAGATTAAGAGTCACACATTATTGGGTAGAATCAGCTGTCTGTATGATTTACACAATGAACTTAGCCCGCTTTAACTCTGTAGCTTGAGTCATTATCCAATATGGCGACCAAGCTGACGACTCGGCCCAGAACTCATCCATTTTGGTCAAGAGTGATGAGTCATTAGGGAGAGGTTACAGCGGCTGTTTTGATCTGTTGGGTCCAGAATCTCGCCAACAGTCGAATAGGTTGGAGTGACATTTGGAACAGCTGTTCATTCTACCACTACTGTCAATTTAAGAACATTAAACCCCCCTGACTTTTTTTTAGCATCATTATCAGGTTAGTCTTTTAACTCGTCCATTATTTTGGTTTTAGACTCAAAATCTAAAGAGTAAATGTGATTCCTATTATTTTAATGTAGATAATTAGCTCCGCCCACTGTATTTCCAACCAATGAAACACATCTTACTGGACAGCATCTTTGCTTTTGGGTACAACTGATGAAACTCTGAGTTACTGCGGTCGTAGACCTCATGGCTGCGATGTCACACTGAAGGGGGGGGGTAGTTTTGTTGTGTTTGGGTCATTCTGTGCGTGAAGATGATTTTTGAATGACAAACAGTCGAACCCTACTCTGTGTACTGTTGATGAATGAATGAACGAGTCAGGGCGGTCTCAGAAGGATGTTCAGTTTTGCATAAAGACGGGCAGGTGATCGAGAACCTTTACAATCCAAAGTCATGAAACTCTCACAGACTGGACCTCAGAGATTTTGGGAATAGATTCATCAGATCATTTCAAAGGTGCTCTTTGTATTCATTAGGTGCTGTCTCATAAACTTGACTGTAACTGTCCAATCCTAATCTTGAATTGAGACGGTCCACAAATCTATAAACCTGTAAAGCACACACTGGAATAAAGACAGACAATGACGAGTACGGCGGAGTGTTAGGTCCACATTAAAGAAAAGAAGAAATGAGATTTAAATAGTGTAAAGGTAAATTACAAGAATGAAGTCAGAGTGAAAAGTATCATAAAATGAGGCGGTTAGATTATCATTTATGCCCAATCGTCTCAGCGTTAACACTTTTATTTTTACTTTTATGACGTTAAACTTCACAAGCCACAAGTGAAACTAGCTCCTCTTCAAACAGTCCCCTCCAAAATATCAGAAACACCAAGTTTTTTTTCTTGTACAATTAACACTTAACTTTTGGAATATCACTTCTTTTTCCACATGAAATCGAAATTCAATCATCTTAAAAACAGTTTAACCACTTTACTCTTTTGACATAAGAGTTTCTTTCATGATATTCCGACTTCATCCTGATGACGTTGTCACTTATTCTGGTAATACTGGGATCTTATTCTTGGTTTACAACTATTTGACCTTTATTCTCACGATTGCACCACTTTCTAAAATTACAACTTATATTTATGACATAATGACTTGTCTCATGATATTACACCTTCATTCTCAAAACATCACATTTTCTTTAACGTGGACCTGATAAACGAGAGGACAGGGATGTGAAAATGCAAACTGGACACAAAACAAAAACACTGAACAGAACTTTTGACTTTTTCCCTATTCAGGAAATGTTGACCCCGTGATTTCTCCATTTCTCTTAAGATCTTAGCACAGGAAAGTCAACTCCAGTGTGCATTTTGTGAAATCCCAAAGATTTTAAGGAGACAACTTCTGAGAGAAAATGAAAGCCATGAAAAAAAAAAGTCCTGAATGTCAAACTCTCTGCAAAGTTTGGAAACAATCAAAAAGATGTAAACTCATGTACATAACTCCTGATGTTCTAGATGAAAGTGAAATATTTTCTCTTGGTTTCAACTGATACAGTATATAAATACTGTATATATATATATATATTGAAGAGTTCTTGATTTATAGATTGATATTTTATCTATTGCAAAATACTGTAATTCATGTAAGTACCTTAAGATGCGAAGATGAAGCATAATGCCTTAGATCTGTGATTCTTTGTCTGGTGTTTATCTGTCTGGTTTACAGGTGTACTTTATTATCTGTCAGTCCCATACTGCTGAGTGAGTGAGTGTTTCACCACTTCATTCTGTAGCTACAAGAGTTCAATAACCAGGTTTTTGAAAATCTTCTATCATGAAGTGACGCTGAACGACAAGTTCATGGTCTCAAGGAAAGCTAGAGTAACTGCGTGTTAGCCTTCGTGATCACGGTGCAGAAACGTGCTTTTAATTTTGATGTAGTTTATTTGCGTTGTCACACCTTGTATGTGCGCAACGCACCAGGGAGGTTCTCCCAGACTAACACAGTGTTTTTTGTTTTTTTTTAAAGGGGCATTTCATAGTCTTTGACTTTTGTTGATCTCAATGACCAATAAGCTCTGTAGCAACATCTCAGTACAGTTAGCTGTAAATTACAGTAACTTACTGTAATTGTACGCAGTGATGTAGCGCTAATGCTGGAACATACTAATATGAACATAACACACCCATCCCATGTTTTTGAATACAGACACTATACCACTCCCTGTTAGACAACCCGAAATCTGAGAGCCATCAGCAGATGCTCTTAGTATGCCGATGATGCTAATGTTTGCCATGTTCTAATGTTAGGGATCTTAAATATGATCCTATAGCTCCATTGATTTTCTCTGTCCTTAATTTTTTGGCTTTGTATCAATCTGGGAGAAATGTCAACAATTTGTGACATTATTGATGTTCATACAATCCTTATAACTCTGAGGGTGGGAAGCTCAAATAATGTTACCTGGTCTTCCTGATGTTTTCCAGATCATAAGACACATAAACCACAATAATCCAACAAATTGATGGATCCTTGTTTGATGTGCAGCCATGAAAATAATAGACGGTGTAAATGTTGGGAGAGATGGGGCTATTTAGCTTACATTAGAACTCAGCAAAGTTAGCATTTAGCCACTTATGAGATAGCAGTTATGCTTTAAAATCATCGATAGAACGGGAAAGGCATCGATTATTTTACTAATAACCACTTTAGAAGAGCTAATGTTAATGCTGAACAGAAAATTAGCCAGTCTACGATACAATCTGCAGGTACCGTAAGCCTCGAGCATGACATCATGAGGAGAAGACTGCTGAAGGGAATCTGGGCGGTACGCTTTAGTTCAAAGAGGAGGTTTTATGATCATTTTTAGGCTTAAAACCTGCGACAGAACTTATGGTTCAAAATACTCCTTATTTATCTCACCCAGCGTCGGCACACAGGAAATTTTAGGTACTGTCTCTTTAAGGCCCCTTTCCCTGCAGACCTACTTTCTTCTGATTGGCCAGTTCTCTAGAATGTTACCAGGTTGTTATTGTACAGGATCAATGGAGGAGTTCTGTGGCTTTGTGACATCACAGAATTCCGGATATAGATACATTTTAATAGAGATGAACTGTAGAGCAGACCGAACTCTGAACTCTGAGAATCTAAATAGTTGTACCTTTATTAGCCGGCTCTAAAAACAGAAAAATAGTCACTCTATAAAACAGCATTCATTTGTGATGGGAGGTTCAGTTTGCTTAGTTAAATATTTTTATTTTAAAGTGTTTTCAAACAAGGATGCAAGTATTCAAAAACCTCTTTTTTTTGCAGCCCAACAGATTCACTTTCAAACAATCCATTTAAACATCTCAGCAGTGACAGTCAGTACACTTTACATGGAGCGTGTTATTATGCAAAAGCCCAGACGTTCACGCCACTTTATGCAAGCTGTCGACTCTAATGTTGCTTTTGCCAATGCTGCTTGTTAATTTATGATTCATGCCACTGTAAATAAATTATTTTTATGGAATTGGACGACTCTCGTCTTTTTTTCCCCCTGAACTAAAAAGCACCACAGACCTGACACTGAAAGCCTATGCCAACGAGAGGAAAGAACTCTTTCCATCCATAAAAGCAATTTTTAATCATAATTGATAACCATAAATTGCTTTTTGGTGGAATGACAGTCTTCTTGTGTATGCATTTCCTTCTTTACACCAGCAGGGGGCAACAGATCACAGGAATTTCAATTGACTGAGTGTGGTCTTGACCTAAAATTTGCTCAGTGAATTTTTTTGGGAACATGCAGAGATTTCCACCACAGACCCATGTCAGTTTTTACAGCTGCCTGAGAGCGCGCTCATCCACAGCAGGTTTTCATCCTTATCCGTTCCTGTACAGATTTCATCAGAATCAGAGAGGCCCTTTCAATACTTAGTTACTTTACTAAACCAATTTACCTCATTAGTTGGGAACTGTTCCTCCTGTTTATTTATTTATTTGTTTTGACATTTTACAACATTCTAAGTGTTTTCATATCCTTGTTCCAAATTTTTTTAAATTGTATCACTGGCTCCAAAGTTTAAAAAGGAATATTTTTTGTATAATACAATTACATTTTTAAAGGGATATTCCGGTGTAAAATTAAGTTAGGGTCAAACATATCGTAACACCGAGTTAGACCCCCCCCCCCCCAGAGATGAATGTTGCCGACTGCTTTCTTCTCTAGTTATACCAACTTTAGTAACGACCGCAGGATAGCAATACAGAGAGCTACGCGCTCAACCAAAACGCCACTCTATAGCCACAAATAATGCTCAGAACAGCACCTAACTTCATCAACAGGACATATAGGGTCCCAGCCATAGTGCTGTGGCTAGGACCCTATAGGACCCTCTCTGTATTGCTATCCTGCGGTCGTTACTTAAGTTGGTATAACTAGAGAAGCAAGCGGTCGGCAACATTCATCTCTCGACGGCGTGTCTAACTCGGTGTAATGGTGTGTTTGACCCTAAAATAATTTTATGCCGGAATATCCCTTTAAGTTTGTTCCTGATTGAATATAAAGTTTAAAATTATTCCATCAAAACTTTTTTTTCAACATTTTTATCTTATCTTTCAGACTCGAACCATTAGAGAATCATCTTATTTTGTACTTGTTCCTCTCACGTATCCATATAAATCTTTTTAATAGAATAAGGAAAAACCTTTTAGTCATTTGTGACGGTTTCTGCTGACGCATCAAGACTCATGTGGCGCTGAAAAACCAGTTCCTTGTTTCAGATGTCGGACCTGCGTTTGGAGAAGTGAGGAGCAGCCAGACGTCCTCAGTAAGTCTGCATGGTCTCACTGTAACAGCAGTAACGTACACACTGCCAAAATTCCTCTGCAAAGAACTTGAACCCCATCCAGGACCTGATGTCCTCTACATGGCCCTTCAAATCTAATCGGACTGAAGGCCACCGTCTGTCCCTGTAGATATGTACGCTAACTTACTACTTACTTACTCAAATCCAGCTTTTGTCATGATTACATTTGTATGAAATCTCTGTCTTGGCCGTGAGGTTGAAGTGCCAAAGCCTTCAGTGTTTTCACAGATAAAGTTTCAGAGATAGAGCCTGAAGTTTGCCAAACAATTGCTCAAGGTCATGAACGTGTAGTTCCTTATTTCTGTCCAACTTTAGCAAACAGGAATGAGTCGATTGAGTCATGTTATAACAGCCCCTGAAATTACAGAAACTCTTAAATTCAGAATTTGACACAGGAAATATTATTAAGAAGTTAGGACTTATAAGATGCTGTAGACGTTTCATATTTTATCTTAAAACAACTCTGCTGTATCTAAATCTTTGTTCTTTTATTACATAAAACCTTTAATAATCTAATCTCTGCTTTTGTTGCACTCTGTCAACTTCTTCACGCAGTTTCAACACTCGCTGTCTCTGCTGTCTGAAATTTGTGAATAGTTGTTGGAGATGTATTGTTTCCCGACGCGCAACGTGATCTCAGCTGTGATTGGTCAGAATGTATTCCCACAGTACGTGATCTGGGCGTCCATTGGTGGATCCAGCTGCTTGTCAGAGAGGCCGGATTCGTGAGAGCCAAAGATCAGCTAAAAAAAATGAAGACCTCTCACTCCGGGTCTGTTTCTGTTGTTAGTTGCAGCTATAAAAAAAGTGAGTTTTTTGGACGGTTGTTCAAAAGCTCTGCTGTTTAATGCTTAAAAAGTATTTTATTCTGTACTTAAAATTGTTTTGGAATCCATTATATTTATATCCATTATGGATATTTAGGCTCATTAACTGCGAGTGCAAATCCCAGGCTTCCTCACAAATTAGTACCTGATACATGAATCTAGACACTTACATCATGATAAAGCTTTTCCACAATAATCTTGTGACTGTAATGCACAAGTCATGTCTCTGATATTTTGTCCCACCCCCGTTTTTACTGAGTTGACAGAAACTAATCTACCTCACAAAGCATTGCCAATAACTGCAAGCATTTGTATGGTGGCCCTGAAGGTCAACGGTATAAAAAAGTACAAAAAATTACCCAAATGCAAAAATATAATTAATATTATGAACATTTTCATTTTTATTTTCATACTTTATTTCATTCCGTTGATATTTTAAACATTTAATTCAAACAAGGAAAAATCTCAAACATTATCTAACGAAACACATAATAAAATTAAATAAGAGCTGCAGGCCAACATGCCTTTTTACGGTTTCTTATTTTCAAAAACAGCCCACAAAACAAACAGATAAGACCAAGTTAGTTGACATTTTTTTCACAAACAACAACAAAAACATACCAAGACTTAGATTAACATATTTCCCTGTATTTACTCAACATACTGGCTTTGACACTTTTTTTGAAGATAAAATCTGGTTTCGCTTCTTTAGTTTCTTTGTTCAGATTGTTCCACAAACTACATCCTCTCACTTCCCTCTAAATCCTGGCTTTTTAAATATTTAAAATCCATGAAATGCTGTAACAATCAAAAAGTCTGCAAAAATATTTTAATGAAAGGCACATTTTTTTCAAAAATTTCAAAAATACTGTCTCCACAAAATTTAAAATAATATAAATATATATCATAACTCGTGAAATTAAAAAAAAATTATCGTGAAACTCAAAAGCAATTTACGAAATCAAGAAATAATTCTGAGAACGTGAAAATATACCATTTATTCTTTTGACCTTTTTCATATTTTTGCACAACTATGCTAACTCGCACAGTCGCTGTTGTATGGAGTGAGTCATCTTTCTTATTATAGGATCTTTGTTTAGGGGGCGTGTCCTGAAGGTAGAGGGCGGTAACCACTGCGGTCCTACTACTGTATCCCTCCTCTCGGATACTGTCAGTGTTACTCGCCTCTTAAGGCTTGTTAAATTGTACATTTTAGTTTTTTTGGGCGCAGGTGTTTGTTACCTGGTTCTAACATGGCGGGAGCGGCGGCACCGAAGCGGCAGGACACCCGGAAATTCTTCGAGAACCTGTCCGGAGCTGGAAAATCCATCGCTGTTCTGACCAGCGGAGGAGATGCCCAAGGTAACGTTCTTTTTGCCCTGGTTCCATTATCGGACACATGTACTGTCTCTGTTTTCACCTTTTATTTTCACCACATTTTCCTGCAACATGCTTCCTGAAACGAAATGAAGTCCACTCGAGCTTTTACGAGTCTTTTCACGTCGATTTATCATCTTAAATTACTCACGTACATTTTGTATCTTCCTAAGACAGACATTCATTTATTAAGTGTCACTCGTTTGAAGAAAATATCCAGTTTTAGAAGAATTAACGCAGATGTAAGTTTACTGTTTAAAATCATCATTTTTAATCAGGAAATGAAGGAAATCCCTGTTTAATAATAGATGTGCAGGTTTAAGCTTGTCCGATAATGGACTCACCTGTTACAGATACTCCTGGGGCGCAGATAAAAAAAAGCGATCTCTGCACATAAACGAGGGAAAGTTTGATGTATTCCACTTACCCTACATGATTATTCTTAGTTTAATGCAATCTGTGATGTGATCGGAAGATGATCGGGTTTTTAAATGAATCGAAAATGCCGTTATGCAACAGCTGACGCCCCCTTTCACACTCCTGTTTCACATCTTCACATGGATGCCTCTGTTTCTTCTCATGGAGATAACCTCTAAGCCTCATAACACCACACGTAATAACCTCTTCATCCTGCAGAGGAATATCTCACCGTGCTCTCTGAAGCACTTCTGCATCAACAAGTGGTTTTACTCCCAGAATAATTGAAGTTAATCTCGCTCCACATGAGGCGGTCTGTTCCTGATCATGCATCCTGCAGTGGTGCAGGATACATGATCAGGAATGGGCTGAGTTGCTTGCATAGAGAGCATGGATGGTGTATATTTGTTTTTATGCATGAAACTAAACCTCTATGCGAGCATGCACGCTGCAGCAAAGACGAATTTAATTCAATCACAGACTCAAATGGATCATTACTCCGTCTGTGCTTCCATTATGAGCCCCAGAGAGGATCTGATTAGTAGGGCTGGGATGATACGCTTCACTCCTGATTCGATTTTTCTACAATTTGTTGGGAGGCGGTTTGATTTGAATCGTGATTCTACGATATTGTTGATTTTCTCGATTTTTTTGTCTGCATTTTTAACACCAAACAATGAAACAGTGAATGATTATGATTGTCTACTGACCATTCCAGGAAACATATTTCCCCAAAAACACACATTACATGGAAGTCAGTTTTTAAGATTAAAGGTCCTTACACAACGGGAACGACACAAATATAGAACACGAAATTATGAAATATTAGGAGCCGAATTTTGACGCACCTGACTATACACATCAAGCCCGATGCGATTTTGCGACTTTACGGGGGGGGGGGAGAAAGACGCGTCCCGGGTGGAAGCGAGAAGACTGAGCCAACAGCAGACTGAGTGTTTTTCAGTTCTGATTAGACTCTAGTGTTGAGATGTCGGTCTGTCATGATAACTTTAGCTTACGAGCTAAAGTTACATTAGCACAGATGAAAGTTATTGATGTCCCCATTTCCCACGTTGCGCAACAAAGTCGCCAACAACGTTGACCAAAAACTCCAGTCCAGAGCGGTAGAGAAAGGCTAACCTGTTGTCATGGAGACGGACGCATCCTTCGAATTAATCAAAGCTGCCAGGAGGGTCACGCCTAAGGAGGAAGATATGACTGCAGAAAAAATTACAACCAGAGCGCTGTTGTAATGGAAGATTTTGGCGTTCGAACCGCTCTGTCGCATCTTTTGCCATGGTAACTGTCGCCGAGCATCATGGGAAGGCCAGTGTAGCCTCCATGCACGAATGCTCAAAACAGGCGCACTCAAAATCAATATTTGTGAATAAGATTTATTATTTTGTTTCCTTCTCTATTACATATTCTGTTTGAGCTGAAAATATGAAAACAAACACAATTTTTTTATTTTTTGGTCATACACAAAAACAAATAAACAAAATATTGACTTGTTTTTTTTTAGTTTGTTATTTACTAGATTGAATGGAATAATTGAATGGATGAATAATACATGGACCAAAATGTTAGGCATGTCTTTGTTTGCTTTATATATGAAATGTTTTGAAAGTTTCTGTTTGCAGGCTGATAATTCTCTTTGCACTTATGGAAGAAGCAAATTTAGCTCCAAAAAGTGCATAAAAATATTCTATTTTTGCACCAAATTCGTTATTTTCACGTTCAAAACTCGATTTAAAGTAATTTAAACGACTCTCTCGTCTTTAAAAATACTTGTGCATGACTGTAGATGCGTTCACACACGTGTCCGGCATCACGAAGGATGAGTGGTGAGAGGACCACTGTCAAGCCAGCCAGAGTGGAAACACTGCAGTAATCCAGTCACAGCAAACATCTTATCTTACAGCTTCCTCTGTCGTGCTTTTATTTTGAAGGCGGTCGCTCTGAATTCCTGGTGGGCTCTTAAAGTAATTGACTCATCCTGACCTGGAGGGCTGTGCAGCCTACGTGAGGAGCTGCGAGTATGCAGGGCTGAATTAGTGCGAAGAAAGACGAGGAATTGAACAATAACAGTAAAACACTGTCAAATTTAAAGGTTCAAAATGTTAAAAAAAAGGCAGAATTACATCATATTTAACAATCCAAATGAAAAATGTATATCTTAACTGTCACCATAGAGATGTTCTGCATGTCTTTGTTCCTCAAACACCCTCAGCCCATTTTCTAACCCTCCTGTGTGTCTCCTCTCCATGTTTTTATCGATGTTATTGAGCTCTATAATCTGTACATGCAGGGCAGCAGGTTCATTCACAGCTATTGTGGGCTTACAGGCTGTTATATAACCCTGCTCCTATAGCCCATGATTGGAGCTCTGATTTCTCGCCTGTCAGTCTCTCTGCAGTGAATCTCGGTTCTTGTAAACAGTTTCAGAATCAGTGTTTCTGGTTATGACTCGGGTTGTAACAGGAGATCTTCTTCCCGGCAGCCTCTGAGGTTTAATTGAAGCTGCACGTTGGAGCAGAAATGATGCACGCGGCTGAGTCTGAGTGTTTCCACTGTCCTAGTTTCACTCATTCATAAAAACTGGTGCTGTAGCTCCCTCTCTCTTGACATGGTTTGATCGAAATGAAAAAGAGCTGCAGCTTTTTGACTCGAATCATCAGATCTCTGCGCTTTTGTTTTTAAGCTGGAAACAAAAATGAAACTTACCCCAGACTAAAGGAACTCCTCAGCGATCATTTCCTACTCTGAATTACACAAGAGATAATTACATTTTCTGTGTGCTCATTTAGCTCAAAGGTGGGGTAGGCAGGAACCCTAACCCTAATATCAGTCAATAGTTATTAGTTATTGATGACATTTGGTAATATAACGATATCTCTGTGTTCTCTTATGTCTGTGTCGTCAACATTTTACAAATGTTTAAGCGGTCCACTCCCCACCTCCCGGACCTGATTGGTTGTGAGGCAGACGCTGCACATCCTCCAATAACTAGGGCCCAACTGATATGGATTTTTTGGGGCTGATACAATTATTAGGGGGGGGAAAAAACAGATTACGAATTAATCGGCAGATTTTTTCAATTTGTTATTAAGTTATAAAAAATACATATATACTGTAGATATACTGTAGGTTGTGGTCTTCATGCCGACAGGAAGACCGACTGATCAAACTCGGACCAGAAAAACGTTTTCAATTGTTTATTCTACCGTTACTGCTGCCTGCTTCAGATCCGTCACTCTGCTGTGCTGTGAGGTAGTTAGTGGATGAAGATTGTCATGAGGTCGCTGCGCCATCTACAGGATAAGTCGGGGAATCTTTTCAAATTGCAAAACATTAAAATGGAAACCGAATCTTATTCACCGCGTTTTATTTCTGAAAATATCGGTTTTGGCCAATTAGTCTCAAACAGGCTAAAATTGGCCGATTAATCAGTAGGGCCCTACTAATAACGTTTACAAGCCCAAACAAAGTTAGCGTGCTACAATACTAGACAGTAGAAATCAACAAGAAAGTTTGGAAAACACAAGCAAGAAAACAAAGTAAATACCGGAGACTCTGGCAGAAAAACGGGCGCTTAAAACGGAGGTAGAGCGGACAAGAGCTAAAAAGCCGAGTCAACATAAACGATGGGGGACGCTTGGGGATCTTGGTGACCCTGTAACCTTTCTGCTGGACAGGTAAACCGCTTTAACAAAGTAAGACAAGTGTCTGTAACAGAAGTGTTTCTTGTCAAACGGACCTGCTGTAGCGTGTTGTAGCGCCATCGCTAAACTGTCCTCCCTCGGGTCCTGGACTATGTCACTTTATCCTCGTTGTAGAAGTCCTGCAAACATTGTGTTTGCTGGTAGTCTGTTGGCATCTACAGTAGCACCAATGCTTTTGACTTTCACCTTGACTGGGCCCCATTTGTAATGATCTGAAGTATTTATCTGCATTATATCTGAATTTAATTGGAACGATGCGAGCGAGCAGGAGCGTCTGTTTGTGGGCGGGGCTTGAGGGGAGAGGAGGAGCTGAGGGGAAAACTGGTTGGAGGGGTAGAGTTTACATTCAAGATTTCTCCTAAAAACTGGAACTAACTCAGATCCTGACTACACCACCTTTAAAACATGACTTTTGGCTCTGTCTCAAGACTCTGGATCGTCACATGCTAATAAACAAAAATTAAACTTTAAAGCGACAGGTGTTGTGTTGAATTGTTTCATCCCTCTCCCCCTGCGTCCCTACGAGAACAGAAATGAACACAACAGACACCAGATGCCTCTCACAGTCAGCTGCACCCTCTGCCAGTTTTCCTCCCACACCACACGCCGCTTACAAGCCGTCCCATTGACCGAGCCTTATCTGAAAAATGTGGAGGGGGTGAGACCACTTCAGGATCACAATGTCGGACTCTCCAAACAGCATTGTTCAGAAAAAAAGATCACTCATATCACTGATGGGGAGACACAAAGTACGGGTCACATGCTGGGTCAAAGCACGAAGGAGGATTTCCTTAATGGAGGAAACTCGGAGTGAAAGCCTGGATGTGGTTTCAGACTAACGAAAGCTGATGGGATGAGCTAATGTTGCTAGGAGACCAGGACACTGCTGTTCGTGGAAATACACATGATACTGTGCACAAAGAATAACTACAGCAGGGTGTAAGGTCGTACATATTGAGAGGAAGATATTATCCTGCTCTCACTAAATAACTGTATCTGACCCAGATAGATAATGACGTTGAACACGCAAGATTATGAACGTGATCTTCTGAACCTGCAAGACAATTATCTTGTGAATGCAAGAAAGTTTTAACTTTTTATAACATGATGAATTCATGGTGCAAACAAGATTATAAATCACCATACACTATATTATCTTGCGCACACAAGATTTATAGAGAAAAGCTTGCTCCCACTTGTTGATCTTTTGTTCATGCAAAATAAAAATTTGGGGTGCAGGAGATAACCGATTATTTTGTGCAGTAAACAAAGTTTATACCAACAAGATCATGGTATTATTCCAATGAGATAATACAACACAACATTATTGTGTTGTATTGTATTACAAAACATTAATGTACAGTATTCTACCGTCACCATCATAAGAAGCTCTCTCTGCTCTATATTCAGACTGTGGGCTCTCACTAAAATCAAAGTGTCGATCAGAGACTGAGAGTCTGAGATTTATTGTTTCTAATTTTACTAAGTGCTCCTGCAGACGTCCTCAAGGGCGTTTTGTCGTCTCTGTATCTGTGTTTGTGTCTTTTTATATTTTTAACATCATTAACTCTCCTGGTGTTTGACCGTCTGTCTCGACACCGTCTACAGCCTCATGTTTACGTTTCTATTTCTCCCTTTTTTTTGTTTGTTTTTGTTGAAACAGCAAATTCAATGTACAGAAAATAGATGTTGTGTCTGTATTTGCCAAACTAAGCCTGACAGTATTTTGAATATTTTCTAAAATCTCTGTCTTCTTCATCTTTTTCCAGGTATGAATGGTGCGGTCCGCGCCGTGGTGCGGATGGGGATCTACGTTGGAGCGAAGGTTTACTTCATCCATGAGGTGAGGCATGACTGAGGCTCCAGACTTAGCCTCCGGATAGTCTGCAGTGTCCTCGACATTTGACACAGAGCCAAATCAGTCCAGACAATTTCGACCTGTTTCCTGGAGGCTAGACGTCTTATCTTCTGACCTTACAAGGAAACAACATCTCACCCTGAAATTCAATTAACTCCCCACTAGATACGATTATATTTATGAAAAACTGGAAACAAGGTGAATATTAGATTTATTTGTTGATATGTTCTTGTTATGAAGGGTGGTTTGAAGAGAATCAAAGTCAGTATAAACTTACTGTCTTGGGGTTCAGGTAGGAGGGTTGTTTACACACAGATAACATTAATACTTAAAATACACTGCTTTGTAAACTTTAATCTGACTAAAATTGCTTAAACCTTTATGAGTTTTAATATTTTCTGTACTAGATTACGCATCAATTGATCCTGAAATATATATTTGTCTTGATTTATGCAACATAACTATCACGTAGCTAGCTCTGGATATATTTTTATTCAAATTTGTTATTTTCAACAGGTTTCCTTTTGTTTTTACTTCCTCATGGTAGTGTATCTTGTTATAGCATATCATATCAAACCAGGCATGTATTGTACCCGATCATATCAATTGTATCGTAATGCAACACAAGACATTACATTACATCACATCATATTGTCATGTATCGCACCATATCACATCGCTCCGTATCGTATCGCACTGTATCGCATCGCATTGTATCGCATTATATCGCATTATATTGCATTATATCACATTGTATCATATCATAACTTATCATAACATATTGTTTAAAAGTCACATTCCGAGTTGTATCGTATTTTTCGCATTATAATATTGCATTTTGTGTGTTATCCCAAGATATTATCTAACTTTGCAGTCATTTAATTGTATTGTATCTTATTGTTGTTATATTATATCGTGCTGCTTCGTACGGTATCAAACCTTACACAGTTGTGTTGTGTTGGGTATTTTTATGTATGTAACTGTATCATTAGTGTGTATCCTAGTGTATCTGAAGTTATGCTGCATTACCTAACCCCAGTTTAGACACTTTAGATATTTGCTCTTACAAATTTCGTTGTACCTTATGTATTACACCTTAATTTAATTTACATGGACTAATGAGTCGAGAGGATGTTGTTTGCTTTGATTCTTTAACTCAAGTTTTTTGGACCCTGTCTAGATCGGGGTCTTCTTTCCCATTGGTCTAAGTAATGTTAGAATTTAAATAATGCATAGTTAAGCTATCAAATTACGACCTGAAACACTCTGACGGTTTTCTGCCTGGATTCAGTGCAGCACAGAATAATCAAACCTTCTGATTTGAATCAGAAATTAAAAAAAAAATCCCTATTTTATTAAACCCTGAAGTTATTTAGCTGAGTCGACCGAGTAAAGACGTGCGGTTTTAACTGGCTTGGCGCCATTGAGGACGGTGAGTCAGGCAGGTAGAGACGATCTGGTTTCAGTGTGGGTATAATTGGATTACCATGGGCAGGCCTCATCCCTCACTGACTACACTGTTATCTCCATCAGCCCCAGATAACCCCAGAGCTGTAAGTAATGACAGCTCAGGTCCATGACACTTTTATTTTAGGAACCCTAAAAGTACAAATACAAACACTCGACAAACTGCCTCATCCACTGAAGATTAACTCGCCGAAAATTAATTTTGTGAAGCGTTGATAAAAGGTTTGACACTTTTTGTTTCCAGTTTTTCAGGGTAGTTTGGTGTTGAACTGTATCTTCTGAATCATATTAAATCGTAACTTATCAAATTCAAAGACATAATATAATACATTTCAAAAATGTGTCCCATCATATATCTATCGTAACTTTTCAATTCTTTCATATGGTTTCTTATAACTTAACAGTTCTTTTAAAATTGTATTTTTTCTTTTCAAACTGGATAGAACCAGACTACTTATTGTACAATATCTTTATAATTTTTTATATTAAAAAAGAAATTCCTTCATGTTATACAGTATGTTTTATTTTACCATATCTCTTTAAATTTGTTCTATTCTAACAAATTGTAACTTTTAAAAACTGAGTTATGTTGTGTTGTAATTTTTAAAAATGTATCTTATTTGTATCTTATCTTTTTAGAGTCTGTTGTGTCTGTTTTTTACTGTTTTCTGCTGTATCTCTTCAAAATTAATCATATTGTAATATCTGGTATTATGCTGTTTGATTTTCCTCGGAAGTCATATGTCGGAGCTGAAAATGACGTCGGAAAAACTTGCGGAAAAATGAAAAATCGAAGGCGGAAACAAGATGGCTACATCTTCTTAAGTTATTTAAGCACTTGCCTCGTCCGAATATAAGGCAAGCACTAAAACAACTTTCGTAGATGTAGCCATCTTGCTTCCGTCTTTGATTTTTCTTTTTTCCGACTTGGTATCTGAAACGCTTGGAACTCAGGTGTGACGTCATTTTTGGCTCCGACATCGGACTTCCGAGATAACTCGAATCGCTTGAATTTGACCGATTCCGATTCCAATTCCAATTCCTCGTTTTAAATCTGAATCCTAACGATTCTCTATTATGATTCTTTTAAAAGGCAGGATAAAAAAAATGCATGTTTTAAATGAGGGCGCTAACCAAAGTTCCTCTTTTTAGATGATATGTCTGAAAATTCTCTATTCATTTTTACATTAAATAAACTTCTTATAATTTTCCTATGAATCTCTTACAGGGATACTTACAACCAGTATATAAATATCAATCTTTGTTGTCCGTTCATTTGTCAATGAAAAAGTTAAACTGATGTTTAGTTAGTTTTGTGCATGAAGATCAGCTGAGCATTAATCCTGTTCGTCTCCTCTCAGGGGTATCAGGGGATGGTGGACGGTGGAGACAACATCAAGGAGGCGACGTGGGAGAGTGTGTCCAGCATGCTTCAAGTGGTGAGTGGAGCTTAATGCCGCTGTTTCAGGTCACACACTCCAGATAAAAGAGCTTAAAACTGCCGGTAACGCCAGTGAAAACTCAAATAAAGCTCAGATTTGAGTGTCTCAGCTCTATAGAAGTGTGTTTGACACAGGAAGAGGGGTATTCATGCTCAGGTCAACATGGCCGATCTCTGCTGTGTCAGTGGACGAGTGTGATGATCATTGGAAGTGACTCAGCAGCAAAGCCAAATTAGTGTGTGATTGAATTAGACCTGGTTTGTCATTGTGGGACTGTCATTGTCCAAATTGGATTACTCTCAGTGCCACATTTAAAAAAGACTTAACTCCTATAGGAGCTGAAGTATCAAAACCAGACATATATGCAGCATGTTCTCAGTAATAATAATCAGTGACCTGGAGGCATCATGACGGCTTCTGGACCACCAGATCAACTTTTCACACAACAAAACTTACTGCAAAGTGATTCACATGAACAGAAAAACCATCGAGATGAAACAAATCCTGATTCATGGGCAAGGTTATGACAAGTGAACAAAACAAACAACAAACAGATACACAAATCAAAAATATGATAACTGCCGTAATGCTATCATGAGTTCATAATGAGGAAACACTAGAGGTGTGATTAAAATGTTGAAACACAAAATAGCTAAGAATACAAATAGATTTATTAATAAACAAATGGAAAATTGATAAATAAATAAACTATACAATTACCATGTAGAGCTGTGTGTCATCTGCAAAGCTATGGAAGTTGATGCTGTTCCTTCTGAGGGGTGACATATAAAAGTCAAAAAGTGAAGGACCTAGAATTGAACCCTGAGGAACGCCACAATTTACATCATAATGCCTATGGTATTTAAATAGAGTTTGACAGAAGGGACTTTTTATCCATGTTTGACCTTAGATCATTTACTGTGATTTGTCCTTAAACCAGATTGGCAGTTTTCACAGATGTACCTCAGCAATACGTTTTAAATTCTTATTGATACTCAAGATAACAAGAATATGAATGAAAGAAGGCAATACATAGAATTCTGAATAAATGAATACATAGAAATATACTATGTAGAGCTGTGTGTCATCTGCAAAGCTATAAAAGTTGATGCTGTGCCTCCTGAGAGGTAACATATAAAATGAAAAAGTGAAGGACCTAGAATTAAACCCTGAGGAACGCCGCAATTTACATTAAAACTTGACTTTCTGTCTTTATTGTTTTGTGTATCATATGCTTAAAAGAAAGTGCTCCCACAACATAATTTTTGGACCAATATTTGGTTCAATTAAATCATTTTCTTATCTGCAGCAGACAGACTCATAACTGCCTTAAAATTAAACATTGTAAAATAAATTATTAGCATGAATTCTCCCTTATTTTACAATAAAAACAGAAAAAAGATAAACACTTTCTGACTGAGTAATTCCTGCATGAGAGGAATAGGAGGATACTTTTGTTTTTGAGGGTGTGCTGTGTGTTTCCTCAGGGCGGCACGGTCATCGGCAGCGCTCGCTGTAAAGAGTTTCGTTCCCACGAGGGTCGTGGATGGTTTAATGGCCATGCATGCAAACACAATGGGCCTCATTCTCCAATAGTTATTACTTGTGAGAAATTTTCTGTTTGCGTTGATTTTGGTGCCAACCTGTTCAGAATTATACCGCTCATCTTTAGTCCTCTACAAGAGTCATATTTTCACACAAAAACCTCATTCAATCATAGGAAAACAGATCACTTATTAGGAATAGTGTCTTCTTTATAAAGAGACGGAAAGCTGTGTTTGTTTCAGTTTGGGTTTTTGTTAATCTGTCATCATCTGCAGGGCTGATCGATGAGGCGGCAGCTGAGAGCAACTCTGAGCTACACATCGTCGGCATGGTGGGCTCCATTGACAATGACTTCTGCGGAACAGACATGACCATCGGCACCGACTCAGCTCTGCACAGGATCATCGAGGTGGTGGATGCCATCATGACCACGGCTCAGAGGTAAACCTACCCTTAAAGAAAAGGCATGGACGAAGTCTTTGGTTTTACAAATTTGCAAAAATACATTTAAATAAATCTTTCACATTCAAAAGAAAAAAGTTTATCTTCATGTAAATAACAAACATCTTTCTTCTACCCATTTACCGTGAGTCTATTCTGTTTCATGTCATTTTAAGAGATAAATCCTTTCACTGCTTAGAGCTTTTATAGTTTCTGATGTTATGTCCTGTTTTTCAGCCACCAGAGGACGTTTGTGCTGGAGGTGATGGGCCGACACTGCGGGTGAGGACTCGGCATGAACATCACATATACAATATTTTATAATGAGTAGTAAATAATAATGTGGATGGTTTAATGGCCATGCATGCAAACACAATGGGCCTCATTCTCCAATAGTTATTACTTGTGAGAAATTTTCTGTTTGCGTTGATTTTGGCGCCCCCTGTCTGAATTATACCACTCATCTTTAGTCCTCTACACGAGTCATATTTTCACAGAAAAATCTCATTCAATCATAGGAAAACAGATCACTTATTAGGAATAGTTTTCTGATGAAATAAAAATCCTTAAAATATTTATTTCAAACCAGTAGTCTGTTAATGATCAAAACGGTGATATTATACTTTACTATGACTATACTATATTATTTTTTACAAACTATACTATGACCTTTTTAATCATACTATACCATGACTTTATTTATCATACTATACTGTGACATTTTTATCATACAATGCTATGACATTTTTTTATCATACCATACTGTGACAAATTTTATCATACTATACTATGACATTTTTATCATCATTCTATACTATGACATTTTTATCATACTTTAATGTAAAGTTTTTATCATACTATACCATGACTTTTTTTTACAAACTTAACTATGTTTATTTTCATACAAAAATTTGAACTTTTTAACATTTTATGCTTTGACATTTTTTGTCATACTATACTATGACACTTTTTATCATACTATACATGACATTTTTTACAAACTTAACTTTGAAAAAATATATTATACTTTACTATGACTATACTATATTATTTTTTTACAAACTATACTATGACCTTTTTAATCATACTATACTATGACTTTATTTATCATACTATACTGTGACATTTTTATCATACAATGCTATGACATTTTTTTATCATACCATACTGTGACAAATTTTATCATACTATACTATGACATTTTTATCATCATTCTATACTATGACATTTTTATCATACTTTAATGTAAAGTTTTTATCATACTATACCATGACTTTTTTTTACAAACTTAACTATGAAAAAATTTATTATTCCTTTCTATGACATTTTTTCAACATATTATACTTTGACATTTTTTGTCATACTATACTATGACACTTTTATCATACAATACTATGACCTTTTTAATCATACTTAACTAGGATTATTTATCATTCTCTTTAAAACTTTGTTATATCATCGTATACTCTGACATTTTTATCATATTATACTTTTAAATTTTTTATCATACTATACTATGACATTTTTCATCAAACCATAGTATAACCTTTTTAATCATACTACACTGACTTTTTTTATCATTCTATAGTATGTCATTTTTATCTACTATACTGTTAAATTTTTCATCATACCATACAATGACCTTTTTAATCATACTATACTATGACTTTTTAAATCATACTATAAAGTGACATTTTTATCATACTCTACTATGAAATTTTGTTTATCATTCTATACGGACATTTTTATCATACTTTAATGTGAAATTTTTATCATACTATACCATGACATTTTTTTACAAACTTAACTATAAAAAAAATTATTTTACTTTACTGTGACATTTTTTCAACATATTATACTCTGACATTTTTTGTCATGCTATCCTATGACATTTTATCATACTTAACTATGATATTCCTTATACTATAGTGACAATTTTTTTTGTCATACTATAGTATGACATTTTTTAACATACTATAAATACTATGACAATTTAATCATACTTTACTATGCCATTTATATCATACTATACTGTGACATTTTTATTATACTATACTCTTAAAATTTTATCATATTATACTTACATGTTTGCATCCCAATTGACTATGATTTTATCACACTATTTAATGACATTATTGTTTTATTCTTCACTATGACTTTTTTATCATACTTTACTTGACATTTTAATCACACTATACTTTGATAACATTTTTTTAAATAATCTTGTCTTCCAATTGCAATCAATAAAGAATCATGAGTCAACCAGTTTCATTTGTTATTTTATTGAGCGGATGAAGTGACAGAGATTGAATTTACAGTCTGAGTTACCAAAACTCACTGAGGCAGTTTTAGTGAGCACACACATATATCATCATAAGAGACAACTTCCTGTTTCCACTTTTGGCAAATCAGAAGAGGGGAGAGCGAAATGTCTGCAAGCAGCATGAAAACTTGGAAAAGAGAATGTGCAGATTAACAAGATGTGCAGCTGTACACAGGTAAAAACAGGCAGAAAGGCAAGAGCAAACATTGTCAAACATGACATTTTTTGTCATACTCTACTATGACATATTTTCATCATACTATACTATGACGTTTTTTAACATACTATACTATGACATTTTTTATCACACTATACTATGACATTTTTATCATACTTAACCATGACTTTTTCATCGTCCCACACAATGACATTTTAAATCATACTATACTTTGACTATTTTTATCATACTATACTATGACACTTTTTAACATGCTATACTATGACATTTTTTCATCATACAATACAATGACATTTTTCATCATACTATTCTATGACAGGTTTTAACATACTATACTATGACACTTTTTAACATGCTATACTATGACATTTTTTCATCATACAATAAAATGACAGTTTTCATCATACTATACTGTGACATTTTTATCATACTATACTATGACATATTTTCATCATACTATACTTTGACTATTTTTATCATACTATACTATGACATTTTTATCATACTTAACCATGACCTTTTTATCATCCCACACAATGAAATTTTAAATCATACTATACTTTGACTATTTTTATCATATTATACTATGACATTTTTAATCATACTATACAATGACACTTTTTAACATGCTATACTATGACATTTTTTCATCATACAATACAATGACATTTTTCATCATACCATTCTATGACACGTTTTAACATACTAGACTATGACATTTGTGATCATACTTTACTATGATATGTTTATTATACTATACAATGACATTTTCAATCATACTATACTATGACACTTTTTTACATACTATACTATGACATTTTTCATCATACTATACTATGACACTTTTAACATGCTATACTATGACATTTATTCATCATACAATAAAATGACATTTTTCATCATACTATACTATGACATTTTTATCATACTATACTATGACATATTTTCATCATACTATACTATGATGTTTTTTAACATACTATACTATGACATTTTTATCATACTTAACTATGACTTTTTTATCATCCCACACAATGACATTTTAAATCAAACTATACTTTGACTATTTTTATCATACTATACTATGACTTTTTTATCACACTTTACTTTGACATTTTTATCATACTAAACTATGACTTTTTTATCATCCCACACAATGACATTTTAAATCAAACTATACTTTGACTATTTTTATCATACTATACTATGACATTTTTAATCACACTATACTATGACACTTTCTAACATACTTTACTATTACATTTTTTTTATCATTCTATACAATGACATTTTTCATCACACTATACCATGGCACTTTTAAACACCCTATACTGTCACATCTTGAATAATACTTTTCTATGATATCTTTATCATACTATACATAGACATTTTCATATTTACTATACAATGAAATTTTTTATCATACTATACTATAACATTTTTTATCAAACTATACTATTACATTTTTTATCATACTATACTATGACATTTTTCATCAAACTATCCTACAACATTTTTTGACATACTATACTATGACATTTTTCATCATACTGTACTATGACATCTTTTAACATACTATGCTGTGACACATGATCATAACTTTACTATGGTATCTTTATCATACTATACAATGACATTTTCAATCATACTTTAGTATGACATTTTTTATTATACTATACTATGATGTTTTTATCATACTATACTATGACACTTAACATACTATACTAAGACATTTTTATCATACTTCACAGGTCTTTTTTATCATACCATACAATGACATTTTTTATCATACTATACTATGACACTTTTTAACATGCTATACTATGACATTTTTTCATCATACTATACAATGACATTTTTCATCATACTATACTATGACGCTATTTAACATACTATACTATGATATTTTTGTCATACTTTACAGGTCTTTTTTATTATACCACACAATGACATTTTGAATCATACTATACTTTGACTATTTTTATCATATTATACTATGACATTTTTAATCATACTATACTATGACACTTTTTAACATGCTATACTATGACATTTTTTCATCATACAAAACAATGACATTTTTCATCATACTATTCTGTGACACGTTTTAACATACTAGACTATGACATTTGTGATCATACTTTACTATGATATCTTTATTATACTATACAATGACATTTTCAATCATACTATACTATGACACTTTTTAACATACCATACTATGTCATTTTTGATCATACTTTACTATGACTTTTTTATATAAAGTAGTTTTAACATACAATACTACAATATTTATTATACTATACTATGATTTTTTTTTGTCAAACTTGATTTTTTTTAACATACTATAGCCTGATATTTTTTCACACGGTAATTTTTTTTAATCAGATAACATAAATATTTCTTAACATACTTTGACCTTTTTTTCATACTATAATATGATATTTTTATCATACTATACTATGACATTTTTAAAATTACTTAAGATTACTAATTCTTTTCCTATTTTTTTCCCACCTATCAACTCCAAGTGGTCTGAAACATACTCCCCAATCGGTTCTGGACAATGATTCTAACCCTACGCCCTGAACCAGGCCCTCACCCTAACCATAGACACTTAAAAAATCTGTGTTCGATTTTGCTATAGAGGGTAGCATCTCCCTTTCACTTGAATAGGGATTTTTCAAATTGTCCATAACTTTTAAACGCAACATCATAGAGACTTTATTCCAGTACCAGTGAACTCGGGGTACATGAAATAGGAAAGTATGGTCCTTGACCCAGACACTTAGTACCCAATAGTGGAGAGAAATAGTGGAATGATTTCAAACAGATGTTAATAATCAGGTGTGTGTTCACGTGCAGGTACCTGGCTTTGGTCAGCGCTCTGGCGTGTGGAGCTGACTGGGTTTTTATTCCAGAAATGCCTCCTGAGGACGGCTGGGAGGACAACATGTGTCAGAAACTGTCTGAGGTAACACACACACACACACACACACACACACACACACACACGCACACACGCACACACACACACACACACACACATAAACTTTCACAACTGCTAAGTATTTTACAATTTTTATTTGAAATATTTGCAGATTACGTACAAAAATAACAATACACCCTGCATACAAAAGCCAACTTGTTATTATAAGTAACAAAAAAGTTCCTTTTTAAGCTTTTAAAGTGACTTTTAAGACTTTATTTATCGAGTGTCTGTGTCCTTGTAAGCAGGACTTTACTGGGAGGTATTTCAAGTGTTTGAGTAGAAGTTTAACACATTATACCCCCTCACTTCAGAGCCTGCTGTGAATCTAAAAATAGTAGGAGGCACATAAACAGCTGACTTACTTAAGTTGTGTGCCATTAAACAGGCAGCTGCAGAGCTTCATAATGCATCAAACAGAAAACGAAAGTCATTAAGAGTCATGTCTGTGATGTAATCAGATCAGCTGATCTCTTATTTTGAAAGTGAAAGTGTTTACAAACATGAATGAGAAAGTAAACACTGTAAAACAACGACTCTGGTGGGACTCGAACCCACAACCTTTGAATCACTTCTCAAGTGCTTGACTAGAAGTCCAATGCGCTATCCATTGCGCCACAGAGCCCCTTGTGCCATGGGAGACTGAGGGAGCATTAAAAGTTTCCAGTTACAGAGAGAACACATGGTGAGAGCAAGAGTTAATGTTGAGTCTAACTTTGTTAAACACTGTCTAAAAGAACTAAGTGCTTAAGTGCCGCTCAGGGAAATATCAGAAAAAATTAAAGTTTACACATAGTGTTACAAAAGCTACAGATGTACAAATACTTATTTCTAACAGTAAAATAAATAAAAGAGCCTAAATTAAGAAACCTGAATATTTAGGTTAAGTTATCAGAGATGAAGGTAAATGAAGAAATAGACAGTCAGAGTTAAGGAATATAAAGTCAAAAGTTTGACATGAAGACAAGTAAGTCATAGTTCTAAGATATAAAGAATGAAAATATTTATTTTTAATATATAATAATTGTTTTGTAATTTAAAGATCAATATTGTGACAAAGTAGGTCATGATCACAAGATACCAAGTCACAACTATGTTATAAAAGTCATAATTTTGAGGTAAAAAAAAACAGCAAATCAATTGGATAAAAAAATTACATTATGTGAAAAAGTAACAGGATATATGAGTATGTGTATGAGCTATATATTATCTTATCTTAAATCTACTGGAAAGCAAATCATAACTTTTAAATAAAAGTTGATTTTTTAAAACTTTTGTCATGATTTTAATTATTTTTAATCTCATTTTTGTAACTTTTGTCACATAATTTGTTTTATTCTCTCATTACTGTGATTTATTTTTAATCTCTGATGACTTTTAATCTCATTTTGACAGCTATTACTATTTTCTCTTCCCGAAGACAAAGTCACCTGAAAGAGAAGAGGTTTTCTGTGGAACTTTTTTTTGTAACTAAAGAGCTGTGTGAAAAATAACACCCCTGTGTCTAACCTTCTGTTGGTGAAAAGCAGCTAAATCGAAGCAGAGGCTGAAAGGCTCTAAAGTGAAGGGTTTGATAGACATCAGTACGATACTTGGAAAAAAACTTTTGAGCTGTAAATCACCCAAAGCTTTTCTACCATTGTCCCAGTCACCACAACAATCTACACGCACCCAAAGGTGTAAACGCCTTCATGATTAAAGGTTGTTGGCTCCTGTGAACAACTCCCATCTGACTCCCAAACTTTTTAGCATACTGACGACTCTCAGAGACTTGACCATCTAATTTCTTCACCAGGGAGGAAACTTTTTGGTTTCAAGGCAAAATATGTTCAAGGACTATAAAGTAGTTTAAATTTACTAGAATAGATAAAGAATTTCACATCTCAAAAATGTCTTCAGGAACTTGAAGCACGTACAGGCGCCTGTATTTAAAGGGATATTCCAGTGTAAAGTTAATTTAGGGTCAAACACACTATAATACAGAGTTAGACACCCCTTGAAAAATGAAGGTTGACGACCGCTTGCTTCTCTAGTTATACCAACTTTAGTAACAACCGCACAGAAGCAATACATAGCAGTCTGGTGAGCCTTAAACAAACCTTGCAGTTCGATGAAGAACTGTTCATATTGTCTGCAACATTTCTGTCTCAAGGGGGTTTCTAACGCGGTGTTACAGTGTGTTTGAACCTAAATTAATTTTATGCTGGAATATCCCTTTACGGGGCAGTTTTCAGTGCAGTTCAAAGCTTTTCTTCTTTGAACAAACATCGACTCTGGTGGGACTCGAACCCACAACCTTTGAATCACTCCTCAAGTGCTTGACTAGAAGTCCAATGCGCTATCCGTTGCGCCACAGAGCCCCTTGACCCAACCGTAGCCCCCTTTAGGTGACGAAACCTCAGGAATAGGCTATTTAGCATTTTCCATGGACCCAGGGGATATAATATCTAGAGGTTTAGAAGTCCATCAAAAATGGTCTCAAAAGCCATGACTAGACAAGTAGTTAGCAGACAATGGACCCATTGAGTTCTGCCTGAAGCATATGCCATCGTATATCAACAAGTCAAGTCAAAGGTCTAACCATTAGTAAACATGTGTAAGACCTCAAGCCCCTCAGTAAAGAAACATCGACTCTGGTGGGACTCGAACCCACAACCTTTGAATCACTCCTCAAGTGCTTGACTAGAAGTCCAATGCGCTATCCATTGCGCCACAGCGCCACTTGACAACGCACCTCCCTCCAGGTGAGGCAGCCTCAGGAATAGGCTATTTAGCATTTCCCATGGACAATGGGGATATAACATCTAGAGGTTTACACATAAAAGTCTCTCAAGTCCATCAAAAATGGTCTCAAAAGCCATGAATAGGCAAGTAGTTAGCAGAGAATGAACCCATTGAGTTCTGCCTCAAGCATATGCCATCGTATATCAACTCAAGTCAAAGGTCTAACCATTAGTAAACATATGTAAGTGGCTGATTAGACCTCAAGCCCCTCAGTAAAGAAACATCGACTCTGGTGGGTCTCGAACCCACAACCTTTGAATCACTCCTCAAGTGCTTGACTAGAAGTCCAATGCGCTATCCATTGCGCCACAGAGCCACTTGACAATGCACCTCCCTCCAGGTGAGGCAGCCTCAGGAATAGGCTATTTAGCATTTCCCATGGACAATGGGGATATAACATCTAGAGAGTTACACATAAAAGTCTCTCAAGTCCATCAAAAATGGTCTTGAAAGCCATGAGTAGACAAGTAGTTAGCAGACAATGGACCCATTGAGTTCTGCCTCAAGCATATGCCATCGTATATCAACAAGTCAAGTCAAAGGTCTAACCATTAGTAAACATGTGTAAGACCTCAAGCCCCTCAGTAAACAAACGTCGACTCTGGTGGGACTCGAACCCACAACCTTTGAATCACTCCTCAAGTGCTTGACTAGAAGTCCAATGCGCTATCCATTGCGCCACAGAGCCCCACATTGGAGTTGAGGGGCTAAAACCAGGAGAGCAAGAGCGTGAATTTATCCCAAGTTCAAGATTTTCAATACAAGAAAATTCCAGTTTTATTCCTTATTGTTTTCTTGATAAAATAATGACACTGTTGGGACTCAAACCTGTAACCTTCTGGAGCCAAAAACATTCACCATATTTCAGGTATTCTCGACTGACTAACATTTACAGATGATTTGATGTTCTGAGTGTATTTGTCACCGTCCAGAGCCGGTCTCGAGGTTCCAGGTTGAACATTATCATAGTCGCTGAAGGAGCCATTGACAGACAAGGACAACCAATAACCTCTGGTTTTGTAAAGGATGTGAGTAAAGCTCAGTTTAACACTGAAGCAGAGGGGGAACCAGGAGCTGGACCAGCTTGTGGAAATCCATTTAGGTATAATACGGGACACGCAGAAAAAAACAGCAAACCCACAGTCAGGAAGGTCTGAGTGACGAGGGTTTCTGCAGGATTATCCACGTGTACTGGTTCCAGCTTTTGGATGCAAACCATTTTCTGTCGTGTGTTTAAATGCTTGTGCTTCTGTATATCCCTCCCTCTGTAGAACCGAGCCGATAAGAAAAGGCTGAACATTATTATTGTAGCCGAAGGCGCCATAGACTCCCACAACAAGGCAATAACTCCTGATTATATCAAGGAAGTAAGTATGAGACTCTGGGCTCAACTCATGGATCCACGAGTCCTCCTCTGAAGCATGTTTCCATTTCACCTCACGGTCCTCAGTCTTGGGAGCGCACATGGTGAAGTTTTTGCTTTTTTTCCCCTCCATTTTTTTTTGTATTTATCTACTCCTATATGTTTTTTTATCCTCTCTGTCCTTTTGTGTCCTTATTTTTGCTTCACCCCTGCATGCACTTCATGAGGCACTCGTCACATGACAGGAAATGTTTTGCATGTTTTCTCCCTCTGTTTTATTTTCCATGCTTTGACCTGCATTCATCTTCTTTGAATTAAAATGTCATAACTGTTTAGTTTTGTTAGCTCTGTGAAACCCTTTAAAAGGAACCCCAACTGTGAGGACTAATGGGCATAAATATGCTTTTTAAAAAAGTATGAAGAATCATTATTTAAAAAAAATCGGGCCCAGACATTTTTTTTTTAAATAGCGCAATGCACTCTGGGTTGATGACGTCAGTTGGTTGTGTTGTGCCAAGACACTGGTGCTAGCTTTTGCTCCAGGAGCGAGATTACTACAATAATGCTGCTTTTGTAAACAAACATCGACTCTGGTGGGACTCGAACCCACAACCTTTGAATCACTCCTCAAGTGCTTGACTAGAAGTCCAATGCGCTATCCATTGCGCCACAGAGCCCCATGACCCAACAGCACCTCCCTCCAGGTGAGGCAACCTCAGGAATAGGCTATTTAGCATTTCCCATAACATCTAGAGAGTTACACATGAAAGTTTCTCAAGTCCGTCAAAAATGGTCTCGAAAGCCATGACTAGACAAGTAGTTTGCAGACAATGAACCCATTGAGTTCTGCCTCAAGCATAAGCCATCATATATCAACAAGTCAAGTCAAAGGTCTAACCATTAGTAAACATGTAAGTGGCTGATTAGACCTCAAGCCCCTCAGTAAACAAACGTCGACTCTGGTGGGACTCGAACCCACAACCTTTGAATCACTCCTCAAGTGCTTGACTAGAAGTCCAATGCGCTATCCATTGCGCCACAGAGCCCCACATTGGGATTGAGGATATGTTGTGAGATTTGTTTTTGCCAAAAGGTAGAACGTAGATCTACAGGGTTATTCTCAAATGTTATCACCAATCTGCAACAAACGCCACATAATTGAATGGCGAGTGAAATTTGAGGGGCTAAAACTAGGAGAGCAAGAGCGCAAATGTCCTTCTGAAGGACCCGCAGCTTCTCTTCAGATGCATTTAATGCATTTAGCCGAACTAAGCTGAGCTCACAGGTGCTACTGGTTACAAATCAAGACTAAAGCCAAACAGACAAACACAAACAGACAAAAAGCCCTCGAACCCAAGACAACCTTTGAATCACTCCTCAAGTGCTTGACTAGAAGTCCAATGCGCTATCCATTGCGCCACAGAGCCCCACATTGGGGTTGAGGAGATGTTGTGAGCTTTTTTTTTTTTTTTTGCCAAAAGGTAGAACGTGTAGATCTACAGGGTTATTCTCAAATGTTAACATCAATCTGCAACAAACGCCACATAATTGAATGGCGAGTGAAATCTGAGGGGCTAAAACTAGGAGAGGAAGAGCGCAAATGTCCTTCTGAAGGACCCGCAGCTATGTTCTCACTCTCCCTGTCAGTTGGCATGGTGACGCAGTTGCTGCATGCTCACCGGCGACTATGGTCGACTGTTTCCTTTTCGCATCTTCGTTTGTCTTTATTTTAAAGCTCATTTTGACACGTATTTGCGGTGATATCCTCCTCGCTTATGTCTCTCTCGGGTTCAAATCGGAAAGGTTGTTTTGCACCGTTGAGTAAAAAATTTATGGGGCAGAGTCCGGCGCAACCACGTGACAACACAACCCTGATAGCATTGCGAGACAAAAGACAATGGCGGGCTAAGAGTGAAAATATTTTTCCCAGTTTTATAAAAACTAAAATATGTTGATAGATTTTAATATTGTTTTTATAAAGCTGGAACAAACATTGATCATATAGAGTAGTATCGTCTTGGTGGTCCGGGTTCCTTTTAAAGGAATGTTCAGTGACACACTTTCTCCACTATCCTATTGCTCCCTCTCTGGATATTCAGCTGGTAGTCCGTTGCCTGGGTTTCGACACTAGGGTCACCATCCTGGGTCATGTGCAGAGAGGAGGGACCCCCTCGGCCTTCGATAGGATCTTGGTGAGTCACTGCATCTTAAAGGGATATTCCAGCGCAAGTTTAAGCCGTGGTCAAACAGACTGTAACACCGAGTTAGACACCCCCTCGAGAGATGAATGTTGCCGACCGCTTGCTTCTTTTGTAAAAATAACTTCAGCAACGACCACACGGTAGCAATACACAGCGGTCTACATCTCCACAAGCAGACCTCAACCAGCAAGCCACAAATAATGCTCAGAACAGCACCTAACTTCACCAACAGGACATACAGGGTCCCAGCCACAGGACTAGCCACCAACATCTTTTTAACTTTGACTCATTTCTTTAGCAAAGAGACTAAACACAACTCACCTACTCTCTTCCGGCAGCCGCTTGTTTGTAGTGAGACCTCAGGCCAGTCCATTACAGACTACAGTGGGGTGACGCAGCTCAAGGAAGAACACCAACAGTTGAACTTCAATTTGATATCTGTAAATATCACGTGATCTAGATACCCGTTTTAGCACCATGGCAACAAAATTAAACTCGCAGGCACCAACCTGCTCATTTGCTTGTGCAGAAACACCGTAGTCGCTGACAACAGATCAGCTCACGTCAAAAACAGTAGACTTTAAGCTGACATTAAAAAATAACTGACTAGTCTGTGGCACCCCCAGCCTTCAGTCCCACTTGCAAGCTAACCTAAACATACACAAACACAAACACAGCAGAGATATATCAGCTCAGGATGAACCTCGTTCTTACCTCTGCAGGCCAGCCGTATGGGGGTTGAAGCAGTCCTGGCGTTGCTGGAAGCCTCAGCTAACACTCCGGCCTGTGTCGTGTCTCTCGTTGGAAACCAGGCTGTTCGGCTGCCTCTGATGGAGTGTGTTCAGATGGTAAGAGTGTGTTAATGCATACATGTAAGACAGATCTATTGTTGATTTGAAGCAGGATGGATTTCAGCAGATGTGATTTTACTAACGTGACAAAAGAGATCAGCGTCAAATCCAGAGAGTCTGAAGTGAGTCAGAGCGGCATCAGAAAATGTTGCTGTTAACCAAGAGCTTCACACTTCGATCTAACAGCTCGGCCGTCTGAAGTGTGAAATGATGGAGCTCCAGTTCTCTTTCCTCTGCCGCCAGCTGGATAATCATTGATGCTAATTAGAAAAGCACACAGACACAAATCTAATCTGATTACTTTTAAATAACAGTTTGATTTCAGTCTCTGCAGAGAAAACGAACTTTTTTGAGGTGTGGTGAAGGAGGTCTCTTGTGTTAAATCTTCAGACTCAGGAGGTCCAGAAAGCCATGGACGAGAAGAAGTTTGAGGAGGCGGTCAGACTGCGTGGCAGGTATGAAAGTTTTAACTTTAACTAAAAACAAGCGATTTAAGGAGGAACTGATTAATTTCACTCTGAAAGTAACAAAACTGACATCAATTTCAGATTTTCTTCTCTATTATTTTGCTGCTGCTCTCCCTGCCTTGGCTTTTCAATGTATAAACATTATTTACTTTGAATACCGATTGTTTATGCTGATTACGATGACGACTCTAATCTCAGGAAAAGGATTTGGTCAAGAGTTACTTTTTGCCGTTATCTGTTTGGACTTTTAGATCTGATACTTCTCTCTGGTTTGGTCTTAACCAGTCTCCTCAAGTCTTGTTTGCAGCTCTACTGACTGGTGGAAAAAAAGTTGTTTCTTTGACTTAATTTGTTCCCGACTGAACTTGTATTTTCTCGCCTGTTTCCTTTAGGAGCTTTGAAAACAACCTGAGCACGTACAGACTCCTCTCCTACAGGAAAGCCGACTCTGAGCTTCCTAATGTGAGTACCTTCACCTTCGATCACAGCTCAAATAAAACACGGTGAAGATCATGAGTCCAATTCTCAGAGTTGTAATTCTCCTGATGTATTTTTCCACCAGCGGCTCTCAGATTTGTACGGTAGTATGAGGTACTTCCTGGTCAGGTGCCTTGTGGGTGCTGCAGTCTTTTTGTGACACTAACAGAGTCTGTTTTTCTGTGACTGTGTCCGTCCTGAGGGAGAGGAGGAGAAGGAGGAGGTGGAGGAGGAGGCGGAGGATGGAGAGAAGGTGGATGTGTGTTATGTGTAAACTCCTGACGCTTCTGTAGGTGTAGTTCACAGAGCAGAGGAGATTTCAGACCCTTTAGATGATCCTCCTTCAGAATAATGATTTCCTGGTGACACAAAATGACCGTGCCTGTGCTCCTCACCTGCTGCTGCTGCCCATCATCGCTCATCTCCATGGCTCTGCTTTTATAAACATTAGATGTAGGAACATGAAGAGTCGTAATAGAGCTGAGAGCGAGGGTTTCCCAGTCCCTGAAGTCTCTAACAATCACAGGATCTGCTGGGATTTGCTTCTCCTAACTTCCTTCCTTATAGTCTGTGGCTGAAAGAGTTTGAGATTATTCAAACTGGACCGGCTGAGTTTAAAACGAGCAGAAGCTCTTCGAATGAAAGCTCTGATTCAGGTTTAGGAGATTTGGTTTTGTAGGAGAGAAAAAAAAATCCTTAGATCGGGAAATCACGACATCCTGTTCCACATATCTGATACTTAAGATGATCGTAACCTGACTGCAAACGTTCAGCTGATACTTAATGAAAAATATTAAAAAATTAGAAAAAACTTTGATTTATTTGAGTCAGTTTTTAAATCACACGCCACATATTTTATTCTATTTTTAAAAATATGTATTTTTACAGTTAATTTTTACTTTATCAGGAGTAGAGAAATTGGGGCAAGACATGCTTTAAAAGGAGGGCCGGGATTCAAAACAGCGACTTCTGCAGCAAGGACTGTAGCACTTAGACTAAAAGGCTGTCGGCTCCTCATTTTTATATTCATCTCATCTAATAAACCTATTTTTAAATTTGAGGTTTTTTTATTTTATTAGTTTTTTTGTCAGTGTTGGTCGGCAGCCTGCTCAGGTATCGACTATCCAGAGTAAAGAGTGTTGAAGTAATAAAGTCCGGACGTAATGAACGAATGAATAACATTTTTTAATTTATCTGAAAGGAAAAGAAATTGTTAAACTTTAGAGAGTAGTCTAAGATTTTAAAAACAGTTTTTCGTTGTGTGTCCTCCTGGGCTGTCACAAGAAACTGGGAGATTATTGTATTGCAAAAGACATGCTATCAATAAACACTGTAAAATTTCATTTTTTATATCGTGATATATCGATATCGACTAAAATAAAAAATATATATTGTGATAAATTTTTTCCCATATCATCCAGCTCAGTGTACGCCAACACCATGAGTTCAAAGTCATGGTTATCTACGCCAGTTGCTACATGTAATAAAACAGGAGAGATGAAGAAAAAGCTGCAGCTGCTGGCGAGCTAGCTTTAGCATCCCCCGGAGAGATGACTCAGCACTTTTAAAAAGTGACTGATCATAAAATCAAAAACAACGTGACGAACATTTATACTTTTTTTAAAAGGTTTGTTACGTACACTTTCAGGTTTGTTACGTACACTTAACAGGAAGTAGCCTGTGTTTCAAAATAAAAGCACAGTTCTACCTTAGTCCGGCTTAAACCCAAGACAGAAGAAAAATATCAAAATAAAAGCATGACACACAATTGTGCATGAGGCGATGTCTTCACCAAAGAAGTTCCCGCTCCAGGGGTGGTGGTGCGTATAACTCATAAATCTGAATTTGACGTGAGCTTCTCTCATCTCCTCTAGTCTCATCGATTTCCTCAGTTTCACTCAAGAGTTGCAGGAGGAAAACTTAAAAATACCAGCTCTGAATAAAAACCGAACGGTCTCACAGTGAAGCAGTTTTAACAAACTCTGTCATGACGAAGCAGATGCTGCTTTAACGCATCGTCCAGCAGCATGTGTTGCTCTGTTGCATGTACGGTGATCTTTGCCTGCCGCTGCCTCTCTGAAGCAAAGACCTGGCCTGCTCCTGGTTAGTGAGACATGGATGGTATAATCAGACGATGGACGTGGACGACTGTCCCGTCAGGCGCGATGAAAAATCAAAGCTTTTGATTGGCTGTTTATAAAAACAGACCTGCATGTTGCCTCTACGGCGTCTGATATACCATCTTATTTACACAAACATCACATATGCTGTGATGCTGTGATTGTAGACTGACTGTCAGACTCACACGTGAGGTGTGAAGATATCTTCAGCAACGGTAAAGCTTGGAGGTGTAGAAGTGTTTGTCCTTGCAGTCTGCAGGTGTCACACCTGACTGTGTGTGTTTCCTGTCAGTCTGAGTTTACCGCTGTTTTTCCTCCACAGAGCTCCTTTAACGTGGCTGTGCTGAACGTCGGCGCCCCGGCGGCTGGAATGAATGCCGCCGTGCGTTCTGCCGTCAGAGTGGGAATAACCGAAGGCCACAAAATGTTCGCTGTCAGTGACGGATTCGAAGGTTTCTACAAGGGACAGGTATTTATTATATTTATTCAGTGTGGTCATGTCGAGTTTTTAAACGCTCGCCCTGAGTGCAGTCTTTGGAGGTCATAGCGACCGATAGTGGGCAGCAGGAGTTGTCCTCCCCCCTCTGCTGCTGTTGGGATCCAGTGATAAGTCTGAAGTGTGTTCAGATAAACAGCGCTGCAGTACTTACTGTAAGCCAATTACTCCACTCCCACGCCGGCTAACCCACATGCTCAGTCTCCTTCTTTGTCCAGATTGCACACGTGCTTTTCCACAAACGCACATTCCCAGCTGTGCAGACAGCAGCTTCGACCTGTTGACAGCAGTGCAGCCCTGCGGAGAGCAGGCGTTGTAAGGGATTAGACTCGATTAATGAGTGAAGCCGGAAACATGAGTGGAACCCCGACAAAGGAGGACACTACACTGTGATTAAAGGGATATTGCGGCGCAAAGTGAATTTAGGGTCAAACACACCATAACACCGAGTTAGACACCCCCTCCAGAGATGAATGTTGACGACCGCTTGCTTCTCTAGTTATACCAACTTTAGTAACGACAGCAAGATAGAAATACAGAGAGGTCTTAGGAGCCATAAACAAACCTTCATCAACAGGACATATAGGGTCAAAGACAAAGTACTAGACACCAAACATCTTTTTAACTTTGACTCATTTCTTAAAGAGACTAAACACAACTCACCTACTCTCTTCCAGTGATATCTCGGGCCAGTCCATTACAGACTACAGCGGGGTGACGCAGCTCAAGGAAGAACATTTATGATCATTTCTTCATGGAAGTGCAATCAGACCGAGACGCTAAGGCAGAAGAACTACTGCGTCTGCAGTGAAAAATGATTAATATGATGATTATTACTTCAAGGAAATGATAAAGAAATGATCATAAATGTTCTTCCTTGAGCTGCGAAACTCCACTAATAGACTGGTCGAGGTGAGTTGTGTTTAGTCTCTTTGCTAAAGAAATGAGTCAAAGTTAAAAAGATGTTTGGTGTCTAGTACTATGTCTGTGACCCTATATGTCCTGTTGATGAAGTTAGGTGCTGTTCTGAGCATTATTTGTGGCTATAGAGTGGCGTTTTGGTTGAGGGCGTGGCTCTCTGTATTACTATCCTGCGGTCGTTACTAAAGTTGGTATAACTAGAGAAGCAAGCGGTAGTCAACATTCATCTCTCGACGGAGCGTCTAACTCTGTGTTATGGTGTGTTTGACCCTAAATTAATTCTACGCCGGAATGTCCCTTTAAGAGCTCTTGCTGTAATGTACTGACACTAGAACAGGGCGCAACACTCCTACGTTTTACCGTCACTCTGATGTATTCACTAAACATCAACCGAAGTCCATAAAAACCAAATATTCTGACCCGTCTCTGTTCGATTTCTGAAACCAGATCAAGGAGATCAAATGGGGAGATGTTGGTGGTTGGACTGGCCAAGGAGGATCCCTGCTGGGAACTAAACGGTACGTTAAAGCCACGTTGAACTACCATATGGTATATAGCCGAGCTAAATCTATTTCACCTCAAACACACCTGCTAACGACCTTTATCGAATTATTCTCATGTTTGTGCGCAGAACTCTTCCAGGTAAACACCTGGACAAGATCGCCGAGCAGATTAGGATCCATAACATCAACGCCCTGCTGGTGATCGGAGGATTTGAGGTGTGTACTCTTACTTTTTACTCTTTAGTTTAAGAGACTATTTTAAATATCATAGAAACACTTTGTCTTTAACATTTTTGAGTATTTTAAATGATTCGATCAGTCATACAGCATTATCGAACACTCTCACTCCAGTGTGTCACATTCACGATACTGTGTCGTATTTACATTTCATCTTCTTTACACATTTCAGTGTCTTGAATTTTATACAGCTGTTTTTAAACATCAGAACTGAAGCAGAGGACATTTAAATGCTTTAGGCTCTCTCCTTGTCGCTCCTTTTGTGGTCAGTAGTTCATAACAAAGCTGTAAAACACAAATTTCTGAAATCAGACTTTATATCTGTTAAGGAAGTAAAATTTAACTTAAAGAACAAAGTGATTGTATTGGACTGTTAATCTTCGTCCTTTTCCTTCATCTTTACCTGATGAATGTTGAAGTTGAATTATTTATTTTTTTAGATTTACAATTATCGATCAACTTTCAGTATTTTCTGCCAAGTAAACACAGTTTTCTGTCTATGCTTTTAACTCTTTCATACTTGGTGATATTTCAACAGTTCAACTTTTACATCGTTGAGCTTTTTCAGGAGAAAGGCGCCGTCACTAATCACATTTCTACTCCTTAAACTTTTTCAATTTTTTGACTTTGTCAGCTTTGTCAGATTAGGACCACCGTCCTCCTCCCTGTCTGTCAGTCTGTCTGTGTCTGTTTGTGTCTGTGGGGCTGTAACCTCCTCTATCTGTGTGTCTGTCATATTTGGCCTGGCTCTCTCCCCTTGGCTTCTCCTCCCACCACATTCCTCCCTCACCTCCTCCCGGTACTGTCACTCCTGCCATCATTGAACCACCAACACGCCCCAACCACCTCAAGTCCCGCCTCCTTTACAACCTTTGGTCTTCACACCATGACCTCCTCCAAACCCCCGGCCTTTGACCTCTTACCTCCTGTACTTTAAAGCCTTCAGCATCAGCCCTCTTCACTTTCCTCACACACCTCATCCCCTTTGTTTGCACCTCCTCAACAACAACCAATAAGATGCTGGCTCTCACCGCTGCAGGCCTACGTTGGATTACTGGAACTCTCGTCCGGGCGGGACAAATATAGCGAGCTCTGTGTACCCATGGTTATGGTCCCCGCCACCGTCTCCAACAATATACCCGGTTCAGACCTCAGCATTGGCTCAGACACCGCTCTGAACGCCATTACTGATGTAAGTGTGGCCGGGCTGGAGACGATGTGTGTGTCCAGACTTAACACGCACCATCCAGCCAATCAGAGTTTGGGGCTTCGCTGACCGACCGCTCGCATCCTCACGCCAACAACCAGACAGGGCGGGTCATTTAGCAAAGAGAGACACTGATGATAACCTAAATTACACTTAATATTTTCACGAGGATGTGTTCACTACAACCTTCTTGACAAACTTTAAAGCTCCTTTGAGGAGATTTCTGACTTTAATGAAACAGACTAAAACTCATATTTAAATTTTTTTATGATCTTAAAAAGCAAAAACAATTATAACCGTTTTTTATTTTGTGAATTGTAATGTCTGAAACCTGTATGAGGGGGGTAGGTGTCAGCCATGTAGTTAAAGAAACAACTGGTTGCACTATTTCTAATTAATTATTATAACGATTGATACATTTGGTTGTCAAAGGTCAAAGAAATTATTTTTTTGTCTGAAGATGCTACATAGAGATTTAAAAAAAATAGCCAATGTTGAAAAAGTTGAAAAATCAAACATTAAAGCTCCTGTGTGGAGTTTTAGTGAGTTATGACACAAACTTAAAATGACAGCTATGTTTTTTTTATAACCTAAAAATGAAAATACTTGTTAAGAATTTGATTGATTTATATGTTGATTGAAAAAAAAAAACATTAGCAAAAACACTGACAGTTCATATTACGCAAGTTTTAATGCTTGTAACTCTGCAAGGGGGAGGAGTCTGATTGGCTGATTATAAAAGGAAGAAAAACTTGAGTCTTCCTTTTCCTTAGAAAATATTTCAGCTGTTTTTATGTAGATCGTAAATTAACTGAAAGGCTGCTTCGTCTATTGGGTGCACCAAAATTAACCCGAACAAAAAGTTCCTCACTGTAGCTTTAAGTTGGAAAATTAAAACATTGGCATGCCGTTAACACGACCTTTACTTTTTGCCACTCCAGAGAAAATACTCCGTAGAATTTAAGTGTTAAAATGATGCAGAATGATAACCGTCATGTGCACAATGTGAATTACTTTGTTCACAGGGGGCGCCAAAATCAACACAAACTGAGAGTTCCTCACAGGAGCTTTAACGGGTAACTGATAAATAAAACTTATGAAATTTATGACTAAAATAGAAGAAATCGACTTGCTTACTTAAAAGCCTCTTTTTTTAGTTATTTTTCAACATAAATTTACTCCGTAGAGCTTCTTTGTGGCACATCAGTGGAGAAAGGTTGAGAACCGGCTCTGTCAGCGGGCTGTAATGTTTTTTGTGTAAACACAGGCAGGCTGACGAGCCGAATCTCCACTGACCTAACTGTGACGTACAGGTTTATCCGAGTGCTTTAAAATGAACCAAACCTCTTCAGAATGGTTGTAAATATCAGCTGTCGAGAAGCAAAAACGAAGAGGAAAACTGGGACACCTCCCCAGAAAGCTTTGATTCCAGACCATTCTGAGATTTCCTTCAATTACAGATTATTTTTTCTAAAAATCGAATTCTTCCAGACCAGAAATCTGACCCGATGGTGGATAAACAGTTATGCTGAGTGGATTAATGTAGATAACACCCTCACACCCGCAGCACAGACCCTGTTTACGGTTGTTGTTGGAGGCGAGCTGGTCAGCGGAGGTCCCAGGTAAGTGTTGGGGCATGCAGTGACGTGTTGTGGCATGTTTTTGGCGCGTGGCCCTGGCGTGTTCTTGCGGCTCTTGCTGTGTTTGTTTTGGAAACAGCAGATGATCAGGTAGCGGTCTGGTTCAATGCATCAGGGACTCTCTGCTTGTTCAGACTCATTTAGAAACACAAACCTTCTAAGTTTGAAGAGTCAGTCTGCATGCTGTGTGAGCATGAAGTCTGAGTCCAGTGTAGTCTGAATTTTAGACGGTCTGGACCAGGAAAACCCACAAGCTGCATGTCGGACTCATAAACAGAGAAAATATATCTTTACTTCTTGAACATAAAAGGAAACGAAGATCGCTGAGAGACGACTCTGGTCTTTATCTTGTCCGCACCGCTAAATGCCAGCCAGGGTGAAACCTACCCCCAACCCCCCACATCCCATCTCCTTACAGCCAATGGGAAGCCAAAGTCCCCGTCACCTGGAGAGAGCCAGCCAGCACACACACACACACACACACACACACACACACACACCATAGATAAGTTTCTCTTTCCTCGTATCCTTCAGACTTCGTAGTGGAAAGCTGATTATTTGACCCCGATGTGGTTAACACACGTTTTTATGAAATCAGACACGAGGTAAAGGGGAGTCGAAGGCTACGTTCACACTGCAGGTCAATTCCGATTTTTCAACCATATGTGACTCATATCTGACTTTTTCATATAAGTGTGAACAGTGGTTGGAAGCAGTGGGTCTGAATGTTCTTCACAGAGTTCAGTATCACTGTAGGCGACGCCCTACTACCATAACAGTAGCTAGCAGACGGTTCTAGAAAGAGCTACACATCTGCACAGAAACGGCACATTTCTGATCACGATGAAAGTCTTCATGCTGGAAAACTGTTGAACCTTTGGGGGGTCCCAAAATGAAACTGCACTTGAGATACTAGTGTGACTTAGTCTGTGTTCACACTGCAGATCAATTTCGACCATATGTGACATATATCTGATTTTTTCATCTAAGTGTAAACAGTGCAATTCCGATTTTTTCTAATCCGACCCAGGATTATAAAATCGGATATGTATCCGATGTGACTGCAGTGTGGACGCTCAGGTCGCGTTCATCCGACCTTTACGTCATCAATATGCGACAAACGTCACCATTGTTCAACAACACAAACAAGAACATAAAAATGACTATTTAATAATTATGACTTTTTACCTTATGACCTTTTCTAGTTTTTTTAGTTTGTTACTGTATCAAAGTATTTTACGGTAACAGAGTAAAACAGAGTACAGACGAAGAAGAAGAAGCTGCTTGCGAGCTAGCTGTAGCATCCCTCTGAGAGATAACTCAGCACTTTTAAATCAGTGTCCGTGCAATGATAACTAACGTTAAAACTTTAGGTGATTAATCATTTTAACAATTATACTTTTTAGCTCTAATTTGAACTGTTTTAATTCAGCTCAGTTTGTAAAATAAAGAAAGTAGGGTTTATTATTTAAACGGTATAGATGATTAGATTTAAATACAGCACCACTTTTACACTAAAGTTGTTCAGTTGTGAAGGATACAAGCAAAGAGAGCCTCACACACACACACACACACACACACACACACACACACACACGGTCACACACATGTTCAGTCTCAGATAGGGAGTGTGCCCCCTGCTGCTCTAACATCATATTGCGGCCACCATCAGGCCCTTGAGTCCCTGCTGCAGCTGCACGAGGCCCGGGCCAACTACGAGGAGTATTGCATCCCGATGTGCATGCTGCCCGCCACCATTAGTAACAATGTTCCCGGCACTGACCTCAGTATCGGCGCCGACACGTCCCTCAACGCCATCGTGGAGGTAAGAGGCCAGAGGTATCTGAGAGAAATAGATGTGATAAAAGTCAGTGTGGTGACGAATATGATGCTTAAAAATCACATCAAGTCTAGAGGATGCTGATGTTGTCAGTTACTGTCTAGTGTGTACGAGTCAAATATTTCAGTTTATCTCAGAAATGTCGATTTGAAAAACTGTTTAAAGGAACAGAAGGAAAAACGTCAACCTGTGAGTACTTCCTTTTCCTTCTCTGAGTCAGTCCAGGTACCAGCGACAGGACCGTGGTGCACCTGCATGTACAGTGTGTGTGTTTGAGAGTTAAACGTCTGATGAGTTCAGTTTTTGTCTGTTCGGAACAACAAGCAGCAAAATGCAGAGACGAGGAAGACCCCTTTGGGTCAAAGTTCAGCTCGCCCCGTCTGAATTCTAATGATCATGTTTATTGAACAGTACTGAGTTAATACGATGAGTGAAGTTTGCACAGAACAAGAACAAGCAGCAAGATGAAGATTCTGTTTACATCCAGGTTTTGTTCAAAAGTGGAAATGTTTTTTTTTTCTAGAGCATTAAGTTACTTGAAAATTGAAATTTCAAAGGTTAAAGTCATTAATTTTGTGAGCAGGATATGTCTACCAATGGTCCGTGTCGTTAGGATGAAAATAAAAGGAGACTGCCTTTGAAAAAAAAAATAAAGATATTGTTTATGAGATAAAAACTCTGAATTAAGAGAAAAAAGCCAATTTTAATGTGAAGCAAGACGATATTATGAGATAAAAAAGTAAAGCTTCAAGTGTAAGAAAGTCAAAGTCACATTTGAGATGAATAAAACTGAGAAAAAACAATGATAAATAAGTCAGTCATAGTAATGAGAAATATCAGTAATAAATGTTTCAGTTTCATCTCATAATTTTTTCTCAACATTTTGACATTTTTCCTCATACCTATGACTAAACGATTTTTAACAAATACTTGCCATCACAAATAATATACTTTTTATCTCAGTTTTTACTTTTTGTGTTATTATGACTAACATTTTGACTTTTTACTCATAATTATGACTAATATTTTCATGATTAACAACTACCTGAAAAAACTTTACTCAATATCTCATAATTATGAATTTTAATAAAAAAAAACTGACGAATTATACTCGCTAACTTACTGACTATTTCATAGTTTTACATTTTTATCCTACGATTATGACTCAGTTTCATAATGATAACTATTTTTTTTTTAAATGTCGACTTTTTAATCATAATTATAGGTAAGATTTCATAAAAATAACTAATATATAAAAATAAAATATTTTTTTTTTCATTGGGGCCAAGTCCTCCTGGTGAAATAGATTTCCACATTACTGAATGATTTTAGATTTAAAATAATAGAACTGACAGTTGCTCATTGTTTTTCCCAAACATCATTTTTAGACAAGAAGGCGAACATAGGAGATATTAGAAAGAAAATAACGTGATTATGTTCATGTCGTCTCTCCATATGAACCCCTTTAATACTGTCGGGGCAGCGGCTGAAATATCGTGTCGGTCAGGGTCAGCGGTTATTAGACACCTGCAGTCTGCTGAACTCGCTTGTTTGCTAACCTCAGTGTTGTTTTCGTAGTTTTGCATGCTCTCTTAGTTTAAAACCTTCGTCTTACCTGTTTCTGACTGTAAATCCGTGGTTGTGATTCAGACGTGCGATCGCATCAAGCAGTCTGCCAGCGGCACCAAGAGGAGGGTCTTCATCATCGAGACCATGGGGGGTTACTGCGGTTACCTGGCGACAGTGGGCGGTCTGGCTGCCGGTGCCGACACCGTCTACATCTACGAGGAGCCCTTTGACATCCGTGATCTGCAGGTTGGAACATTCGCACATTTCTTCTGTCTGAATCAGAGTGATTTCTTTTTTTTACCTCGACATGTTTGGACCGCAGAGTCACGTGATGTTGCCGATTAAAAGAGGTTCGGCCTGAAGCAGCAGGATGAAACATGTCAAGATGAAACGAAAGTCTATTCAGCTCTTTAACCTCTAAAGTTCTTCATATCTGCGTGACCTTGAATTAAACCTAAACAGTGCACATCTTTTATAGTCCCACCCTTTGCCCTTTGCATCAATAAAACTGAACCGTACACGTGAGCATTGTGCAGCTTTCATCACAGTCTGGATATTTGAGGACCGGCAGGTGACCCAGATTATATCTCTGCATACACCGACTTATTAATAACCTCTGAGCTGCATCACTCAGACTGATCCACTCAACTTCACAGACGTCCGCTCTGACACGAACTTCATTATCGTTCTTAAAAACACAAATCTAGTGCAGTTTTATTCCTAATTTGGTAAAATAAAATTAAAACAAATTAAATTTACCCAGAAAAGTTTGATTCAGTTTTTCTTTGTGACATTTTATAAAAAGCAAAAGCTGCAAAATTCAATCAAACACTATAAACTAAAAATCCCTGCAACACAACAATCAAGTCTTTTCCATGACCGTGAGAGGGTCAAATCTTGAAGTTTGGTGCCCTCTGCTGGTGCAGACATGCTCCTAAAGTATTGAGATGCAGAGGAGTGATTCCAGGCTGGATCGGCTCCTTGTGCAGACTGCTGCTGCTGCTGCTGCTGCTCCAGTTTTAATGCCAGGATTCACTCTGTGATTTCAGGGCAACGTGGAGCATCTGACCCAGAAGATGAAGACGTCCATCCAGAGAGGATTAGTGCTCAGGTGAGGCTTCACTCATCCACCTGTCTGTCTAGTCTGTTTTCAGGTGTTATATCGTTTCATTGGCCGCTTCATACCCAGTTTTAAAAATAAAACCTATTAATTTTCAAACATTTCGGCGTAGTCCAGCTCTCAGGGTTGTCTTTTCGTCATCTGTTGTGGTTATTTTCGTCCTCTGCACCAGCCTGATGGTTCATTTCCTCCCAGCAGGACGGAGATCTCTGAAAATAGGACAAATGTAGTTTTCTGGACGGTGTGTAGGTGACATTGTGCGTCTGTGCGGAGGTTTGCACCTGCGTGATTTCATTATTACAAGTTACACTCAGGTGCAGTGGTGCACTTCAAGCGCTTTAGCGGGTTCCAGCAGACTAACGCTCTGACCCAGAGGCACCTGTGCAGTCGTGAGAAAACCACCTCCTGGTCTGATTCTAGATTAGCCAAAAGTACGTTGGTGCTGCCGTCTTTGAGCTTCACAACCTCTGAGTGATGTTACAGAGACGGTCCATGTTTAATACAGTCTACATCTGTTTTTAAAGTCTGATTAAAGGAGAATTCTGGTGTTTTTCAACCCAGGGTCCTTTTCTATTTTACTTGTTTTGGTGTCAATGGTTTAAAAAAACTCGTTCAATGCAAAATTTTTGGGAGAATTTTTATATCTTTGATAAAAAGGTCGATGGATAGAGTAAGTTACAGGGAAGGGACAGAAGGGGGTGATATTTGAAGGGTTAAACTTGAACCAAGAGAGGGATTGCAAGTCTGTCTCGTCTAAAAATGTAAAACGGTAAGAAAACGGTCCGAATTTTGCAGTTTATCCTAACAGAATATTAAAGTTTGTGTGTAATAATGTCAAACTGGTTTATGGAGTGTGGTTAACATTAGCAGAGCTAGCACCGCCAGCCTTTGGTCCTCCTAGTAGGTCTAAGTCCACATGTCTGAGCTGGTTACACTCTGCCAGAGTTAAATATGTCGTTTGGTGTAAAAAGCTGCTTTAACTTGTTTTATTTGATAAAAGTGTCTCGTTGTTTCAGTGAAATCGCCCTTTAACTGACCTGTTGTTCTGTTTGTTCCAGAAATGAGAACTGCAACGAGAACTTCACCACCGACTTCATCTACCAGCTGTACAGCGAGGAGGGGCGAGGCGTGTTTGACTGCAGGAAGAACATCCTGGGACACATGCAGCAGGTTGGACACACACCCTTCACATCTTCTGTCCAAACAATGAAGTCCAGAAACGTCTGCTTTCTGTCCTCTCAGGAGTTCTGTCTGTTGTGTCTTCATCTTGATCATTTCATGAATTCTGAATCATTATTTTTGGTTTAAATATTTTCTGTCCTCATTTACAGGGAGGAGCTCCTTCACCATTCGATCGAAACTTTGGAACCAAAGTTGCTGCTAAAGCCATCCAGTGGATCACGAGGACACTTAAAGACTCGTACAAAGGAGGTGAAGCTGCTCCTCATCCTCATGTTTCACTAGGATATCCTGGTTACGTGTTTCTGCGCAGACTGAATCTAAATTTGTTTTAATTAAAGAGGGTGATGTTGTTCTTCCTCACAGGTCGGGTGTTCGCTAACTCAGACGACACCGTCTGCCTCCTGGGGATGCGTCGTAGAGCCCTCGTCTTTCAGCCTGTTTCTGAGCTCCGCGATGAGACCGACTTTGTGTAAGAAAAACTTCACATGTTCAACTCTTTAGCAGCTCGACCCCTAAATCTATGCTCATTAAAAAGCTACAACAATAAAACATACTAGCAATATTTAAGATTACTGAACACACATGATGTATGATTAATAAGTCTAACAGTAATATTTATAGTATTTAAGAAAATCTGAAGTCTTGTACATTTTATCAAAGTTTAAATACTAAGATTTGTTTAAGCTAATTCATGTTAGAAAACTGTTTAAACATCTACAGAAAAAATACAAAAAAATCTCATAACTTAACTTTGATTTTAAAGTCAGGATTCTGAGATCCAACTTACCTGGGATTTCCACCGCATCCTGGACAGCTGTGATTTTCGTTTCCGTTTGATCCATTTGTGAGGTGAATTTCGTGGCGGATTACAGACAGCAGGAATTGCGAGAACTCACAAGAACCTGCGGCTTCACGTGCAATCGCGTAATAACAAGTTGTCTTCAGTCACGTAGTCTAACCATATAAGCAGTAGATTGTGTCCTTCCAGAGGAGGAAATCTACTTCTAGACTTCTAGAATCAGCATCTCCTCATCCATGGTGTCATCGGGGTGAAATGACGTCTAAAAACCTTTCACTTGTTCGTCTCCGCCCGTTTGCATGGTGTGAAATACGATCCGCCTGAAACACGGAGTGTTTTATTTTTAAAAGAAGCCGGACGTTTTATTTTGTGTCTGTGCCCGACTTCCTTTCCAGCACGGGTTCATCTGTGCTCAATTTATCCGCCATGCTCCGGCGTCCAGAAAAAATAGAACTCTTGTGATCAGCAGTGGAGTCCGGCGATCCGCAGAGGAACAGAAAGAAGCCGGTGGAAATTGACATGTTAACTTGAATGGTTACGATCAGCTGCGATCAGGCCTTTTAGTAGACGTTCAGGATGAAGTTGGAGATTGGGGGTTAGAATTCTACGATTAAAGTCAGAATCAAAATCATTGTCCTGAGATCAAAGTCCGTTTCGGAGCCGGAATTACAAAATCAAAGTTACAATTCTGAGATCAAAGTCAGAAATCTGGAATTTCAATTCTAGAATTTTATGATCAAGGTCAGAATTCTGAATTCAAGTTTAGAATTTTGAGTTCAAGGTCAGATTTTTGAGATCAAAGTCAGAATGCTGGAATCAAGGTCAAAATTTGGACACCAAGGTTAAAATTCAAGAGGCGAATCTTTGGTGGTAAAGTGCAGAATTTACACTCAAACTATGCTCAACATGACTCCCTCTCTAAACTTTGTTCTTTCTCCCTTTAGCCACAGGATCCCTAAGGAGCAGTGGTGGCTGAAGCTCCGCCCTCTCATGAAAATCCTGGCGAAGTACAAGACCAGCTACGACGTGTCCGACGCCGGCCAGCTGGAGCACGTGAGCCGTTTCCGTCCAAAAGAGAGCAACACCGAGACCATCTAAAGCCCTCAAGTGCTGCAGGAGGACTTCACTCCAACCAGAACACAGCTTCACTTCGCAGTGACAGCTACTCACACAATGACTGATCGACTGCTGACTGCAGATAATTAAATGATAGATTTGAAAAGGTGATAGGTCATTTTTAAGAGATACTATACGGTGGAGACTTGGTGCTGTTTGAAAGGAATCCTGGATTAAATGAGGGTGTGAAAAAGAGTCCTGAAGAAGGTTTTAACAAGCCAGCACAGCGGATGTAGTATTTTATAGCTATCTTATCGACATATATATGAATAATTTAATATATATAGTAAGCACTCTTCATGATGTACTGTATAAGTATGCAAGATTTAGTCCTAAAAATGTAGCTTTATCTAAATTTATTTTCAGCGAACATTTAAAGTCTAGCTTTTGTGATTTTAAATTATTTTCCACAGCACTTTGAGCCCCGTGAGAAATATTTATCCTCTGAGCTGCTTCTGAAGAGAGAGAGAGAGAGAGAGAGAGAGAGAGAGAGAGAGAGAGAGAGAGAGAGAGAGAGAGTTTGAGCTGGAGGAGGATCACACTCCCTCAACCCAACACTTTCAAAACATCCACCGTCCTGATTGTAAGGTGACGTGACCTACAGGTGTATCAGGAGGTGTGTGTGTGTGTGTGTGTGTGTGTCCTTTCACCTGCTAACTGTGTGTACGAGTGTGTGTGTTTCGGTGTTGCTTTCGATGTTTGTATCCACTCTGGGCTTCGTGTGTGACGTAGCGGTGTTTGTGAGTAGGGTCCTGCTGTTGCTGTAGTTGGGCAGTGAAGTGGAGGATGTCTGAAACTTTAAAGCGACATTAACTTCGTGTGCCGACAGTGATTGTCCTGTCAGAGTAATAATAATAAAGCATTTACTGTGTCCAAAAGACTGTCAAGTGGTTTTTCTTTTTGAAGATTTATGATAAAGTCTCGAGAAAAAGAAACAACATTGAAAACTAATGAGTTCGGAATGAAGGGCGTGTTTTTATCCTGGACTTTTGTTTCTAAAAAGTTTTCGTTATCGGGCAGAAAATTAGAGTCAAACAGTTGATGTCAGAATATTTCCTTGATAATATTTACCTCCGCCAAGGAGGTTATGTTTTCGGTAGTGTTGGTTTGTTTGTTTGTCTGTCTCAGCCCCAGGAGGATCCCATTACATTTTGGTGGTGATCCGGACAAAATTCTGGATACTGTGATCCAGAACACACAAAAATAAGGGTGTCGTTGGAATTTTCAGTGCTGAAAGATAACCAATGGGCGGCAGAGTGGTGTAGATAGCTGACACAGTGGTGTAGTGGTTAGCACTTTTGCCTCACAACCAGAAGGTCGTGGGTTCAAATCCCGATCAGGGCATGTCTTGTTTAAAGGGGGGACATGAGCTGCTTGGCGGAGGTCTGCGCTCTCCGAATGCTTTTCTAGTTTAAATATTATGCAACCAGCTACACGGTCAAAATGAAGAGCTCAGACTCAGGTTCGGTTTTTTCATCATATTATAATTCATAAATCATAATTATATACAGACTAAAGTGATGGAGAAGAAACTGTCTGAATAACTGAATACTGACTAAAACACTAACAGCTCAGTCGTCTTCTTTTTATTGTGCGCTTCAGCCTTTCCTGTAACCTTGTTTAAAAGTCATAACGGATTGTAGTTGAGGTCTCAGTACATAGTGTGTGATTAATCAGAAGTGCAGTCATGTTTTGGGTTATAAAATAACTATTGATGGGATTATTTCACAATCCATGAGGGATCTTTCTTAATTGCCTCGTTCTCTGGTCCTAAAATAGCCACCCCACATGTCCTCTGACCAACACCGAGGTATCTACAGAGAAAAAAGGGACACTTTTTTAAGACTTCATTACAAAAACATGTACAGTTTCAGTTTTTACATGCTGAGTTTGTAACTCTTCTCTCTCTGAGTTAAATGTCTTACCTTTCAGCCACTTCCACCAGGTTTTTATGAGAAACAGCGAAAAGTCGCTCTCTGTGATTCTGCTTCATCTCATCTGTGACTCCGCTGAGGAAGCGACCCATTCCTGAAACACAAACGCATAATGAACCAACAGTGAAAGAGAGAGAACAGGAACTCACTAGTTATCTCTATATTATTCCAGGATCAATAGTTAAAACGATAGAAACAAAATACTTGGAATTTAGTCGCACAAAAGCATTAGACCTTAAAAAAATATATTTTTATTACATCTATGTTTTAGTCGTGAGTGAAACGGTCGCACCGTCGAGCGCTGCCTCAAAGGTTCTCACCTTTGCTTGAAGGGGCCACAGGTGAGTCTACAGCTGAGAAGACAGAGAGTTTGGCCTCATCGATGTCCTGCTGGGTGAACTGTCCCGCCTTCGCCCAGTCCACACCTCTACGAAACGCTGACAAGGTCTGCAGCGAGTTCGGATCCCTTGGAGACAAAGAGACGAGTCAAATACGAAGGGAAAGTCTCTGAAATTTGAGCTTTCCAAAACTGTGAGCAGTGTTGTGAAATGACCCTCGACCTACCGATAGGAGTAAAAGGAGAAAAGACCGCCTCCCATCTTGGCCCCGCCCCCGTACGCTCCTCCTTTCTCACGGATCTCACCATGCAGAAATTTAGCCGTCATCATCCTCGCCAAGATGCACAAACTTCAAGAGAAAGAAAGACCGCCGTGGTTTTTAGACCGAGGGTACAGATATGGAAGTTCGCTGTTTAACACCACGCCAACGTTCTGTCTCGTATATATTCGTGGTTACCTGGCGTAGTCCTGGTGGGAGAACGGTACCGTACGAATGCTCTCACTGACAAAGTTCACAGGGAAGGGGAGCTGGAAGAAAGTTTTCATCTGATACGGCTGGAAATTTAAGTCCTGCGACATCAAACAGAAAAAAAAAGGATTTAAGTTTCGGTAAAAACGTTTTTTTAAAAGAGAACAGAAACAGGAAACAGAAATTCAGGGTCGTTTTGGAAAACTTACAGAGATGAGTTTTCTGCTCAGACCAGAGTCATCCTGAGGGTCGAGAGGTCGCTTTAGAGAAAAATCAAACAATCAAGAATATTTTATGATGATCATGATATTTATTCTGTTTTCTAAAATACAGTTAGGTGTCGATATTTCACCTCAATGATGTTCGCTCTGACTGGTTTGCGCTCTTTTCTGTTTTCAGCGACGTCCTTCATGAAACTCTCCAGCTGGGCTGCTGTGTCCGACATTTTCTGTGGAGTTGCGTTGATCGCACACCTGTAAAAAAAACAACAAATATTATAACTTATTCAAAACTCTGTAGCAGCAGGTCAATCACAAGATCATGTGATTCGATGTACTAGATCTCTACTAATTCCTACTATTCTAAATTTAAGGACGCATCTTAAATCTACTTTTTCTCACGTCTGATAAACTTTGATAAACTTTGTTGGTCAGTAAGAGGAGCGAGAAAAGATGGACCGACCTCATGTTGTCTGGGTTGAGAAGATGCTTCTTGATCCTGGTCAGTGTTCGGATGACTTTGCTGAGGTCTGACTTCTCGGCTATCCTCTTCATAAACTTCACCTGATGTTCAGATAACAGAAAATGACATGATTTCACATGAGGTTAGCGTGAGGTCCGTTATTCAGTCTGAGTCTGAGCCGCCCACCTGCTCCATCCCACCAAACGTCTCGTGGAGGTCTCCTGCTGGAGTCAGGTGACGGCCTGCGTGGGTCATAGCGTACAGGTGACCTGAGTATGAGATCCCATTGGCTAACTCCTGAGCTGACATCATCACCAGTACTCTCAGGCGCTCTGTCTCATCCAAGTGGGGGCTGAAGGAAAATATTGACTTCATTAAAACAAGAGTTTCTGGACACATTGAGAGGCAGCGAAACAAACAGAGACTGAGTGGAAATGTGCTGATCGATCGTTTCAGCCGTGTGGTGAAATCCAGGACTTACTTGTGGAAGATGTCGCTCCAGAGCTCAAACATGTGAGGAAGGTTCCTCTCCAGACAAGAGGAGGACAGGAGGACGCCCTGAAACAAAGACCACGGGTCAGCATTTCTCACACAGAGACGACACCTGATCGAGCCACCCGAGTAATTTTTGGCAGCCAGATCCCTCACACGTTTGATAACCTGCAGCGCCCAACCAATGCTCCTGAATATTCTTGTTCACTTTATCAAAAAGACAGAGACCATCTAACACAGAGGTTCTCAACTGAAGTTCCACATACAGAAAATATCAAATTGCACAAAACAGAGACCAACAAAATGAACAATTTGACTTATATGCAGAACCTGAGGAGGACCCTGCAACGAGGCATGGACAAAAGTGAATATCAAACTGCACAAAATTAAGACCAAAAAGACCCATGTATTATCTTTATACAAACCCATAACGCCTGCCTTTCAAAATAAAAGACACGTCAAACATCAGATGCTCATTAAATATTTACTTTTTTGACCAGCTGTTCGCGACCCATCCAGAACATGTCCATGACCCACCTTTGGGTTGGGACCCACCAGTTCAGAACCGCTGACCTGACAGATACACCTCAGCTCCAAACATGACTACATCTGATCAATTTGATCCAAAAATCCTAAATTTGTTTTCAAAAACTTTGGCCTCTAACTCTGAATCTTGGTTTTTATCTTGGAATTAGGGCTTTCTTGGAATATTGAATTTGATCTTGGAATTCTGACATTAATAAGAAAATTCCTGCCGTGATGTTAGAGTTCTGAATTTAATGAGAGAAGATTTGCTCTTGTCTCGGAGTTCTGAATTGGATCTCAGAATTCTAACTTTGATCTTGAAATCCTGGCAAAAATCACGGAATTCTAACATTAATAAGAAATAATCTTGACTTTAATCTTCAAATTTTGGCTGTGAGCTCAGAATTCAGAATTTAATAAGGGATTCCTTGCTTCTATCTTGGAATTCTGAATTTGATAAAAGAATCCTGGCTTTGATCTTAGTATTCTGAATTTAAGAAGAGAATATTAACTGTGGTCTTGGAATTCTGGATTGGTTCTCAGAATCCTGTCTTTGATCTTGGAATTCTACAGTACAGCCTTGAGTTGCATTTGTAGATGTAAGGAACATTTGGACCCACTGTCTACAACCAATTCACAAAGAATAACTTCCTGCAATAGATAAATAAAGAGAATCAATAGATGATAAAATGGATCACAGGAAGGATCATGTTTTTCAATATTTTAAAAAAATCTAAAATTTGCAGCTTCTTGGTGGATCTTTTCAGTCGAGACAAAAATCAGGTTTCTTCTTCACTTCACTGTTCATATCTTCAGTGTTTTATTTCAGACGCTGAGTTGGCACTAACCTGCTCGAACATGTCCAGCTGGGTGGAGTCAGGGATGACCTGGGTGGAAACAGACATGCCTCCTGTCCTCAGCTCCATCTGTTGGGACTGTTGTCTGTAGTCCAGAGCTCCACAGCCCATCCTAATAAAAACATCCAGTCAGCAAATTTACTTTACCAGATTTGGAGTTTATAATTTTTATATACAGGGGAAAAAATTCAGCCTCTCTTAGGAGATTATGCAAATTAACTGGATCAGTGTCTTTAAACTCTCTACAAACCGCCTCTACTGGTTTTTCATGCAGGGAAACAAAAAAAAGACAAAGTACACAAAGTCTCCGACCTGGTTTTAGCCTCACAGACAAACAGACAAACTCACTTGGTGACCACGCCGCAGAAGAGCGGGACGTAAAGTCGGAGGTCCTCTGGCAGCGTGTTGAGGCTGCACATGGCTCTGAAGTAAACTAAACCGTTGGTGGGCTGCTCACAGTACTGGACAGGAACGCCTCCTGTAGAGACAGGGAGTTTAGGGTCTTTAAGGGACAAAAGACTTTTCACGGTTTTAACATCATTGAGTTGATATGACGTGAGCTGCAGCAGATCGGACGCGGTGCTGTACCTGCCGTGCTGATTTGAACGGGTGTGATCGGTATCGTGGGTGCGATGTCGGACACTTTCAGCGCAGGCAAACAGGAGGCGTCCTGGGTTTTACTCTGAGCGTCCAGCAGCTCCAAACCTTTTCAAGAAGAGAAACACACCATGTTACCGTGTTGTCAAGTCTGAAACAGAAGTGTGACGCAACAGTTTCAGTGACACATGCAAACTCAGAGTTTAAACCCCCCAAACACGTCCTCTAAAGATGCTGATCAAGCTTCAGCATGAAGGTCTGTAAATGAAAAGATGGAAATGAGAATCACCTTTTTGGTAAATCTCCTTTTTGTCACCCTCTGACAGAGCCTGGATCTTCTTCTGGAGCTTCTCCTCCTCAGCTTTGGCCTGTTTCTCTAAGTACCCGTCATCTGGGCTCATGGACAGGGTCAGTCTGTGTGTGTTGTCCTGAGAAGAGAGAGGGGTTACAGGTTTAACTCGCCGCTTTTTAAGCTCTGCAGTTAGCATGCGGCTAAACCGGAGTCCCGCTAACACGTTAAAAAAAGGATTTGTTCCTTGTACCTTGAAGTAGTGTTTGACTTTGTCCTGGAGGAAGCGAGGGTTTTCCTTCAGAGTCTGTTTGAACTTGGTAACGCTGTCGTTAATCTGCAGCAGCTCCACCGGGTCGCCGTCGTGGTTCCAGGATGATGCAACGTACTGGAAACACACAAAACCCACAAACTGTCACGAATAATGAAACAGACTTTTAAAATCAAACAGGAAAATCAAGATTTCTGCGCCGACAACACAAACGACTGTCCTTGTTATTATAAAGATGTTGATGAAAACACGCAGCGTCCTTGTGTTCATGTAAACAGACTGAAGGTTACAGATAAACAGAAGTGAACTCACCGAGGCCAGAGAGAGGCCGAAGTTGGTGGACTGGTGCTTCATCTGGATCTCAATCTTGTGCAGCAGAGCCTCGATCCTTTCCTCCTCAAATCCAGTCCTGAGGATCATGATAAGAAGTCAAACATCGTAAACTTTTACAGTTTTTCACTTAGAAAGGATCCTCTGAAGCTCCGTGTGAAAACAGACCAGACACTTTAGTCTCAACAGCGTCTGGAGTGTAAATCTGAGTTTTAAATCCGAGTTTAAATTTTAATTTTTAAATTTGAAATAAATAGTTTCAGTTTGGACCTGATAACGAATTATGAAATTTAATCTTCTACGAATAATTTTTTGGAACAGAAATTTAGAGTTTAAATTTGGAAGTTAAATTTTTGGATTTTGCTCTTAATTAAAAATTAAAGTCGAAGTTAGAAATTTGGAATCTGAGTTTTTAAAATAAAAAGTAAATATTTTATAAAATTGAAGAAGGTAAAAAAGTGAGAATCTAAAATATGAGACCATAAAAGAAAAGTACCGTTTTTTCCAGACTAAAAGTTGCACTTTTTTTTGGAGTCTGGCTGGGTTTGCAACTTATACTCAGGTGGGACTTCTATATCAAAATATATAATTTCACGTTTGTTATTTTTACACTGACGGCTGCTAGAGGGCGCTCTAGGCTGACGTTCCAGTATCTGTTACTTCTGTACCACTGAGAATTTAAAATTGATGTTAACTCATATCGACTCAGATGGAGGGTTTGGTAAACTTGTTCTGTGATGTTCTTTATACTATAATTATCTGAATAACTGACAATATGTTACGTTAAGATACCAGACACCTGTTGAGTTTGTTGTTTATGCTTCATGTAGCTGAATAACAGTCAACGTGTTATGTTGGCATACCGTACACCTATTCAGCCTGTTGTTCTCTATTCTAGTGTTTTTATTATAACTTGCCTTTTGAAATGAAATGTCTGTTCTTGGTCTTGGATTTCGCAAAACAAATTTCCCCCAAAATATGTGACTTATTATGTTTTTTCTTCTTCATTGATGGGACTTAAAGTTCAGAAAATACGGTAGTTAAGTCTTTCCCTGTTGTGTCATTAGTGAATAATTGATCACCGCTGTCGATGTCCGGTTCATTTTTGAGTGTGTGTTTTGTTAAACGTATTAAATTCTTCCAAACAGTCAAAAACAAACAGAAATATTCGAGAGGAGATTCGAACTGACCGGATAATGTCGTCGATGGTTTGACTGATGATCTGCTTCACCCGCTCTGTGTCCTCCTCAGCCATCCCCTGCAGGCCGATACTGAACGAAGCCTCTTTGGTGCTGCCGTCATATCTGCAAAAACATGAAACACACTTTAAAACATACAAGAGAAGAACGTGGATACTGTGGGGCGTTAGATGTTTGGGTTGAAATAAAGTCAAAATCAATCTACTCTGTCTCTTATCAAACCAAACTGTTTCTTATCTCAACTTCACGGACCAAAGGGTTTGCGTTTCTTATCTTAAATTGTGCGTACTCACCCCACCACAGAGGAGAAGTCTGTTCCTATCTTAGGCTCAATGAGAGATTTGTAGAAAGGAGAGTTTGGACCAGAGATCATCAGAGACGACAGCAGGCTGAGAGTGAATCCTTCAAACGTGTCGGTGATGCTGCTCGGAGTAAAAAACAGGAGGTTTCAGATGTTTGTGAATGACGGGACGGGCTCAAAAGAAATAATCATGTCTGAGGTCTTTTTATTCTGGGTCAGATCCTCTTTGAAACTCTATCAACATGACAAAAGAGCTGCAGTGAAGTGACGCTTCTTAAAAAGGTTAAAAAAGATGAAGAGATCTTACTCTCCCAGCAGGTAGCTCACACACAGCGTGTTCTGCCGAGCTGGATCTGGAGCCAGAGCGTCGGGGCTGCAGGTCACATGATCCTCTCTCTGTGGGAAACATTGAACGGTGAGATCACGACTAATGTTACAGACTTGTGTCTAAAAACTGAACGTACCGGGCTGCTCCAGTGAGGCTGGGGCGGGACCTCTGTGTTCGGGTCGATTCGCTCAAACTTGGACAGAGCTTCGTCTTCGATCTGCTTCAGGTGCTGCTCCAAAGGTAGATCTCCGTAGGTGAAGAACCTGAGGGACAAACAGAGGACACACTCAGGGGGGGTTTCTTTCTAATCAGGTCACCTTAAACCTGAAAAAGACGAAAAATTCATCCATGAAGTTAACGCGTGAATACTTCTGTGTTAGTGTTTTTACTTCTTCTGTTTTATGACAATAAAAAAACAATAAAACTTCAAACTATGAACCAGAATCGGACCCAGAACAGGCGGAGGTAACTGTAGAAGCTCCTCCTGTAATGTGTTTTTCACCGTATCGATCCTTTAATGACAACAAATGACAGACAGGCCAATATCTTCAATAACAGATAACAGGTGTCCCTATCCGTGTCCATCTACCTGGCGTTGCTGGGGTGGTAGTGGATGGCGTGGAACTGTTTGAGCTGCTCCCAGGTGAGGTCGGGGATGGCCAGAGGTTCTCCTCCTGACACCACCGAGTAGGTATGGTCTGGATACAGTTTGTTCTGGAGGTGCTGGGCGTAGACACGCTCGTTGTCCGACTATAACAATAAAAACAAACGTATTAACACGCCCATGAGTCTTTATTTCAAATTTGAACAGTGCGGCTCATCTAAAGACGTCCTTCACATATGGAGCAGTTCTTTCAGGTCTTTACATGCTGCATAACAAACAGAATATCTGCCTCTGACTTACAAAAGCCCCCTTCATTTCATTGAAGACCACTCCTTTAAACACCAGCGGGGAGCCGGGATCTGTCGGGTTTTCATTCTCCAGCCTCCAGCCCTCCTGCCTGCCAAACGAAGACACCCAGAATCAAACTCGTTAGAGCCGATCGTCCGTTTTGGTCGATTCAGTCGAGTAAAGTTTAAGATGAACTCACCAGAAATCCTGCTCACGTAAACAAGGGAAGAAAACCGCGTCCAGGTAGACCGATAGAAGATTCTGGAAGTCCTTTCCGTTCTGGGTGGAGAACGGGTACATGGTGTAATCACTGGCTGTTTAAAAGACAAAGAAGCTTATCAGGCGTGTGAACAACATTCGTACGACGGTCTTTGGTTATTTGTGGGCGGAGCTTAATGATGACGTCAATTCACCAAAGAAGGTTAGCATTCATGCAGCGAATCTGGAGAAGATTTTTGGTACCAAGAACTTTTTTTTTAATAATCAGATTTCATTTTATTTTCAAAATTTATACAAAACCACATATTTTTAATTCAAATAAGGTAGAAAATGACGAGAAAAGGATAAAATATGAGCCAAAAAAGAAAACAAAAAAGAAAGGTAAACAAAGAAAAATGTCATTACTTAAAGAAATATATTTATTTTTATCATTAGCTCAGTCTGGGACCCCCTAAACCACCGTCTCCCCTCCGTATAGTTTCACTTTGACCTTTAGACAAGTAATCCATAAGGGGTCGCCGTATGTCCATAAAAATATCATCATTCCTTTTTAATTCAGCACTTGGCCTTTCCATCGATAAAACTCTAAACATTTCTTTGTACCACTGAGTCACAGTGGGAGGTTTGTCGCTCGTCCAATTAAATGGTCAACATTTTCTGTCCAAAAATCAGAGTTTATTAGTACCAAGAACTTTTAAATCTGCACTATGAGACCCAGAGTGAGCAGCACTAATGAGTACAAGTACTATTTGAACCTTTCAGGCATCCTTAGCTCGTGCTTGACATGTCGGCTGCTCTTTTTCAGGACCTGAATCACTAAAGTTAATCCAACAAGTCCAGTAAAAACTAGGGATGTGAATCTCAGCACTGAGGACGATTCGATACGCATCTCGATGCACTGCCAGCGATACGATACTTTAACGATACATGGAATTTTCTGGCGATACGATGCGATACGATTCACCCTCTTCACGATGCGATACGATACAATAATCATTTAGTTCAAATCAATGCGAACCGATACGATATGATGCAATTTGTTGCGATATGATGCAATTCAACATGATGCAAATAAGCAAAGAAAAAAAAAGAAATAAAAATAAAAGATGGAATTCAGTATGGTACTACAAAAAGGATTTGGCTTTATTCCTTAAAGGCACTTAGCAGTTAATTCAACAAAAGTGCTTTTTGTCTTTTTTCTATGCTCCTTCATTTTGTACAGTTACACAGATTAGACAGACCTCCTGCAACTGTTAAGGAATCTGAATCAATAAAATAAAAAAAATAAAATAAAAAAAAGGATTCCAACCCCAACCCTACATCACACAAGTGCTCTATACTTGTTGGGTAATATTACAGTACACATTATTAAACAACTAATGCACTGCCTAACATGGTGCAAATAAACCATTCAATGGCCATACTACTGTCTGCCAAACCAATGTGCTAGAGTTGACTTTCTAACTGGCCACAAAATCAGTGATTTGAGTGAGTTCTGCAATAATAAAAGAGTAAAACAATTACACAATAATTACTTCTGTAAAAAGTACAGTAAACAGCAACAACAAAACACTCTCAATGAGTAACCTTAAGTGACACTTTCATCAGTGCAATCAATGTTAAGGGAGGGGAGGTGGCGTTAGACTTGTCGGTGATGTGGTGTACTCTTTTTAAGTGGGTCTGCATGTTTGTCGTGCCGCCGTTGTACGGCTTCTTAACGCGGCATTCTTTGCAAATGACGGACGTTTTGTCGAGCTTTCCGTCTTTCTTTGCAAATCCGTAGTGTTTCCAAACATATGATTTAAACGTAGCGGGTGCATTACATATAAACTCTTTCTCGCTGCTGCTCACTTGAATGTGGTCCATGCTGTTTTAGTAGTAGTGCATTGTATGTCCCTCACGGCTTCCGTCCGTATTCAATACAAAACGTGAAAAAATGATGGTGCATTCAATGCGCCTGGGAAACAGCAGATTGGGTGAAGTTTAAAATGAATAAAACGGCGCTTGCATCGGATTTTACCGATACCCACAAACGCATCTAGATGAATCTAGATTTAACCCGTCAATTGCATCGATACCCAGTGAATGAGCCGACGCAGTCGCATCGCGCACATGCGCATCGATGCATCGATTGATATCGATTATTTTCCACACCCTTAGTAAAAACAGGCGAACTCAAACTGACTGGTGTTTAATCAGAGTATTGACAGTGAAGGATCCACATATGTTGATGAGTACCTGTGAAGGCGTTCATGAAGGTGGACAGAGACCTGTTGAGCATCTTAAAGAAAGGGTCTCTGCAGGGATACTTCTCAGATCCACACAGGACTGTGTGCTCCAGGATGTGTGGGACCCCTGTGCTGTCCATGGGGGTCGTCCTGAACTGAACACTGAAACACAAACAGACAGAAGAGGTGTTGACGTCATCTCAAACAAGAAAAGGACGTATATTATAGCTGCATTTAGACCAACCTGAAGAGGTTATTGGAGTCATCTCTGGCTGCATGGAGGTACTGAGCTCCGGTTTTATCATGGGTCAGCTTCACCGCTGTGAGGAACAAGTCAGGGACCGCAACGACCTGAGGACAACAGCATTAAAGGGATATTCCAGCGTAAATTAAGTTAGGGTCAAACACACCGTAACACCGAGTTAGACACCCCCTCCAGAGACGAATGTTGCCGACCGGTTGCTTCTCTAGTTATACCAACTTTAGTAACGGTATAACTATAGAAGCAAGCGGTTGGCAACGTTCGTCTCTAGAGGGGGTGTCTAACTCGGTGTTATGGTGTGTTTGACCCTTACTTAAATTTATGCCGGAATATCCCTTCAAAAAACAACATGACCGTATAACTCTTCCATCAAGTCTCAAAGTTTCAGCTGGTAAATTAAACCCTAAATATGAAAAATGGAGGTCAACCAAATTACTATGTGACAATCAATCAAAATACAATATGAAACTTACTTGGTGTGCCTTTAAAATGATTAAGCTATGAAATGATACTAAAGATTTTTGGTTATAGAGGAAAAGAAATGAACTGTATTAACTTCACACGAACCTCTTTCACAGTGAAACCGTGGATCTTCTGTCCTGGTTGGTACTGAGAGGCTCTCTCCACTGCTGAGGAGCTCTTCAGACGCCAAGTATTACGCTGTCCATTAAAACTGGAATGGAAGAGGTTAAGTTAGGTGCTGTTCTGAGCATTATTTGCGGCTATGGAGTGGCGTTTTGGTTGAGTGCGTGTCTCTCTGTATTACTATCCTGCGGTCGTTACTAAAGTTGGTATAACTAGAAAAGCAAGCGGACGGGAACATTCATCTCTGGAGGGGGGGTCTAACTCGGTGTTACGGTGTGTTTGACCATAAATTAACTATGCCGGAATATCCCTTTAAGTCTACCAGGAGGTTTTAGTGACCTCCGTGCTTCTATCTGGTGAGAATCTTGATGAAGATCCAGATTTCCTTTCCCAACAGGACCTGGTACCTGCCCACAGCACCAAAACTACCAGGAACTGTTAAGCTGACTGTAGTAGAACTGAACTTTTAGAGACACACATTAAAGGCTGATTCCACCTCTTTTCCCATCTATACCACAATGAACCAGGTCCTGATCCACTGAGGACCGAGAACACAAACACAGAAACATCCTGATGAGTAACCTTATGTTGTCCAATATGTTGGTGCTTCTTTAGTTAACCTTCAGAGACACATTTCAACAAAGTCAAAGCACATTTTTACCAACAAAGACACACAACTAAACCACAGTTGCACAAACATTGAAAGCAGTGACTTAAAATAAAGTATTAAAAGCACAAACAGTATGAAATAATCGATTTAATGTAGTTTACAGTTATCTAACTCACCTGACATAACGGAGTTTCTGGAGCACCGACTTCGTTAACCGTAACATGGTTTTATTAGCTGATTAAATAGTTAAATATGTAAGTTATCAGTCTATTCGGCTGTAAAACAACACGTTTGGATCAAACATTGATCACTAAAGCTCATTCTCCTTCTCATTTAGCTCCCACCGTCGTGTCCTCATGCTTGTAACAGTATTGACATGTTGGATTAGCTGCGAACGTGAAACTGCTGCCGCAACTGCGCAAACCGCAGATCTCACAGTCACACACGGCGCAGTTACCCCCATCCTGTAATACGGAAGATCTACACGTACCCACTGAGCAAGTTTTCACACCCGCGAGTGAAACTTCTACCTAGGAACATACTTGCTGTTGATTGGCTGAAGCAGTAAGAAGACCGAGTGTGATTGGTCTGTTGTTACATCCGGACGGTTGCCAAGCTAGTGTGGGTCCGTTTAAAAAGGCGAAGAAATTTTAATATAAAGTAAATAACAACGATTAGAAACTTCAAATTGTACGTTTTTAAAAATATATCTATTTAGAATCTTTAATCTTAAAATACACTTTTCATTTCTACTTTTAAAACTGACTTAATCCGTCGTGCAGCAGATGGCGCCAAAAGATCGTGTTGCGATATTAAACTTTTTGCCAAACGCTCCACTTTGTCGTCTAAAACCAGATTAAAAGGCTGGATATATGTGTCAGAAAGACTAAAGAGGGCTTAAAAGGGTAAAAGGTTACTTAATTTACCTTAAAATTTGTACTGCGTCACATTTTGGCCACAGAATTAAACAAATGAGTGGAAATACCGTCCTTCACTGTTGCTTAGCAACTTGTTTACCTGCCATGACATTGCAAATAACTTTTAATCGTGAGGTAAAGATGAAAAAATGATTTTTTTCTTTCCGATGGTTGAATTATATTAACAAAGAGGTTATTTTCATAGGCTGATATTTTCACCACTGAGACAATTAGTTGGTATTTTTGTTAAAATTATCGCCTATTTCAACCACTTTGGTGATCATTTGTCTGCAAGGACACCCCCCAAATCATCTATCCCCCAAAATTGATAAAATACAGACAGTATTTAGGAGGACCCCTTAATTTAAGCATTGTCTGGGAGTCTTCGGGCATGCAGGCCACCGTCTCCACAGTGCATTCAGCCAAATGTGCGATTATCAAGTGGCTGCATTGTGAAGCCAAAATGGCCTTTAAAGATGAATTTTTCATCCTTTACTTGTTGTGTAGAGTCAGTCTGACTTCAGCTGTTCAAAGCCATAGCAGAATGGCAGATTTCCAATACCAGTCATATAAGGTGCCCAATTGCAGATTGAATACGAGGTTATATGAGGATTTGCAGCAAACCAAGAAAAGAGCCTTAAAATCAAACTGTAAAGGTGCTGCAGAGACTTTAAAACTGGTGTAATGTGGGCTCTCTTTTGGGGGGGTTTGCAGCTATAAGGAGCAGCTCAAACTGGGAAATTCTGATCAATTCTGCAAGCTATGAATGTATGAACTAGTGTCTCTGCATTGGCTTAAGAGAGAAGCTTCTGCACTCTGGCAATGTTTTACAGCTGATAAAATGCTTTTTAGTATAATTATTTCTCATTTTTCAGCCTAAAAACTAAGATTTAATTCCCCAGCTGCCAATATGGGTCTGAAGTTTTTTTTGTTAAGTGTCTCCATCTGAGCTCCATTACCCCGTGACTTCTGCAGAATCATTTTTACATCATTTATAGCTTTCTGTGGTTACCACCTCATATGCAAACACATCCACTCCATCTGACAGAGAAAACTTCCTGCTGTGAGGGACATGTGTGAACAAGGGCTGTCGCAATTTACCAGTATAATTGAAAAAACGTCTTTTTAAAAAAATGACATTTTGATATTGTGCTAAGTTTGTAAGTTAATTGCATTTCTTAGTAATGTTTATGGGGTGATGTGTTGCTCCACTCTTAGGGTTGGGTATCGAGTCTCGAGCATCGATGGGGACCGGGACTCGATACCCATGTAGTCCAATAAAAGCTAACGTGAACAAGTGCGTCTTCAGTTGGGTTTTAAAAGTAGAGGGACTATTTGCAGTACGCACACTGAGGGGTAGTTCACTCCACAAAGGGGGAGCTGCAGCCGCAAACGCTCGCTCCCCTCTGGATTTTAAAAAAGAACGAGGCACGTCTAAGACGACTCGGTTAGCAGACCTAAGGACTCATTTAAACCATGCATTTTTTTTTAATATCCAGCCTTTTAAAAGAATCGGAATAGAGAATCGTTCGGAACCGAAACTGAAACAAGGAATCGGAATTGGAACTGGAATCGTTCAAAATCAAACGATACCCAACCCAACCTCAATTATACTGATTGTGTTGTATGTTCTTTTTTGAGTTTCCAAAAATTGCAAAAATACTTTGAGTTCATTAAAAAAACTAAATAAAAAAAAACAGCTCCAGTTTTAGGATGATGTCCCTGAAAATAAGGTGCTTCTTTAATCCTGCTGACCTTCAGTTCTCTGCTGTTTATGGCTCGTATATGAGCAACACAGCGAAAATGAGTCAGCAAACAGAATGTAAGGTGAGGTTATAACGGTATTATCTGATTATTGAGGCGAGATGAGATCTCAATATGGGATTAGAAAAGCTACAGAGCAGAAGGCAGTCCCCCCCACCTTCATGTGAAACTCATTTCTCTCTCTTTCTGTCCTGACAGTGACGGTAGCTTTCCTTTTCTTGTCCTCTTTTTTTTTTTGGATTTCTTTTGAGGCACCCACGGTCATCCCTTGTGTTTCCACTGACAGCATGTGGGAGCTTTTCCAGCAGCATGAATAGGAGGCCTTGGAGAGGAGGCAGAGGAGGTTTTTGACAGAGCAGGAGCGTCCTCCAACATGGTGGCTGCTTCCCCCATCCGCCACAGCGCGTTCATTATCAGAGAGAAAGCCTTGATCACACGAGGAGAGGTGAGGCAGTCACGTAGCAGAAATTTCCATCATGAAATCGTGATTACATGAAGAGCAAAATGTGGCCTTTAGATGATGTAACCTCAGAGGAATCCAGCGTGTTTCTTAAGTCACATAAAAGAAGGTTTCAGGGGTTTATATTCTCATTGCATTTAAGTAGTTTTACCTTCATAAATGTCTATCATTATTGAACATAAAGCTGCTTTTATGGCAAACAACCGCTCTTCAATCTAAAGGTTAAGAGGCTCTCTGCAGAAAAGCATCTCGCCTTGTTAATTTGATGTGCTGCCAGTAAATCAGAGCACGATACAAACATGATAAGTTTGTGATTTTAAAGACATAAAAACAGTCAAGTTGAGTGAGAGTTTTATGTCTACACGTTTGGTTAGAAGAGCCAACCTTAAAGGCAACATTTTCTCGTCTTTCGGCTGCAAAAACACTCATACACAAGTAACACAAGTTTTCATTTCATGGTGACTTTAAGGTCAACTGAAGGATTACACTCGCCTTTATAATCCCCTATGTGGATAGAGTCATAAATGGCCAAGTTATACACAAAGCTGTTTCTGTATGGTCTTATGAAGGGCGTACTTTTATATGGGAACAACATGTCTTGATGAAATTGTGACAGATGGCCAACAATCCTAAAATTTTAAGCAACCCCAATTCCAAAAAAGTTGAGATGTTGAGTTACAGGCTGATAAAAACAGGTTTAGATGATTTTAAAACAACGTAAAGACCAAATATCGACAATTGAAACTGAGACATGTGATCATCAGGAATGGATGGCACAGGTACAACAAAACACCAGGTCAGTCACATGACTGGGTTTGAGTGACACTACTGAGTGGGAAACCCTCTTCATTCCACTGGAAAATGGAAAGATTCATCGCCATAGCAACACAAAGACGCGTCTTGTGCAAGGCAGCGTTTATTTTCTTCGTAAACGGACATCATGTTCTGTTCTTAGCCGCACCGGCAGCCTCGTTTCTTCATCCTCCCAGTAACATCGTAAATCCAGTAACCATTAAAGTGACAGGAGCTAAATTAAACTTCTGATTGTTAGAGATTCCACACGTCTTTGAACCCCTTTACTATTTACCTGCACAATCAAATCAAACCTCAGCACAGAGTAAGATTTCCAACTTTCGTTTGATCTTTCCAAACCATGTCTTTTGTGATTTTTTTGTCAGTGAGACACAGGTGGACACATACGGAACTTACCTTTGTATGTTGTTTCCTCCTCCATTTTTGCCGGCGCACTACCTGCAAATCCTGTCCTGAGTGAGCATCGGTGCAGACTCTCTACCGAAGGGCTGAACGGTCCGATCGCCCTCCTCACTCTGTGGTTTGGGACAGTCTTCAATATGGTGGAGCCTCTGCAGGGATGCGCAAACGGAGGGAGAGTGTATAGGGCGAGTGTGTAGGGGGCGTTTTGGGATTGGGCCTGAGTCTCTCTGAGGGAAAGACAGGAAGAGGTTTACCACTCTGTGAGAAACTGCGTGAGCAAAGTTCCTCATCTAAAGTACCTGATATCAATAAAGATTCAGAGAATGACCTTCTGTACAAAACAGACGAGGCTAAAAACTAGTACCAGATGGCCTTGGTTGGCTTAGCAGACAAAAATAGACATGGAACTACATGGAACCAAAAATACTTCCACAAACTGTTGTCTGTTAATTCAGTTTTGCTGCATCCAGAAACGATGCTTTAAAGGGAAGTTTCAGAAGCAGAGCCGCACCTCAACTGCACCTCCTCTGGCACTCTTATAAATCGAAACCTTGTGGGTTTTACTTCATCCCTAACATACATATTAGAAAATCCTTCACTGTACAGTCAGTGTGTACAGTGTTGGTGGGGGTGTGAGTGACTGGTGTTGATGTGCTCTTTCCTCCAGCTAATCCGCAGGATTTCTCAGAGGTCTGGACTGTCCAGACGCCGCTTCATCCAGGCTTAAGTTATCCATCAGTGTCAGATGGAAAACAACACCCCGGCTTTTCCAGGCTCTTCCTCACTCCCGTCTTTGTTACAGCTCTGTTACTCAGAGACCGTTCACTGGGTGAAGATGTCTCTCCCCTCTGCAACCATTTGCTACATACTCTGACAGTTTTGCACAAGCAGTACACACAAATACACAAAAATCCACATTAGTCTGAGCCTTTTTTTGAAAGCCACAGCAAACACAGATAGTTTGGAAAATGCTGTTCTAGTTTTACGTGAGGATAAAGTCTGTACCCAGTTAAACTCCACTCGGTAGGAATCTATTTCCATGTTTGGTGTAGACCTCTGAGTTCAAACCCACCAACCTCTGAAGAAAGGACTTGGCGTGGAG